CGTATTCTCCAGATCAGACAAATCCCGTTGGAACCGAATACATTCTACTTGAAAGACTTGAAGGAACACCCTTAAGCGACCGGTGGTTCACCATGGATACCAAAACTCGAGTCAAAATAATAAGACAAATTGTTGATGTTGAGAGACGGTTCATGAGCATCCACTTCCCTGCAAGCGGAAGTCTTTATCACCGCCGTGATCTTGACAGCTCACAACACGTTATCCCAGTTTTAGACGACATTGTTGTTGGCCCAACTGCACAACATGAATGGTGGTACCAGGAACGGGCCTCGCTGGAGGTTGACCGCGGCCCATGTGAGTCGCTATCCATGCCTTTTCTCTGCAAATATTGACTTCGAACCAGGGAATGTCTTTTCTGCATGCTTTGAAGCACCCGCTAAGCGCGAGTTAGAATTCTGCAAACGTTTTGGCAAACCACGCCCACACGTCGAAAGATACCTACGAGAAATACACCAGTTCCAAAACCTCTCACCTATTCCGTATCAACATCTCCTTACCAATTATTTGAAGTTAGCGCCTTACCTCGACATCCCATCCGACCACCGCATGTCTCGCCCGACACTTCGCCATCCAGACTTTTCACCTAATAATATCCTAGTAAATACCTCCAACGACGTGGTAGGGATCATTGACTGGCAGCATGCTGTTATTCTGCCTCTCTGTCTGTGCGCTGGAATCCCCGATCATTTTCAAAATTGGGGCGATCCATTGTCCGAGACATTATCTAAGCCAGAGGTCAAGTTGCCTGAAAATTTTGATCAGCTTAGTCATGAAGAACAAGAAACTGTTCAAGAGACGATGCGGAGACGGATTGTTCACTTTTATTATGCTGCGTTGACCATGAAGTCCTTGCCGGATCACTTTGACGCCATCAGAACCGAAAACTGTATGCTTCGAGCGAAGCTTTTTCATCATGCACAGGCTCCCTGGGAAGGAGACTCCGTCTCGTTGAAGTATGCTATGTCCCAGGTCCTCAAAAATTGGCCTATGTCGCTGGATGAGGGAGCACAGACGAGATCTGTTGAGTGTCCAGTTCACTTTTCTGAAGAAGAGATGCAGAAATGTCCGGAGGAACATCGCCAAGAACAGGAGAAACTACAGGAACTGGGCGAGATGAGGGATCTAATTGGTACAGACGCCCTTGGCTGGGTTGCAGATGAGGATGAACTTGAACGATGCAGGGCTGTCATCCAGAGCATTAAGGATGGTTTGATGGAGCATTCAAGCAATGAGATGGAGAAGACATCGGTCCTTTTCCATTTTCCTTTCGATGATCATGAAGAAAATTCGTGATATATTTTAATTGTGATTTCCAAGCCAGTCGTCATCCAATTATCAATGCATCTTAGTCCTAAGGTACTTCAAAAGGCCTCAAATGCGGGTGCTGAGGTGCTGCGGGTGCAAAGGAGCAAAGCGCTAGAGGCCATCTTCGATTAAGACAACCCTCTAAGATACGGTGTGCTTACAATTTAGCTTTGACCCACGCTAGGCTAGCACTTCCTATAGTCATTACAGCACCCCCTAACTGGGTACGAGCAGTCGGTGATTCAAGCTGGATCCTTAGGGATCGTTTAGTCTCGAGAGCTCAGTAGGGGTGGTTCCAAGCAAGCTTTCGCTCTCGAGTGGTTAAGCACAGAGGCTTAGCCAATACAAGGGTTTGCTACCAGATGAGATCCAGAGGGTAGATGGGACATGGTTCTTCTAAGTATGGCTACGGGCGTGACTATATACATACGGAGGACTAAGGGTCCTGACGTGACCGACCGGAGCCGTACGGTGAGGTTATGGCTCATCTGGCTCTAGTCACCGCGAAAGGGAAGGGTTAGGGTGCCTAAGGCAGCTACAGGCCCGGGATCACACTGCGTTCTATAGACTTCTTCTCCAGACCATCTCCTAAAGCTCAGTTCCGTCCAATATCCCTGTATTCCTCCTCGATTCCAACCCCCTCACACAACCCTCCCTCATGATGTCTCCTTCCCCCAATACTAGACGCACAAGGCTCCGTTTTTTAGCTCAGCGAGACAGACGCTTATAAGAGTCCTAAACACTCCAGACAAAGCTCCAGTATCCCCATCAGCTAGCCTTCTTATCTAATCAGTGTAAGGGATCTAGAGCTACCATCAAGACTCCTTCAATCCCCAGCCGGAAGGCACATGTGCTGCTGCGGGTTCGAACCACGTAGTTCACAGAACCAAGTACCACACTGCGTCAACGCAGTGAATTCCGCCGTCCGAGTGAATCGCGATTCTATCGACCTCACCGAGGGCGACGCGCAACACGAGAATCTCAGTAAGAAAGCTCAGAATTCCGTCACGGCTGTCTCTACGACCACCACTGGCATGGATTGTCGATTCTCACAGGTAGACTCCTCTGTATGTCTGTGGTAGCTGCTGTGACTGGGAAAATGTGCTGTTGGCCCACTACCAAATGACCGATTCGAGATAGATGGACTTCTCCGAGAGCCCAAAGATCCTTTTTTTTCGGGAACCGCCTGGCAACCCCTGATATTTTTGATCATAATTTGTTCGGTATTTCACCTCATCTCGTGAGGTAGAGGCTTTGGGTTCCCAACGAAGACTTCTACTTCATGTCTTCTATGAAGCAATGGAGTCGGCAGGATATCGTGGTTTGAAGAAAGTCACTCTACCAAGTGACATTGAATGCTATGTGGGAGTCGGATTCGACGATAGCACAGGGAATGTTGGTTTGGTCAATGCTAATACCTGATCGACTACTGATACGCTGCAGTAATCATCACTGGACGGTTAAGCCACTTCTTTGGAGTGGTGGAGTGGTCCTTCGAAAATCGCTGATACGGCTTGCAGTCTGATGGCGGGTAGAAGTTGCCTAATATTCTATGAACCCGGTACAAAGTTTATAATAGATCAACGCCAAAGGTAAAAGCAAAACCAAACTCAAAGAAAATTCATTATCAAAGTTTATAAACATGGTCTTTCCAAACCTGTAGTTCATCGATTTGATCGTTCCAACTGGAAACACCCGTCTCGTAAGAGGACGAGACTTTGTCCACTATGCCCAGCTCTCTGGTATGAAATTTCTAACAGAAAACTCCCATTGGAAAAGCTTGAACTTTCAGGAATAGGAGCAGACTGGTCGTCATCGACTAAGAGTCACCATGCATTTTGTTATTTTCTCAAGACTGCCTTCGGAAGCGCGTCAGTCGCTCACCTTGCTCTCGCATGCTGCTCTACACAACTGCGAGAGAAGAGAGATTTGGTAGCGAGCACAAATTCGATTTTAGCTTACAGTAGATCTCCTATCCCTTTCCTTCGAGCCTGACTTGTCGGACCCATCGGTAGGCACCCGAGCTCGTCGATGATACAAATTTGAAACAGACATTGAGGCAGAGGTGCAATCAATCCTTACATGTAGTAACTAACCCCGTCCGAGAAGGATTACCGCTTGCCTCCGAGTGTCGGCTTGCACTGAGACCACTGTACCTGTAAATTTTGAATTATTCACAGCGGTATTGCTCTGGAGGTTCATACAACGGATGATGACATCTTACCCAATTTCTACTCTCGCTCAAGCTTCACGCTGGACGGTAGAAGGATTCGCAAAGCGCACAATACCAGGTTTGACCACGACTTTGGGTTACGACAGACAATCCTTCAAACCTCTTGTGAGGCCAGCACGGCCATCGCGAGGACTGGTGTCCGAGATCCGAGTCATTGGGAAGGTGACAGCCCTCGGTTAACTCAATAAATCAATCTCATGCCTTTAATTGTGAGTCCAAAATGGATCACTTGGTGGAGACTACCCACGACATCACCACGTACGATCATGGAGCTCCCACAAATTTGCGGCTCCAGTGGAAGAGCTCATAATTTTCTCGTGAGAGAGAGAGCCTTTCCTCTTACGAGGTCGATCACTGAACACTCTCTCGGAAGGAAGAATGAGAAGCCGTACGGTGACTTTCAGCCGTTGACCTTGGCTCCGGTTCAAAGCTGACCGGTACTTTTCGCGCGGACACGCTTGGCCAGCCGCTCGACATCCGATAGTGTCTAATCTTGCGTCCGATACACGCCTCTGCACGGGTTCGGTATCACCATCCACCTCACCTTTCCTCGACTTGACGTGATTGGCCAGGTCACCCCCATGTCCTCCTCGCCGGATTGTGAGCGAAGTGGTAATAGCAGGACTTGGTGATTCTGTTGGCCAAGCACCGACAACAGATCAAGGGAAAGAGTCCAGGGCATGTACATATATGCCGGTGTTCTCCCAACCGTGTCCGTGTGGTGATCAGAACCGGCTGAGCGGTCGGGTGCCATGAGCGCCACACATGGTGAGTCGCCGCCTGCGAAAGGACCAGTAAGGCCGGCGTGGTATGTCGGTGTCGGCTTTAGAGGCGTAGATCAATCTAGGCTCGGGAAGAGGTGCATTGGCCGGAGCTTATGGAGTGATATCCGCCAATAAAGCACGCACAGAGGATGGAACTCGCGGGTGCGGATCTTCGAAGCCCCGGCAAAACGATCATCTCACATTGAACCTTGTTCTGAAGCAAGCGTCGGGATTCGTTCATGGTGATGGTGAAGATGATAAGGTCGAGAACCCAATCCGGGGCCAACGGAGATGCCCACCCGATCAGGTGACCGGTCTCCAAGTATACCTCCCGTTTCGAGATGACCACCTGATGGCAACTTGCAGTCCCAAAATATCCGCAATGGAGAGTTTGTCGGGCATGATAGCTGAGAACCCGTTGATACCGGTCGGCTGTGGCCCTGGCCAAACCGTGAACCGGGGTCAGCTGTGGCCGGGGAAGGCTGTAGATGAGCTGGGTTGTCGGGTGTGATATCTTCATAAAAAAGCTGGAATCATCCCCGGCTTCTTGGATCGATGATCATCGAATAAAGCCAAACTTGACAAGTGAAAGAGTCTCTATCAGAGAGTTCCTATCGAGCAAAATTGAAAGAACGAACACTTTGTACCCTTTGCACAACCCCATATCATTGAATAATATGTCTTTCTTGAGAAATTGGTTCGGCACCACCACCACAGCTCCTGAGGTGCAAAAGGAGCAGAAGACGCCAGTCCGCGCTCTGCCTGCCTCGTGGTATACCTCACAGGAGATGTATGAGCTGGAGCGACGCTCCATCTTCTCTCGCAAGTGGTTGCTCACCACACACAAGCACCGCGTCCCCAACGCTGGCGACTGGGTCGAATACGATGCTGCTGGCTTCAAGTTCATCGTCTCCAGAGACGACCAAGGTCAGATCAAGGCCTATCTCCACGACAACAGTCTGACTCCTATTCATGTGCACATCGACCGCAACGACTTCATCTGGGTCAATCTGGACTGCAGTGAGACTCCCGAAGTTGCGTGGGAAGATGACTTCCAGGGCGTGGATGAGCAGCCTCGTTTCGACTACTACAACTTTGACGAGTACAACTTTGATCACACCTGGGATATGGAGGGTGAATTTAACTGGAAGATCTTGGCCGACAACTACAACGAGTGCTACCACTGCCAGGTCGCCCATCCCGATATCCCTACGATTGCCGATCTGCACTCTTACTACGTGAAGACCAAGGATGGTCACATCCAGCACTATGGCGCTCAACGTCAAGATCAGATTGACAAGGGCTTCCGCATTGCGACGACCTATTTCTGGCCCAACGCTTCTTGCAATGTCTCGTGAGTTTTTCTCTCTGCCCAAACATCTTGCTATCGCAATGAACGTCCCGACTAACCATGGACAACCCTAGTCCCCACTTCTTCTTCATGCAACGCTTCACTCCCATGAGCCCTACCAAGTCCGTCATGCGCTACGAGGTCTACCGCCACAAAGACGCCACCGACGAGCAGTTTGAGCTCATCAGTAACATGTACAAGCGCATCATGTCCGAAGACAAGTATCTGTGCATCCACACGCAAAAGAACCTTAACGCCGGCGTCTTCGTCAACGGTCTCCTCCACCCTGAGATGGAGAAAGGTCCACTTCACTTCCAGAGTACAGTTCGTGAGGTTGTGACCGAGCACTTTGACAAGGAAGAAGCAGCTGGGCACCAGATCTGGCCTGCCAAGGTCGAAACGCCAAAGGCCGAGATTGGTGTGGAGGGAGAAATTGCCCTTCGAACGGGGAATACCACTTACGCGGATGCGGACATTATGCAAGATTCGTTTACGGGTGGTCTTGCCCCGGCGATTGCTGTTTGAGATGGGAGAGATCGCCCAGGAGAAGAAGCTTTCGACCATCGATTTGGTTATTTCCTTTAATCTGATGATTTTCATGACGAGATTGGGAACTTTTGTTTGATTCTTGTCCTTAGCGTTAACTTTTTTCCAAAGAATCTTGCTTCGAAGATTTCTAGCGAGCTTGTTTCATTCGATTTGCGAAGTTTCTTTTTGCGAGATACTTAGGAGTTCAATTTGACCATTTCTCGTTTAATGGCTTCAGTTTCTCATAATGCAATACTCATAGTTCATTGACCTTTATCGGGTGTACACGCCTCATCATCTGGATTCAATGAGACCAGACAAACTTTCAAGCTTGCACTCATACCAATAGTGTTAAAACCCGCAGACCGCTTGAGCCGACCTGTCCAGTGGCCTTGAGTCAGTGACATGTCGAGCGCAATATATCAAATCTGTACCTGAATCATTCTTGCTCTTTCCACTTGCAAGCTGGAGGAGATGGACTTACAGGTGGACGAGAAAAAGCCGGAAGCTTGCCTACCTCAGGATCGAAGATGAACACTTGATAGTAGTACCTATCTCCTTCCCTAGTTGCTTGCCTACTTCTCTCCAGTCCGTACTTGTGTCAGTAACGTTTTCACTCCAATCCTCCTTGGTGTTGACACACATGGAGCTTAGGTCCTGTCTACGGTGGAGTGCGTCTTGGCCTTTTACAAGAAGGCAATGAGAAGTTGAATATGGACCGAGCAAAGCTTCCGATTCGTGTACTTTCGGACTTTTCTGCTGTCCAAAGCGATCATTGTTCGGACCAGATGGCTTCGTGTCACGCTAAGCAAGCGTCCTCAATCTAGGCCCCGGGGTCGATTTCCCCCTCGCTCTGACATTTGCAAATCTCACATCCATGAACTTGCATGGCACGCGTTTCTGGGTATATGTTCAAATCAACTCAAAACATGAACGTTCCGCCTGCCCACGCTCATGAAAGGTAGAAAAAAAGAAAAAGTGACAAGCGGAATCGAATATTGAGGGCTTAGCTCTCCATGAAGGAGGGGAAATAGGTCTTGACGACGCGATCAAGTTGTTTGACCACGACCGGTTTTACAAAGTATTCGTTCACGCCAACCAGTTCTGTGGCTTTTCTGTCTGACGGGCTGTCCTGTCCCGTCATGACAAAGACGAGACTTTTGCTCCAGTCGTTGCTACTTTCAAGCTCTCGGATCTGTTGTGTAGCCTCGACGCCCCCGCAGACTGGCATTTGCAAATCCATGAAGATCATTTCAATTTGCGGGTCTCCATCCTCCTGATGTTGTGTTTGATGCTTAGTAAAGATTTCGACGGCCTGGAGTCCGTTCATGGCGGAAAGGTAGGGTAGCTTTCGTTTGGAGCAGTAACTCTCCATCACACGGAGGTTGACAAAGTTATCGTCGACAATCAAAGTGAGGGGACGTGATGAAGTTCGCGGTGGGGGAGGAGAGGCCGATAACAGGCACGTTGCGTTGAGGTTGGAGGTGTGTGGTGGAGATGATGCAATTTCTTGTACATCTTGAGAGACTTCATTTAATATGGCATTTGATGACGCAAGTTCCCATCTGGCATCAACTTCTTCAGTGTCTTTGAGAGCAATGTGTTTTGGTTCTTTGAGCTGATCTTTGGATTTGACGTTGGACTGAGCAACGCGAAGTCGGCGATATTCATGTGCCTTTTGAAGGGATGAATGGAAGGTCGAGGTTCTGAAAGGACCGTGAATGTATATAACGTTGTTCTCCTTTTGTTGGAAAATCTGTTTCTCCGGAACGAGGCAGATTGCCACTTGGTCATGGCCGATCTGGGCGAGCTTTTCGTGATGTTGATCCATCGTGTACCCAGCTTCGAAGACGATCAAGCAATCTTCTGGGCTCTGAGATCGTGAATAGCCATTGCGCGATAAAAATGACGCAAATCGGTCACCAAGACGCAAGTCTGATTCACAATGGAGTTGGAAAAATCGCAACGGCATGTCATCAAGCTTCTGCGCGATAGGTCGAGAGGGGGAATCCGAAAAACAACAGTCGATTTGGTCAAAAGTCGCCCTGAAATGAGAACCCTGGCCTAGATTAGATGAAACCAATTGAATTGTTCCATGAATGAGGGATGCGAACTTTGAAGCCAAGGTGAGGCCAAGGCCAGCACCTGCTGAGTGTGGGTCGACCTTCTCATATGCTTCAAAAATGCGCTCTTGATCACAAGCAGGAATACCCTCGCCAGTGTCCTCGATGTCCACGATGAGCTGTTTTGTTTCAATTGATATCGATGTAGTGATTGAGACAAGCCCCCTCGGCGCGTGCTGTAATGAGTTTACGATAAGTGGCAACAGAGTATCGCGGAGAACCGTCATGTCGGTGGAAAATGTCACTTCATGACCAACTTGCGGCTTTTGATCAAGAAAGACAGAGCAAGTATAGCGTGAGTCTCCAGAGATGGACTGGGTAATGTGTTCGGCGACTTGGGTTTCCAGGTCATCAAGCGTGTGCACTTGATATTGTCGCTCGGTCATAGCAATGTCGGACCATTTGTTCAGCATGATCAAGTTATCGATGATGGAGATGAGATCACGGCCAGCCATTTTGATGATGTCTAGATACGTCGACGGTTCGCCGGCAGGCTTTTCTGAGGCTGCATCGAATTTCGGAGAAGACGCCGGGAGATCAACCCCGGTCAAGCTCCGTGATTTAAGCTCCTCACTCAGAAGCTCAACAGATCCCAAAATACCATGGACTGGCGTGCGGAGTTGGTGTGAGAAAGCGCGAAGAAATTTTTCCTTGGCGATCATGGCCTCTGCCAGCAAGCTTTTCCGCCACATTTGCGTAAGAGCATCTGCACAGGCTTGGATGAAACATGCATCCGCGTCATCAAAGACGAAGTGGAAATCATTGGTTACTACAACAAGGAGCGACGGTCCAGAGATGGCATCGCATGGCGCAGACATGATTCGCGCAGGCCGATCTGCTGGAGTCGGAAGATGGTTGCGGTTGGCGATGAAGTCCTCGAGATACTCTACATTTTCCCACGGGCCTTTCTCGAGTTCTTCAATGGGAATCGGATCGAGTCCATCCAATTCAACATGTGTGACTCGAGAAGGTTGAAGGAAAACCGTTGTGTCCGGATATACCTGTCGCAAGATCTCCATGATAGGCTCGACAGACACAGTCTTATTCATGTCAATTCGGTTCTGCGCGCTGTTGAGAAGTGCAGACATGCGCAGTCGATCACGCTGGCGCCTTGCTCTTGTCCATTGTACCAGATCAGACACGACCCAGTCGCCGAGACGCACCAAAGTCTGGTGCTGAGCTTTAGTCAAAGGTTCCCGACTTTGACCCGAAGCGACACAAAGAGAGCCAAGGCTGACAGTCGGTCCCGATTCAGTCTTGAATCGAAGTGGCACTCCAGCATAGGCATGTAATTCGCCATCTTCGAGATATGGGCATCTTCGAAACCGCCAGTCTTCCATCAGACTTGGCAAAAGAAACACATTCTGAAGTATTAAATGGTCAGCCGTGGAATTCTAGTTTTCATGCGTCTTCCAAGGGCTATACATACACCAGGAGGCTGAGTGACGGTATGAGCACATATCGTCTCTCCACGCGGCAAAATGCCAAGTTCAAGACCAACAGTCGCCAGGCGAATATAGACATCGACATCGAGGATCCCAATCACGGCGTATTCCCAGTCTGTTGACTCCTGCGCCAACTGCGCCTTTTCTTGGAGACCAGCGAGGAATTCATCTTCTTGGAGGATATCGCGGGCATAATACCACATCACCGAAAGCCGCAGGCGCTCGTGCTCAGATAGATGCGCTCGCAGATATCGTTCGGAGAAGTCAGCAGGCTTCTCTGGAACGGAATGTTCCGAGAATGCATTGAACTCGGAGGAGAAGGCTTTTTCGTCGTCTGACGACCAGGCCTTGATCGGTTTGTCAAAATTGTCACGGTCAAATATTGGGCCTACGACCTTCGGCCGAGATGACGGCAAGACTACAGAGGCCGGTCGCAGGATGATCCCATCAGCTTTGGGAAGGAAGGCCATGATCGAGATCGACAAAGCCGCCGACTATCTTATGATCTGGCAATGCATCGGTTCCACCGCACAAGCTCACTGACTGAAGACCTCCGTCAATCGTCACCGTTTGCCCTGAGCGACAATCCGGTTTTAGATCCCCAGAACACGTGATGGAAACTCGTCTCCACGTCGCCCGAACGTGCCAAGACCGCTTGACGGGTGGGATCACGTCGATGGCATGGGCCTTCGACCGGTCGCGACTGTTGACCGCCTACGCATCGTTGAGATTTGTTAGCTCCGGTGGTACATAACGTAGTGTAGTAGGGAATCCGGTTACATGTACTGAGAGCAGATGGTTTGCAGAGGTGTAGGTGCCTGATGGTGGCCTTATAGTCGAGAGAGGTTATTTGGACATCGAAGAGGGGATCAATCAACTTGATCATCCAAGGAATCCATGGGGTCCGGGAGATCCATCGAAGAAGGGATCAACAGTTCAGGATTCGAGGATTAAGGACGGTCTTTACAGTCTGATTCTTTGACACTTGCAATGATACACTCTTTATGATCTTCATTTGCGCCCCTTGACAAGGAACGGATAGGTGTTGTACGGTCGGGCTGGGAGATCTCTGGACGTGCGTGCTGGTGATTTTGGTTTGGTTCCTCTATGACTCGACCTGTCTGGGTGAGATCAGACTGCCTTGAGCATTCCCCTCTACAATAGGTACCTATACCTAACAGAGAGTAAGGTACCTAAACTTACACTGCAACATTAAGCCAGGCGAGAACGGACGTCTACACTATCGAGAGAAACATTTCACGAAAATGCTAGCCATGCGTTGGGGTATGATTTTGATAGATAGGTACAGTACATGAGTACACACAGGACGATGTTTCAACGTGCAGAAAGTCGAGGAACAACCGTGACGAGGAGGTCCGATTAAGAAACAAGAAAGAGACGAAGCCGACCCCAAAGCTCGTGCTCGGAGTGGATACTACAGACAGACATTAAGCATAGCAAGAGAGCTATGCTGAAGAATCGATGTATGGCGTTTGAAAAGGCAAATAATCAAAGGGGGACGGCCACGCAAAGGCAAAGGGAATGAGTGAGCAAGGAAGAGATCATCATCAGAGAAATCGCAGCCATGAAATGATCATGCCATGCAAGAGCTCAAGTCACTGGTAGCCAGGACGCCAGGCTAAAAGATGGTACGGGAAGGGAATGTGTTGCTTGCAATGGCGATTCAATGAGGGGCTCGCAAGCATATATCGCAAGTAGTGGAAGGAACGAAAGAAAGGAGACGAACACAAGGCAAGTATATAAGTGACTGGTAGTGGGCTCATATCTTCCCAGTCTGTAGATTCAGCCAACTCATGTCGGCATTGACATTGCTGCCTCGCCCGACTACGGGTGACTCATCAGGAAATTCAGGAATGGGAGCATTAGGCCGCGAACTGCCCTTGAACGGAGGCATCTCGTGTGGATCGCTTCGAAGATCCCGCGTATAGCGGGAATACATGCTTTGGCTGTAGGCGCTGCTTGGGGGGCGATTTGGCTGACTGCCTTGCGTGTCCGTCCAACGGGTGTCATGTGGGTCGTCCTCACTATGCAAACTGATTGAGTCGACACTGGAGATACGCGCGCTCTGCCCCTCCGGAATCGTGAGACTGTGGGTGGAGGATGCAAATAACGTTGTGGGACTACCCATGTAGACCTGACCCAACGGTTTTGGTTGATCGAGAAAACTCATGTTGAGCGGGTTCAGAGTCGACATCGGCCAGGCACTACCGCGATAGTCGGATTGGGTGTAGATAGAACTCGCTACGGAGCGATGAGTTGGCTGACTGGCTGGGGCTGCAACACCCGTGGTATCCTTGAAATATTTTCCCCAGTTGTCGTCAGTGTTACGGTCTCCAGGGAGAATATCAAAGTCCGCCGAAGTCGCGCTCGTGCGATTCATGCCCGCAGTGTATATCGTGGATGGCGCAAGGCTGCTTGGCGCGATATTCGAGTTGAAATTGCTCTTGTGGGGTGCGGTGGACGTCTCATTGCGGATGCCAAGCTGAGGAGGCGCCGACGTCTTTGGGGACTGCGCGTAGGCGCCCGAAAATATCGCAAACGAATCGTGTGCAGATGCAGGGACTGGGCCGTCAGAGCGACCCATCGGTTGCGCAGATCTAGCCAAGGATTGCATTCCTTGATCCTGGAAGCTCTTCCGGTTTGAACCGTGTTGTACACGCGGGCGTCCAATCTGCTCGCGCTTGGTTCGCTCACGCTTCAGCAGCCACAGGATGAAGAGAAGAATAAAACAAAGCGCACACGCGCCTCCTAGAGTCCCGCCCACGATCTTTACGATTCTGTCGTGAGAACTCATATCTGCAGTTGCACCTACCGTCGGAGCCGGGGTGGAACTGGGCGTGACACTCGCTGTCGTCATACCAGGAGACGTGATCGCTGGAGGTGTTATCGTTGCAGTGGCCGTGGGGGTCGTTTTCGACATGGAAGAGGATGAAGTGCTCCCGGTCAGAGGTTGTTGGAGACTTTTCCCTTGGAAAAACTCGGTCGAGTTGACCCAGCTATTTGAAGAATGGTTATAGAGAGCCAAGGAGTCAATGGCCTGGCCATTGGAGAGAACTACCATGCCATTGTTCCCTTGAGCGAGTGCGTAGTTTTTCCAGGTCTGGGCCGGAGCGAAGGTCGCATTGTAAGGTGGGAAGACATCTGAGCTCCTTTTAACAGACGGCGCACCAACAGACTTGGCAGGGCTTTGAGGCTGACCCTCAGGGGTGATGAGCTCGTAGTTGGTGACAGAATTGGGGGAGGAATGCATGTCGAACAGTTCTGCAATCTTGCTGTCCCCCGGGCCAGACACCAGATTGAGAGGTGTTGATAGAGAAACATCGAGCGGAAGACTTGAAGGCGAGATTTGCCAACCCGGACCATCGCTGTACATCCAAATGCTATCGCTGCCGCCATTTCCTCCAAACATACCAAGATGGGTCGCGTTCCACGAGTGCAGCTGGGGGTATCGAAGATTTGGGGCTCCCTGACTGACCAGACTTAATGGGGTGTATGGCGTCTTGGTTGATATCTGAAATGCGTCCGCCGACAGCGCCGATTCCGACCCGGGAATTGTGGTGCCAGCATAAGTGATAATTGAGGAAGTGGAGGGGATAAAGGCGGCACCATGTCCTGTTCGGCCGGTCAAAGGGGATGATCCTGTGCCCAGCGTCTGCCATTTGCCTTCTTGGAAGGAATAGCGCTGAAGGCCTGTGTATGTTTGATCTGATTTTGTGGTGGTCCCGCCAACCACATACAAAGCTTCATCGGCATTTTGACTGCCCTCATATCCGCCCTTGACGCAAACTGCACCTGAGACGGCCACACCGGAATCTAGTGGGGTCCATGTGCTGTTCACTGCGAGCGCTCTGGAGAAGAAGCCATCTGCCGAGTATGCGTAAAGGGTGTGCCCCGCTACCACCAAGCAATGGTCCTTCAATTCGGAAGGCGGCTTCGAATTGGTCATGGCGAGGGTTGTTGAGCAGAGAAAGGAGTGTAAGAAAACGATCGCTACGAAAGAAACAATCGCGGAGCCAGGCCTGCAATTGATGCGTCACGTATAAGTTGAACCAGAGTTGCTGACTACGACAAGAAGCTTTTCACGTAGGACGGAAGAAGTCTGTCGAGATCCAATTTCATGTCGTTGTAGAAAGCGTCGAACGGAAACCTCACAGACTCGCCAGAGTGTCGAACGGCGTTAATAGCAGGGTCAAATGATTGCGAATCAGGCGAACATCAAATGGAGTCGTCCAGAATGGGAGGGGGAGGTGTCTGTGTGCTGTTGTCTAGCTTGTGAATACTTGGCGATTTGAAGACGATAGAGAACGGCAAGCCCAAATGTTCGATTGGCGTATATTGGACAAAGTAACTGCGAATATGATCACATCCAACAGGGATGCGGTGCGAATGAGCGAAGGTCGAAACTGGGAGCCGAAGCGAACGAGAATAGCGTAATTGCCGATGAACAGCAGAGAAGGGAACTGCAGCAGCCAGACATGAGCCTACGGATGGATCCACGATCTACGAGCTGAACGAAAGACTTACCGAGTACACCCGTGCACAGCACGAAGAAGGAGAGACAAATATCGACAACAAAAACGACAGTGAACCAGCCGATCCTCGAGGGAAGGGAATTGCAGGGAGCGAACGAAAGGAAAATCGGACTCGGCAGGACAGAGGGAGGAAGTGAAACAGTCGACCTTGCAACCGGGCCATGAGTTCCCCCCCCCCCCCCGTCTCTCCCTGTCTTTCTCTTCTGTCTCGAACTTGGAGTCTCCCCTAAGCCGACCTCAGGATTAGATTAGCACCTCAGGTACCCGCGTCCGTGCCCGTCAGGAACCCCCCAGTGAGGGACCACGGAAGAAGATGGTTTGATTTAATTTTAAATCTCCCCAATTTCGTGCCGCCATCGCTTCATGAGGTCCATGAGATCATTGATGTCTTGTTGAGCGCACGCAGAACATCCTCTCCTTTGGAGTATTCCATCCTCGTCGGCAGATGCTATTCTCATCGTTCTGATTGTTCCTATCAGCAAGCACGGTGTTGAACCAACGCTGTCCAACTCTGGACTCTGTCCTCTGGGCGGGTTATCATGCGCTATCGCACGTGCAACTCCCTTCATCGGGTTCATGATTCAGGCAGACGGTCACTTTCCGTCCTTCCGTCGACGGCCACCATCTCACACGGAGATGCTACAATTCTCCGCCTCGATGCTGTCTCAACTTGAGCTTGATCCTGTCACTCGACAGACTTGCCTCAATAGCCCGCGCCGGATACCCTTGACCCTTCAGAAATCCAAACCACAGCTCGTCGGCAGGTACCACGGTCGGTGCACTCGCGATCGTGTTTCACGATGCCATTTCCTGTTCCTGGACCCGACCACCCATCCCACCCCTGATTCTTGTGGGGCGCAATGCCCACAGAACACCGAGATGAGTGGGAATTTTCACAAAACTAACCACGCCAAGCTGCAAGCGATTGATGACTTTTGATTGGCCTTGTCTACCAATCAGACCTCCTGCAAGGGTAGTGCAACCTTGCAGTGGACAGGCGCAAATTGCACCCTGTATTTTCCTCCGTTTTCACTGGCGAGTCTCACCCTGGACTTGGGGTCAAGCACATATCTACACGTCCAAGGCGGTCCGCATAGACCTCGAGGAGGACCTTTGCCCCGTGAAGATCAGATGACCAAGAGCTCTCGTTTTCGAATGGAATAAGAGAACTTTCCCTCGATGGCAACAGACGAACGACCTCACGCTTTCTCCAGATGCGCCGACACTCAACAATGCAATCCTGCAAACTGCCAATCGTCGTCACTCAAGCTCGATCCGGATCGTCAATCCCTCACGCTCCCGGGTGTCCCATGACTCCCATCTTGAATTTGGAACCCCCAAGCTAGACACCACGGAGACCAAACAGGGCGAGCCGACTTTGTTCACCAGTCGCGAGCCGTGGTTGGCGCGGTGGAGCTTTCCCGATTCATATCCTGTGTAAGGAGTAGTAAGCCTGTATGCCTGTATGCCTGTATGGACTCTATGGGATGGTGTATTGGTGAGAATGGTGACTGGATTTTGGAAATCCGCTCCCCTGGATCCCGCTTGTCTTGGCTCGTGCACGGCACGGCTCCCCTCTGACCCCAGGAGTAGTGGAGATCCGAGGGAGCGCTCCTCCGAAGGCAAGCGAGGAAAAAGAGGCTCGAGACCAGTTTGACTTGAAGATGGACTTATTATTCAGTCGAGCCCTTGAACCCTGTTTTCCACGGGAGGTCAAGGAGATCATGACATCGATTCGGCGCCCGCGTCAGTCTTGGGATGTGGACTTGTGTCTAAATCCGTGAACACTGCCAAGTGAACACTACTAATGGGAAATTTGAAGACGCGCCAAAATAGACAGTTTGAGTTTCATTCACGACCGCTACCTGACTTGTTCTCGAATCTGGTTATGGGCAGTCTGTGCCAGAACAGTGGCATCTGAAACTCTGTTGATCGGGGATGCCACGGTCAGGGTGACCAATAGATATTGTATTTGCCTGACATCAGGGCCGGAAAATGCTGTCGGTGTCTAGTGTCTACAGTCAAGTAGTCTACACTCTAAAGTCCCTTCATTGCTGCACTGAATCAATCGATCTATCATCATGATCGTGACAACTATTGTAAAGAGAACTCATGTCAAGCACACTCCAGCTTTCGGCCGTGTTTGGTACCATGCCTAACCAGGATGGAGAGAAAAGCCTTTGACTTCGGGCCGACGGATAGACGGTGAGACGGCAGTTCTACTTAGCACTCGGGCAATTGACCCGATGAAGATAGTCACTTACTACAATACTGTAGGTCCGGGTCTCTTTGATGCTGGAAATGTCCATCTGTCCATTTGCATGTATGTAAAGTACCTACAGTATATGCTGACGATCGGTCTTTCCAATCATCTGAGACCACCTCGGACTTTGATAGGTTCGCCACCGGTGATCACAATAGATCTGTGGCGATTGGCGTGTACTAACGTTCCTACCTGATGAACTTGAGTAGGTCGATAATCTGGAACGGGAGTGGAATCTTGAGAATGGATGGGATCCAGATTTCTATCCATTGTTGACATGTTCTGATATACCTGTACCAACTATCAACTACTAAGAGGCGGCACACCAGCCCGCATTCTATTCGCGCTTCCTCCCGTCCACCACTGCTGAAATATATATTTCTAGAGCTCTAGGTATGTGTCATCGGGACCTAAACGTCCAGCTATACCTTACCTACTTTTTGCTTCAGCAATATACCCGTACCTAGACGATCGTCGAACCCCTGGGTAGTCCAGTCCCTATACTTGTTATGGTACATGAAGATCAAAGCAAACCAATGGACGACGCCTCGAACGGACTAGAAGCAATTCGATCACATCAAGTCTCGCGGGCAGAGGTACGTATGCGTGTAACTGTGTACTGTCGCTGCTGCTACCGGACTGGGTATATTTGAATGTGCTGAGAACCGCATGCGGTAGATTGTATATAACCGAAAGTCAATGAAACCTGGACCATCCAACCTTGCAATGGATGCAGATGGTAAGATAGTGAGCCAGATTTGGTCGATTGAACCTCCCTACCGTCACAATGTCGGCTTCCAAAAATCACCTACAGAAGGGATGAAAACCGTCTACCTCTAGTACCTACAATCCGCCTGACGTGCATATATCAAGCGTCTGGAGCCGTGAGATAAATTTAGCTCAACATGAGACGCAACTGGCCCACTGGAGTCAGTGAGCCGCTGGAGCTTGAGCTCAGATCGTGCCGTCTCAGAGTGATTCGGCGTGGACGGGCTGGGGAACGATTCCGATCCAGAATCCATCAAGTAAGACTACTGATGTAGTTAGAACCTAGAACTTAGGAGTAGGAGAAAACCCGATCAGATACACAGGCACTCGGGCTCCATGACCGTCGGAGTCGAAGTCAACCTAGACTTGGCCACCCTAAAAAAAGGGAATGGGTGCACAGAACCAGTCGGGAGTGGAAGATTCCGGTGGGTCTTACTATGAAACGCAAAAATATGGCCACGCGGGGAGAGACCGGTCTGAAAATAGGTGAACGGACCCGAATATCTACCATTTGTCACTTCACTCGTGGGGCGATGGTGAGAGAGTGAAACGGAAGCTTTGAACAAAGCAAAAGCTTGATGGCCACGAAAATAAGGAGCGAGTGATATGCAAAAGTTTTGAAACCCAGATCAGTAGACGAGGGATAAAAATATATACGCTAACATAACAAGCCAATCCATCAGGTCTCTGATTACGCGGAGAAGGAAGCCTGCTGCTGCTTCCACTGGTGCGCTTGTTGGAGCAGCCGAGACAGATTCGCGGCAGACTTGTCGTCGGCAGGGAACACATAGTCCATGTATTCCTCGTACCGGTCGTCTTCCAGCTTGCGGCGCTTCTTGACCCGGCGCGGCATCTGCTTCTCGATCTTCTCGATCTCCTCGGGGGATCCATGAGTATGTTCGAATGATCGCCAAGCATTGAGCAATTCGACGCGCTGGAAAAAAAATAATTAGCTCACAATTCCAATGACAGAATGTATACTGCCGTGAAGCTGGGACTCGACATACCTCCTCCTTGAGCTCCTTGTCTTTGAAGACCTTGTGCGCCCGCTCGAACACTGCTCGTGCCCGATGCTTCGCCTCCTCGCTGACTGGCCGGGATTCTTCATCTTCTTCCTCCTCTTCGTCGTCCTCTGGAATGTTGATCTCGAATCTGGCGTAGTTGATCCATACTTTGACGTGGTCCGTCTTGGAGAGTAGACGTTCGTACAGGGCGCGAACTCTGTCGTACTCGCCCTCGTCCTCCTCAAAGTCAATGTAAGACTTCCAGACTAATTCTGGCATGTCCAGCGTGGGCTGATCAATGCCAAGCTCATAGAGAGCCCGCGCACGCTCCAAATCATCCAGCCCCCGTTCAAGTTCAGCATACTGAATCCAGGCTTGGCTATTGGATGGATTCCACTCAATTTGCTTCTCGTGCAAGGTGCGGCATCGCACAAACTCGAATAATTGACGCTCGAGGTCAATGTAGCCGCGGAAAAGCTTGTCCTTGGGACACATGCCGATGGATTGACCCAGCGTCTTTCGGGCGGCTTGTAATTCCATCTGCCGGATTTCAAATTGCGCTTTCATGAGCCAGACCTTGGCAAATGTAAACTTCTTATGTGGGATGAGCGCGATACACTCTTGGTAGATTTGCCTTGCACGTTCCGCATCCTTGGCTTCCATCTCTTCCCAGATGGCGTAAAAAATCCAGAGGTAGATGTACCGGCGCCAGTGTCGCTTTTCCTGGGATGGAGGAATTTGTGCGATTGCCCGCTCATAGATGTCGCGAACACGTTCAGGATCTCCAGCAGTCTCCTCGAGTCGAGCAAAATCGAACCAGATATCGTAATTTCGAGGGTTTTCCTTCAGTTGCTCTTCGTATTGGACACGACGTTTAGATAAAATAACATCCTCCACGCCGTCTCGGTCACCGAATTGCTTCTCGAATGTAGTGTAGGCCTTGTGAAGTGTCATCGACTTTGATCGCGGAAGACGATCCAAAGCGTACTTGTAGATAGCCCGAGCGCGCTCGAATTCCTTCAACTTTGCTTCGAACTTCGCATAAGCCACAAACAGCTTCTCGTCCATGAAATCTTCGCCAAGGGTTTCAATAGCGAGACCGTACACCTCACGGACTAGATCGCTGGTGCCGTATTCCTCCTCGAACCGAGCCCACTTGATCCAGTTTCTGGGCTCGGGATGAACGATGGTGAACCGCTGGAAGATGGCGCGCGCGCGCTCGAATTCATTGTACCGCTTTTCCAGCTTGATGTATGCACCCCAGGCTCCCTCGTCAGGTTCCCATGACATCCATCGCTCAAAGACTTGCCGAGTACCAGGAATATTGCCCAAAGTCTCCTCCATGTAAACATACTTATACCAGAGCTTGTCCACGCGGGGGAGGATTGTCACAGCGCGGTCCAGAAGATTGCGAGCATGGTTGATGTTGCGTGTCTTCATTTCGGCTTCGATGTAGCGAATCCAGAGCACCACAGACGTTGAGTCCACGTCCAGAGCTCGCTCAAAGATCGAGCGCGCTCGACGGAATTCCTTTTGTTCCAGTTCCCAGGCAGCATAGCGCATCCAATTGTTCATGTTAATGCGGTTCCGTCGCACATAGTCCTCAAATTCCTTGCGCTTTCGGCCTTGATACTCGTGCAGTTCCTCGAGATCGGCGAAACGTTGTGTTGGCGCCTGCAGACCGGGCTCTTGTCGATCGACAGCCTCGCGCAGCAGCTGCTCCGCAGAGATCTGAATAGGCGCCGGCGCCTTGTTTTTGACCCGAGGGGGTCCTCGTGATGCCTCCATCTTGGACAACTTGATTCGCGCAATCTGATAGAGGTGTTGTGTTGCAAAGAGGATTCAGTCCGTGAGATGATTGAGCTGAGTGCTTCCAATACGAGTGCGGTCACGAGGCACAGGGTGGTGGTCCAGGACCAATGGAACACTTCCGTCCGCGAGCGCACTTCGAGAAGGGGGCGTCCACAGCCTGTTCAAAGCTCGAAGAGAGGTGTGTTAAAGTAGAGCTACAGTTGGGATTGCCTTGAGCCTTGGGTAAATTGCGCAGGCCTGCGTTTGTGGTTGATCTCGCCACCCGCGAATCTTCTTAGCGGCTCGCGGGACAAGACTGGCCAGAGGTCACGGGCGGGTTCTGCGGCCCGTGTGAATTGGACTGCCTGGCATGAGTGAAGCTCACCCACTGACTAAGCGCAGCTCTTCCGCGGCGAAATCTGGTCAATGCCGACATCACTACCGCTTCGAACATTGACAGGCTTCAGTGGCGCTGTGAACAAAATCTCGGCTACCGCTCCTCGTCTCGCAGTCTGTGTGATCGAGACTAGAATCGCTCATCATGTCGGCGGCAGACGAGCTTCTGCGTGATTTTGAAGAAGATGAAGATTTTCAAGATGAGGAGGAGACCGAGCAGCAAGACCTTGTGGAAGAACCCACTCACGATGAACCCTCCAAGCCTTCGAATGAATTCGATCTTTCAATAGAGACGGCGGATGAATTAACACGACTGCATAAAGCTCTCCGCGATCACTACTCTATTCGGTTCCCCGAACTCGAGACACTCGTCACCAACTCCATCAAATATGCAAAAACTGTCGCAATTCTCAAGAATGGCCCCCTCGATGACATCAAAGCGCTTTCAAATTCTACGGATAACATCACCGGCGAGTCGCTCAAATCTGTGCTGGATGGGCCGACACTTATGGTTGTGGCGGTGGAAGGTACGACAACTCGCGGTCGAGAGATGACCACCTCCGAGCTTAAAGTCGTTCTCGATACTTGCGAAAGGATCTTGAAGCTCGACCGTGAGCGCACAGCTCTTACGGAAAGCATCCGGTCTCGTGTGAACTCTATCGCGCCGAACCTTACCGCTCTCATCGGACCTCATACAGCTGCGCAGTTTCTGAATCAAACTGGTGGTCTGCTCGAGCTCGCCAAGATCCCGGCTTGCAACTTGGGAGCTCAGGGGTCGCGGAGGCAAGAAGGTCTCGGATTCGCAACAAACATTGGAATCCGCTCCAAGGGCTTTCTGTACGATTCACCGCTCATTCAAGAGGTTCCAAACGATCTGAAGAAACAGGCTATCCGGATTGTGGCTGCAAAAATGGTGCTAGCCACTCGTGCAGATGTTGCCAACTACAACAAGGACGGGTCCCTAGGCGAGGAGCTCAAGGAACAGTGCTTCAAGCGGATAGAGAAGCTCACAGAGCCCGCACCCAACTCTGGAGTTAAAGCACTACCCGCGCCAGATGACAAACCTTCCCGCAAGCGAGGTGGACGTCGTGCTCGTAAGGCCAAGGAAGCTGTCGCAATGACGGAGCTACGAAAAGCTCAGAATCGCCTTGCATTCGGCAAGGAGGAAGCAGAAGTGGGATATGGTACTGGAGAAGGGACTATTGGCTTGGGTATGCTCGGACAGCAGAATGACGGCCGGATTCGCGCTCTGCAGATAGACCAACGCACTCGCGCCAAATTGAGCAAAAACAACAAAGGCTGGGGTGCCGCTACTCCCCTCAGCAGCGGTACTGCCTCGTCACTGCGCGGGTTTGGTCAAGGGGGTGCTGGAGGCACGGCAAGTGTACTCCAGTCGAAAGGTCTACGCTCGTCCGGCGTTGGATCGGTGTCGGCAACAGCAGGTACTGCTAGTACAATTGCTTTCACTCCTGTACAGGGCCTGGAACTTGTCGATCCGAAGGTCCAGGCCGAGATGAACCGGAAGCGAAAGGCGGACGAAGACCGCTGGTTCAACTCAGGAACATTTACTCAAGTTGGCGGCAGTCAGAGCAGCATCAACACTCAGAAAGATCGCGATGGGTTCAAGGTGCCGGCGCTTCCGCTGAAGAAGAAGGTCGACACCGGAGAAGGCAAAATGGGACCCCCGCCGAAGCCTTTCAGCGGATAGTAGTCACCACTTTTTTCAAGCCATTACACTAACTTTACAATTGTCCTCTCCGGATAAAAATTGGCATACTCTCGGCGAAAATTGACGGGACACTAAAGGAAATACCGGCGTTCGGAGGAAAACCATACCCTAGTTCTCAGCACGATCGTAATGGCAGGATTTACAGTCATTTTCACAATCACTTGTTCGATACCAATTGACTCGCAGTATGCTATTGGTCATTGAACGGATAACAATGTATTCATACGATCATAACAACAGTCAAGCACCACATGATTCAGCGCAGACAACCAAACTGAGACCGATCAATGCATGTGGAATTGTGGACAAGTCAACAGTCAACGTTCCCTCGCTGGTTCCCAATCACACGCATCAATTGTATGCTGCTGGGCTGAAATAAAGTTTTTTACACCTGATCCATCCGTGCCACATGCATAAGCTGAAGAGTTCCACTTTCGCGCTGAGTCGCACGCCATCGGTCCTTCTTTTTGGGTAGTAGACATCTTCTCATTCGATACAGGGTTTTGAAGACCGTAGATTGCGGAACATATGCTGATCCCTATATGCTGGCGCACTGCGTAGGACTCGAAGCTTTTCATCTTAAGAGTTGCGGCATAACTTGTTCGCACTGGGTTCGAACAACATGGGCCATAGTTGAGCTTTGTTTCTTCCGAGATGAAGAAATGAAAACATAGGGTAAAGTTCAACTCAAGACCAACGAGTACATATTTCAGTGGAACCCGGAGGTGTTTTCCCGTCAAACGGTCAAAAACTTTCTGGATCCAAACTTTGAGGCTCAACTTGTGGCACTCGGTCCAAATGGCGTGCTTCGACCCTACCATTTGCTCAACGGCTATCGCAGCTTCGAGGAAAGTGGTACAGGTGCTTTTAAGTGGGGGACTAGTAGTGATTAGGTACCTAAGGTACCGATGACTTTCACCGTCGCTACATGCACAGGCCCATATTGAGGTACCATGCAAAACTTTTCTTATGTGGCCATTCTACCTATCTACCTTACCTACCTAGCTCTCCAAATGCTCTGCGACTCTCATCGTATTTCCTCTAGGCGGTCTTCTCTGCTCGGCCACCGAATCAATTGATTTGGCAAATCGCCTCAATCCGTTCGATTGGTCCGGAGGTTTCATTTGCTTATGTGCTTTTCTCCTTTTTCTCAATACGACAACTACGCATAACTCGCCGCTGGGTGTAATTTCAAATTTCTATCCTGCGGCGTCAACAAGAAGAATACAGCCAGCCCGGCGCTACCACCATCTGACCATTCTGCATGAGCTTCGGGCCCTTTATAACAGCCGCCACCTTTCTCATCATGACTGTCGATACGATCAGCCCATCACAACGAGCTCTGCTGCTTTTGGCGTCCGTCAAAATGCAAAAAGGAAAGAACTTGCATCCCATCTTCAAGTCACTGCGACCTCATACCGAGATCTCCTCCGAGTTTGAGCAACTTAAATTCCATGCCGCTGCGTCATGGCAACTCCAGTTGTCACAAGATGATGATGAGTTTTCAGCGAAAGAGTTTGTCCCTGATACTCGGCTCGTGGCTTCTCCCTACAACAGCGTTCCCCATCTTTTAGATCTCGACACACTTGACACGCAGAGTCGTCTTTTGGCGCTTTCCCTGTCACTCTTCACACCGGTGCGCAGCGATTACGCCACTGGGGATTATCTCGAATTCTTCAACTGGCCTGAGGTTTTCCAATTCTTGAAAGCTCTGGCCAAAGCTGGAGGCCATGCTTGGAAGAAGCAGTCCTTCTATGTAGTGTCATTCCGCTCCCAACTTCAGCCAGGCGTGGACAATGACCATCTGCATGCCCTAGATGCATACTCTCATCAAGAGGCGGTCAGCAGTGGAGGGCTGTTGAAGTACTGGTTCGGTACGAAGAACAAAGACAGACGGAATCTGGCAACTTGTATGAGACAAATCCTGAGGATCTCATAAGTACTCTGGACCGGGAAAGAGTACTAATACTTGACGCAGGTATATGGCGAAATCGAGACGATGCCCGCTTGGGAGGCCGAGGGCCTTGGCATGCGAAAGCCAGGGCGGCGGCAAGAACCATGTACGAATCGATCGCTTTTTCAACATTGGAGCTAGTCATTGGAGACCACGTCGACACTTGGGATATTCGGGAGTGGAGGAATGACCACCCATAACTTGGATTCCTTCGGCCTTATTGCATACCTGTTTGACGCTACGACGACAAAACTTTTGACCTATTACTCATAAGTTGCGTCTTTATCATCTCTCATGCACGCATTTTGGTGACTTAGTGGGTGTTCTCATCTTTCATCCCGTCTACCACCTATCTGGTCTCGATTTCATCGCTGTCGTGAGCCTCACTTCAGCTTTCGATTTCCAATCCGGTGGTATTCTCCCTGGACAAAGCCGGGAACATCGGTTAATCATGTGGTGTTTACGACAAGGAAATGCAAGAAGTCACAATTTGCCTTATGCTTTGGTCCAACTAACTTCTCACGTCCTATCTCCGGTCTCGAAAGAGATGTTGTGAATATGGAGATTCAATTCTCCTTGAAAACGCATGAGCCTCTTTGAGTGGTCATTCGTTCTGCATGTGACTCCCACACCTAGATTACTTGAAGATTAGGTATGTATTGATTTTTCTTGAAAATTTGCATCTGCAATTTTCGATCACCTCGATCTCAGGGATATCAATACGATTATTTGCCCTAGACTGGTGACATACTGTCGTTTGTGATGATGAGTGGGAAGAAAGATATGTATTGGTTGACACTCGAGACTACTATGCCCTAGGTCAGAACTTCGAGTAGTCATACTGTAACAAGACGTTATCACTTCAATTTCAGTATCATCACGTGACCGACTATGGTTGTCACCCTCTCGAGTACGGAGGTCACCCAGCTCTACATTGTGGAACTCTAGGTAAGAATGAAATCAGGTCAGATTGGCTACCTAGTAAGCTTGTAATAACTACTTAGGCAGTCGGCTCGGACGGGGTATGACGGGACGCAAAGGAACTAGATCCTTCATCCGTAATTTGAACAAATCAATAAAGCCATTGCGATATCACCAGCCTCAGCTAACAGTCCAAGCCGACCTGCAGTCTTGCCAGGATCCTTCCAATTCACATCCTCGGATGCTGAATCTCGCTACGTCCAGTGTCCACTAGCCGACGAGATATCCCGGGAGTGGAAGTCTTTCCGACTTCATGACACATGCGGGGCGATTTTGCATCATTATTTACCCGAAAGACCGTTTTGACGTGTTCAGTGGTTATCACGGAACTCCAACGAAGCTCGTCACTCGATGCTTGCGCGTTGAATTACTCCACCTTTGAAGTAACCGAGCTACTATGTATGTACAACTGAGGTGGCCAAAGCTACGTGGGCAAATCATCAACTAGATCAATGGGAAATATAAAAGACAAACCTGCAGCCCGCATCAGACGGGTCCTCCCCGCAAAGCTGGGGAATAAATACTTTGCGGGCGACAGCCGAGGGGGTACAACTTCAACAACGTCAACAACAACAACAACAACAACAACAACAACAACAACAACAACAACAACAACAACCATACCCGGTATATATTGAGGGTGGCACCACAAACGCGCGAGCCTTTGCGTGGAAATCTGGGGACGAACCTATCTCTTCCTCGTCAGATAGATACAATCGGTCTAGTAGGTAGTCACTCCCCCGAATCGGATTGACATGTATGTCTTAAACAACTCATGCAAAGGCCCGACTCACGCGCATCTACCGACCTCAACGAACAAAGGCACCTAAATCATATCCTCGAATTTCTCGTCTGTGGATATATATCCAACCACATTCAAAATCCTCCATCTCGTCATCAACGACAACTTCCAGGTATCGTACCTGAATACAACGACCAGCCAGCATACACTGAACTCAAAATGATCGGTCTTCTTGGAGACCAGATCGCTGTCAACGACGGACCTCTCAATTCAGAGAATGCGGCTCTTTTACGCCCATCCGATTTAGCGCTCCCTCTCGAAGAGCTCAGAAGACGATACCACGAGGATGGCTATCTCTTCCTCAAGCAGATTATCCCTCGCGAGGACGTTCTCGCCGCCCGCGATTCATACTTCTCTTCCCTGGAGCCCAGTGGCATCCTCAAGCCCGGCAGCAAGCCCGTAGACGGAATCTTGGACCCAGCCAAGTCCCACGAGGACTATCCCGGCATAGGAGCAGGCCATGCCAACGGCAATGGACGACCGGGCGGCGAACGGGCCGCGGCCTTTGTGGATCTCGCTCTCGATGCACACTATCAGAACTGGTATGCAGAGAAATTCTGCAAGCATCCCGTCTTGCATGATTTCATTGCAAAGTGGACCGGCTGGGGCGCAGACACCCTGAACTTGCGTCGAACTCTGCTGCGCAATAATCTTCCCGGCTCAAAACCCATCGGCGTTCACTATGATCAGATTTTCCTACGCTATGGCGATCCGACCAGCGTGACGGCCTGGGTGCCCATGGGTGACATTAAAATTAGCGGCGGTGGGCTGATTTATCTTGAAAATAGTGAGTGATGCTCACCTGTACCTGCGCGGCCCTCGATGAATCACTGACTGCTGTGGTGACAGGCGACGATATCGGCATTAATATAGAAAAAGAGTTCTTTGCCAAAGCGAAGCAGTCTGGAATGACCGATGAAGAAGCACGGTCCGCGTTCAACTCAAACATGATGGCGACTGGCCTGCTGTCCGAGACTCCAGCTGCCTTTGCTCAGGAACATTCCCGGCGCTGGTTGGTGTCGGCTTATGAAGCGGGCGATGTAGTTCTGCACAAGCCTCACATGGTAAGTTCTGGATGATTCAATTTCCCCTTGCAGTGCCACAGCTGCTGAAATGATCCACCCCGGGGTGTAGATTCATGCGTCTACGCTCAACCTCGACCCGGACAACGTGATCCGGCTCGCAACAGACCTGCGCTTCTGCGATTCTTCAAAGCCGTTCGATAAGGTATGGAAATTGTCTCAGTGTTGTCTATAGATGCTGAGATGCTGACAAAGCTCTAGAGATGGATGAATCACTACCGATTCAACGATGGCGTATAGATTTGGGCTTGATTCTGCGCGAAGTGTAGACATGTGACGACTGTGAGGTCTAGCAAAATGAACTCGTTATCACTGATCAAAAATGACTGTCAAATGCCGATTCTACACATCTGCCACCAGAACAAACAGTTCGACACATCGTTATAGCTACCCAAAGTCAAGCATACTGCCTCTTTCTTCGTGTCTGAAGCTATGCACAAAGTTCGAGAGTGTGAATAGTTGAAGATGCATCCTCCCTTGCTCAAATTACCCCTTACCTGAGTGATCAGCCGTGAGCGAGCCTGTCAAAAAGTCAAAACGGCACAAGGAATGTGGCCGAGTTTCATTCCTCAAGATGCCTGGTTCTTCATTCTTCGCTCTCTCTCTTATCTTTGAATATCCCTAGATGACGGGGGGTGGCCGCAATCTAGACTGCGCGCTCCGTCCTCCAAAGGCGAATAAAAGCTTCATCGGGTGGATCACAGAGAGTGACACTTTATGACAATCGGAGATGTTTCTCCGTTAAAGTTCCTACCTTAGTATGTACAGAAAACCTAATTGAATCTCAACGTTCGTGCCGGTGAATGGTCGCCCGCGAGGCGTGCTTGTAGGCTGGGCTGTGGAATTCTGACAATGACATGCGCAAGTAGAGGGGACTCATTCCACGCGAGGTCTCAAATATTCATGAGGGGACCTTTCCACAACAGCGCCGACCGACGAAGTATATGAGTCGCCTTGATTCCCGGCGCGCGCGCATTCAGTGGCGGCTGGGACATGATTTTTCTATGACGAGCATTGGTCTCCTTGCGAACCCATCAAGACATCATAGCAGAAGTACAATTCTCGATATCAAATTGCCTCACGCCACGAACGCAATGTTGTTGTCAACATTGAGCAATACCTCCTGGGTGACAATCGGTCTTTGGGGACTTGCGGCTGTCTCCCCCGTCTATGCATTCCCTGCGCAGCCCGCAATCACGGAACGAGCGCAACTCGCACCAGCGATAGAGGCTCGCGACCCGGTAAGAACTCGGTACCTTTCTGCTTGAAGACGTTTTTGCAGTCCAAGCCAGTATAGTGGGCACGACCTGCTAATCATCGCCCTTTCATAGCGACTGATCCCCGACACCGAGGCATACCTCGCCAACCTCTTCGACCTGCTGGGCATGAGTATCGATATCAGCTCAACTCCAGGGACAACACTGACGCCTACACCCACCACTTCAGCCTCGAGCACAGCCTCTCCGACAATTTCCTCCACGGACAGCATGACTGATGACTCCCGGGTGCATGATCAGAAGGACACCCGTCCAACGCCGATGCCGGCGCCTGTTGTTGAAAATGCGGGATTCATCACCTCGGCGAATGTCCAGCATGGAGACGATAAGCCGATTCAGAATGTGCAAATCGGTCCGGGTTACCAGGGAGAGAAGAAGTTGGAGGCGTCGGACCTACCGGTCATCTTTGCGGCCGTGGAGACGGAGGTTGCGGCTCGGTTGCGGAAGGCATGGGATAGTTCTGATGAAATTGGACTGAAGGATCCCTTCGGACTTTGAGATGAGAGTGCTGGCAGTGAAGTTCAATGTTGGGAACGGTGTATAGTTAGTAGTAGTAACGTAGTAACGTGAAGGAATGCAGTCTCGTGACCTGTTGCGCATCATGGATCCGATCTTGGTAAATTCCGGGAAATCGTTCAGCAGGTTTGATTTTGAATCGACTGTCTTCTTCAACGAGTATTGCTATCAAGCTGAACCCGCCGAGTTCTGGTTCCATATGCGTGAAATCATGGACGCGACCTTCGGCACCGCTTCATTATGGAATTTTCCTGGATGCAGTGGCCAGCTATGCGGACTCGACTCATCAACTGCAACTACTTGCAATCCTCGGAGTATATCACCTAGTTCATCAGGTGGGCGCGTCGACTCGTCACATAAGTCATAGATCAGTGAGGACATAGGAAATCTCGCCTAATACATGGATGTATGGATCGACGTTTCTTTCCTAGGGTTCGACAAGGACTTGTCGCCCTTGGCCTTAGGTCTCCAATTCGAGTCGTCACATGCAGCAAACGCACAAGGGTCGCGTTCAACCATCGCAGCCTCCGTTTTGACGGCGTATCTGTCCTCGTCAGGCTCATTGAAATTCACTTCAGCAAAGAAGGATATGTTGACCTCGAACAAGCCGATCAAGAGCCTTGTTCGGTTTCCGTCTTAACTCCGATGACGGGCCCCAGTTCCAGCTCGACGGAACCAGCCCGTTCTACGCGATCAGTTCCCCAAAGATCCGAATAGTTCCCGACCGATGAGGTCGGTTCCATCTCTCGTCAGAATGGCTCCGCTTAGGAACGATCCCTGAACCTGGATACAGACCAATTGTTTCGGTTGGGATCAGACGCTCATCCTTGGAGTAGGTCTCACGGAGAGAACCGAGAGGGAACCGAAGTTCAGTCGACACGGGACAAGAGACCATTCCCCTTCGGAGTTAAGTCGGGAGAGCGGGACATTCTGGAGATCCGTGTGCAAAGACTACACGTGACTGCAGTAGTAGTAGTAGTACTGAGTTACTAACGTTACTGCCGGAGTTGGGGCGTTGTGGTGCGGGCAAAGTGTCTGGTGGGGTTCGGGGCAGCAGATGATGGCATCGCTGCAAAGTGGGGGACAGCCTCGAGCTCTTGGAACTTCGACGACTGTCTTTCTCAGAGGTCGTCGCAATCTATAAAAGACCCGCACTCTTGCCCTCTGACGACTCTGACGACTCTGACAAGAGAGTTGCGCATCTTAACCTCGTGGTATAAAAGAGGCCTTATTATCGATCATCGATCACCGATCACCGATCACCAACGTAAGGTCAAAGTCTCTTACTCACGTCACCTCAATCGACCACGAAAGAAACTCTCGACCACCTTCCAATTTGCGCCCTTGTCGTCCTTGCACACTTAAAGTCGCTTGCAACATGCCTACTCTCGTTGGCAAAGAAATTGGCCCTATCGGCTATGGCACCATGAGTATGTTGGCTTATCTGGGGTATCCCACGGCGGTTCTTTCACGACGGGACTGACTGAACCTTGGTTCCCGCATAGGAATGACCTGGCAGCCTGAGCCTCCCAGCCAAGAAGTCTGTTTTGAAACTTTGAACAAAACGCTGGAACTCGGCGCAAACTGTTGGAATGCGGGCGAACTCTATGGCACGCCAGAGTACAACTCGCTGCACCTCCTCAACAAATACTTCTCCAAGTATCCCCAAAATGCGGACAAGGTCGTGCTCAGCATCAAAGGCGGCTTGAAACCGGGCGAGTTGGCGCCGGATGGCTCGGAGAAGAACCTGCGTCGGAGTGTGGACGAGTGTCTGCGCGTGCTGGATGGCAAGAAGACCATTGATATCTTCCAAGCCGCACGCCAGGATCCCAACTACCCCGTCGAGCATACGATCGAGGTCCTTGCCAAGTACGTGCAAGAGGGCAAGATCGGTGGCATTGGCCTCAGTGAGGTGGACGCGGAAACTATCCGAAGAGCGTACGTCGTCTCTCGACCTTCTATCGGCCTGCGTCAGAATGGATCCATTTGATTGGCGACTAACTAGCTATCTAGACACAAGGTTCATCCCATTGCAGCTGTCGAGGTGGAGTTGTCTCTCTGGTCGACCGATCCCCTCGAGAACGATATTGCCAAGACATGTGCAGAGCTCAACATCCCTCTTGTCGCCTACTCACCACTTGGGCGTGGCGTCCTGACGGGCTCATTGACCTCCGCAGAAGACATTCCAGAGGGAGACTTCCGTCGACACTTGCCACGCTTCCAAGGAGAGAACTTCCAGCACAATCTGAAGCTGGTCAAGGAGGTGAAGAACCTAGCTACGGGCAAGAATGTTACACCGGGCCAGATTGCCTTGGCCTGGGTTCGTACTTTGAGCAACAAGCCTGGGATGCCCACTGTGATTCCCATCCCTGGTGGCACAACTGTCGACAAGGTGATCCAGAACATGAGCGGCGTGGACGCGCTCACGGACGAGGATATGGCTGAAATTGATGCGATCTTAAAACAGCATACAATGGCTGGAACCCGCTACTGAGCCGAAGAGATAGTTGTCTAAGTATCAAACCTATTTCACAGTGAATTAGCGAGGAAAATCTTGCCAAGCAATGGGATAAAATTGAAATTGGAGTTCAAGTCTCGAGAGTCAGATCAAGTGTAGAAGAGTCAACACGCAATCTCACAACGTAAGACCCGAAAGAAATACATGGAGATTGTCTGAATTGCAGAATTCTTCTTTGCGTTCATCACGCGAGAGGCTACGGCGGGAAGGCACAAATAGCGACCGGGGGTGAAAAGGGACAAATAAGCTTACCATATGGATATCATGATAATGGGTTAATGTAAACTTGGTCGGTGAGATTGAGACTGCGACTATACAAGCCACGCCTCTTCGGTGTATGCTCATGAAGATTTCATTGTGGAGAATGGTGATGAACAAGAGAAGAAAGAAAAAGCAGAAGAAAATAATTAGTCTGCGGAAGGCTAAAAGCCCGGGAAGCTCCAGGCTTTGATCATGTGATGAGCTATTGACGGTCCTCACCTGGCGCCAGCAACCACCCCGGCGACCTCTTCCTTGAGTGTAATACATTCACTGTTTTAAACACTCAGAATCACACAGTCTTGAGGAGACCCGAGGTCGTCTGAAATTGAGCATCATGGCTTCACGCGATCCATCCCCTTTGTCCTCCATCGACACAGCCGACGACTCAGATCGCGACTCGGTCAAGAACGAGAGCCGCGCTCAATCCCCGTCAGCTGTGAATATGCCCCCGTCAAAACGACGTCGCACAGGAGTCGCATCCTGGGATCGACATACTCCCATGTCCACCTTACAAGACGATATCCCTCCTCCGGCTTCCCCCTCGTCCTCGATTTCCTCCGACACCTCGGGCGAGATTCCGAACTCCCCTGTGCTTTTCGGCGCCGCGCTAGGCGGCAACACACAGGAGGACGATTACAGTGGACAGTGCAGTGATCAAGTCACAGTCTGTATGTGGGATGGATGTACGGCAGGGGACCTTGGCAACATGGATGGTCTGGTGCAACATATACACAACGACCATATCGGGACTCGGCAGAAGCGGTATTCCTGCGAGTGGATGGACTGTTCCCGCAAAGGACAAACGCATGCAAGTGCATATGCATTGCGAGCCCACATGAGGAGCCACACTCGAGAAAAGCCATTCTATTGCACATTACCTGGTAGGATAATCGCCCTTTTGGCCTCTCCGGGCCTGTGTGAAACTCGGGGGTTGCGTTGCGATGTGCCATTATTGTTGCTAATGCCACTTTTCAGAATGTGATCGTAACTTCACTCGCTCAGACGCCCTCACAAAACACATGCGCTCGGTGCACGAACTCGACAGCTTGCGCCCTACCGAGGTCAAGGCTGCTGCTCTCGGCAGCGCAGCCGGCGCAACGGGAACTCCAGTCGCGAAGCTTCAACGTATTCGCCTCAAGCTCTCACAACCCTCAAGAGACCACGGCAGCGACGCGGAAACCGTCAACGAGTCTCTCTCAACCACGGCAACGGGGCACGATGACACTGAAGATGCAAGTTTGTCCGAATTTGGACCGGAACTCGGCTTCGACAAGCGTGAACTTGCCATGGCTCCACGCGACCTCTACCGTCTGCTCCGAAGACAAATTCACTGGGCTGAGAATGAGACCGCACAACTGAAAAGTTTATGGGACCAGCTGCGACCAAAACGTGAGCAAGCGTGGCTGGAGAAGGAGGCTATATTTGACGACGTGATCGATGCCGAACTTCGACTCTTCAGCGCTCTTGTTGGTGATCTGGGTCCCATTCCAACTGGCACTGACAGCTCTGTGACGAGTTTGGAGAAGTTGCAACAGCAGCAAATGCAATTCAAACATCAGCAGGATCAACTGCAGGCCAAACCAACAGAACAACCAGATGACGACGTGGATGGCGCGGCCTGATCATATTCTTCATGGTGCCGATCATTTACAACTCTTATGCTTTTTTTTCATGGACCTGGCGTGTTTGGCGTTTGGAAGCTCTGGTAATGTCTTGGTGCTACGGAATAGCCTGCAAAATCACTCCGAAGCAGGTAATTGTACGAATATATTAGGCTGGTATTTACGTCAACGAATATCCCATCTCGGATTTTTGATCAATATCTACATCACGAGATAGGCGGGACTACACTAATGCACCGGATACGTGTTACTCCCTTCGCTTGGCTATCATTAGCAGAGCGGAACTCAGGTATAGATTTCACATACTGCCCTCTTAGCTGCAGTGCGTATCTAATCACCTGATGAACCTGCAGCGGATTAGCACTGAAAGGCGATCGTCTCTCTAAGCAATTGAAACCTGGATCAAGGTGGACCTTTGATGTTATGTACTAGGCAGTAATCGGACGAGCTCTCTCGCTAAGACGCCGTTCCCATGCACAGTATTTGATGGAAATATTGTTTCTTATGCTCAGGTAGATATACTGCACAGTACATTGCTAGAAGAGAAGTAGACAAATCCTGCAAGTACTCCGGAATCAGCCACTGGCACTTGCGGCTCACTTCTCCCTCATGGAAATGTCAAAGGCGGCTCGCTTTGACTATGGAAAGTGAGTATTGAACGGAGATGGGAGTGAGAGTAAAGTGAAGCGTACGTCTATAAGAAGATGAGTGCGAATCAATGGTATCGTCATTATGCTGATCTTCAGATCATGTGCAGAGAGAAAGATAGGAATCAAACTTAGACCAAAGATTATTGATCAGTGTAAGCATTTTTTTAGTTACACGAAACGCAACCCAACCCAACGACGCCTTCGCAATGCCATGCAACTCCTCGCAAAGTGTATGTACTTTAAAATCAAAACAGGTCATTGCGAGGTCCCGGGATCATGCACTTCATTTTGGCTAGAAATGCTTACTGAAACATTTAAAACACGTCGTGTCATCACTCACGAATCGTGCGGTTCTTGTCAGCCTGACCAGGACTGACGCAATGATTCATGGTGTTCACAATCGGCAGATCATGAACCATTCGAGGACTTCTCCTTCTCCGCTTTGCCAGCATTCATGACCTTGTCAAACATCTGCTGGAGCTTCGTTCCGCTGGCCTCCTTGTTGGGCCAGTAATTGGCGGAAACGTAGTCCCTGCGAGCTTGTCAGTTACTGTATTCTCATTTCAGTATTTGTAAAGTGTAAAAGGACTTACCACAGGCGTCGTTCAAGGGAAGGCATGGACTGCTCGCCTTCCAAGGTGCCGCGGATGAACTTCCCGATCTTCACAATGGTGCTGCGAAGCTTGAGCGCACGCTCGTGCTTGTTGGGATAATTCTTGGCCGTGATCATGGAGACCTGCCTCAAATTCGGCAGGATTGGTCGGAAGAAGACTTTGGCCATGTCCTCTTTACTTGAGCCGCCATTCTCGTGGCTCCTGCGGCGGCGAAGATCGTCACCTGCGGCGTCGGATGGGCGGTGGCGCGAACGCTCGCCGTCCTGGCCTGACCTGGGCCGATCGTGACCGGGAGTGTTGTGACGCTCACCGGAGTCACGGCTCCCGTGAGTGAAGGATCGAGGTCTTGAGCGATCAATTTCACGGTGACCTCGGCGACCAGGGGGAGCGGGAGACGCGGACACACTACCACTTCCAACCCTTGACGAGCGCTTGTTGTTTCGGTGGTGGTTCTCCACTGCTCTTCTTGCGTTGACATTGCTCCCATTACTGTGTTTGTTCCTCATCACAGAGAGCAAGTACTCCGCACGACGCACGAGATGGACAGCCCCAGGCGACTTGGTGGTCTTCTCCTCTCCCTGGGCGCGCTGGGTCTTTCTTTCCACGCGATGCTCCTCAAGGAAGAACTTGTCACCAAGACCGAGATCGGAATCGTCGCGAATTTGGGCCCAAGCGCCGAAGCCATGACGGGCGATTCCCACAAGAAGCATGCCATCCTCACGGGCACCCCAGGGGCAGCTGTAGTCGGCCAGCTTTGTAGCTTCTGGAAGGCGGAAGGTCTTGAAGTCCGGTAAGGAACTGGTGATCTTGCGAACGAGACGCATGTCGGGGGGTCGATCGACGATGGTCCAGGCATTCAAGCGTTTGACACCGTGATGGTCGAATAAGACTGCCTTCTGTTCCTTCTTCGTCAAATTCTTCCCGGACTTCTTGATGGCATCCATCTGAGCCAGGTTTTCTTGCACCAGCTTGGCGGCCTTGTCCGTGATTTCACGGAGAGCAGCGTGAACAGTTTCTCGGTCACGGTTCTGTAGCCGCGCGTCCTCGACAATAAGCTCCTCGCAGTCTTCCCAGTCGCCGTACCGAAGAAATGCGCGTGAAAGAGAGCGGTATTCCTTCTCTTCAAGCGGACGCTTTGGATCGAGTGAGCTGCTGTCCTCGTCATCGTCATCCTCGATCGCAACCTGTGCCCTTGCTTGACGCTTGGCCTGGCGCTCGCCGCGGGTCTCAGTTGAGTCATTGGGGGCGTGACGTTTTCGAGGTCGGTTCTCCTCAATGACTTCTGCAAGGTACCTCTCATCCGCCTTCCTTTTCTCCTCGGCCTTGATTTCCGCCAGCTGATCCTGGGGGATGATATCATCCCAAGAGAGGTCGTCAACCTTGATATCAACAAAGTCAAAGGCCTTCAAAAACTCCTCACCACCGTCAGCCTGGATAGACTCTTCTTGTTCAGTGTGATGAAGTTCTGCATTGGCAAGGACAGAGTCGATATCAAGCTGCTCAAGCTTCTTCTGATTGTCAGTCTGTTCAAACATCTTCTGACCGCGGCGCTTGAGGATGCGAGAGATATCTTCCGTGGAATTGGGCTCACTGGCTACTCGAGCCATCTTGTTCTGCATCTCCGTGGCTTCTTTATCAGTTACGCCTCGCTGTATGGTGATGAACTCAAGCATGAGCTTATTGCGAGCTCTCTCAATCACCTCCTCCTCAATGGTATCTTTTGAAACGAGGCGGTAGACGCTGACTGGTCTCGTCTGACCGATTCGATGCGCTCGAGCCATTGCTTGCAAATCAGCTTGAGGATTCCAGTCAGAGTCAAAGAGGACGACAGTGTCTGCCGTCATCAGATTGATGCCAAGACCACCAGCTCTGGTGGACAGCAGGAACGCAAAATCGGTACTTTCCGGAGCATTGTAATGTTCGATGGCTAGCCGACGAGCAGCAGAAGGGATTGTTCCATCCAGGCGCTGGTACTTGTAGCCCCGATACTCCATGTATTCACTCAGAATATTGAGCATGCCGACCATCTGACAGAAGATCAGAACCCGGTGACCGTCATTCCTCAGCTTGCGGAGCAGTTGATCTAGAAGCATCATTTTACCGCTGCTTGTGATCATAGCACGTAGAATGTCTTCTCGGCGGCTGCTGCCCTCGAGAATCTTCGCCTCTGCATTTGGGAACATGAAAGGATGGTTACTCGCTTTCTTGAGCTCCATCATAATGTTCAGCAGCGACTGCTTCATGCCTTTTGCTCCATCATTCAAGGCAGCGTAATTCTTTGTCAGAATATTCTTGTAGTATTCCAACTGAACATCAGACAGCTCAACCCGAATGATCTTCTCAGTCTTTGGTGGGAGATCGGATTCCACCTTCGACTTTGTCCGTCGAAGCATGAATGGCTGAATGGCATCTGTCAGCTCAGCCAACTTGTGCGACGCATGCTCCGAATTCAGATCCATGTCTACATCGACGTGGACCATCCCTGGATTGAGGAAATCCATCAGTGCAGAAAGCTCGGCAAGATTGTTTTGAATAGGAGTACCAGTGATAAGGAGCTTCGCCTGGCACTTCCACTCGCTAAGCTTGACGTAGAGCTGTGAATCTCGGTTCTTCAGACGGTGAGCCTCATCAACCGCCATAAATTGCCATTTGAACTGGCCAAGGAATGGTGAGTCGTTCATGGCATACTCGTAAGTGGTGAGCAGGACGTGGAACTTGGGCCGCTTAGGGTTACCATCAACCATCAACTCATAATCACGCAGTACGGAGCGTGCCTTCTCACTGCCGTTATAGACAATGTAGTTCAGGTCAGGCGTCCAGTTGTCAAATGTGTCGGCCCACGCCGGCATGGTCGACAATGGAACGATGACAACGAAGGGGCCTTGTTGTCGCCGAACATGGCGAAGCCAGTTGATGAAAGAAACTGTCTGCACCGTTTTTCCCAAACCCATCTCATCGGCTAGCACGACGTTGCGATCCTTGACCCAATTGAACGCCAAGAAATTCAGTCCCTTGATTTGGAAGTCTTTGAGTTCGCCATTCTGCAAGAAATCGGGAGATGACTGGATTCGCTCGAATGGACGACGAGTAGCCGGATTGGACTCATTCTTATCGGACACAGGGACGCGTGCTGACCGGTCGATGTAACGGTCAATCTCCCCCTGCGCGATGTCACTAACCAAATCTTCGGCTTCCCAGGTACATGAATCGTAGAACAGTCGCTTCCACTTCACCAGATACTCGGTCGAGCCGTCCTCGCCCTCTCGAACGCCAATGACTCGCTCAACGCGTTTGTAATCCTCAATGGCCTCCACGTCTCGTTCGCGATCCAGATTCCACTTCTCTCGATCCTCTGGTGGCGCGTCTGGGTCGTGAAGCAGGCGAAGTTCCTCATTCAGCACTTTGCGGACATAGTTATCCACGCGTCGCGTGCTACGATAATTCGCGAGAGATTCATTAGACTCCCAAGTCGCATGAACATGTGATTTGTCCTGCCACTTGATGTAAAACTCGAAATCCTGACGATCAACGTCGGGGTTTTTGGGATCCACTCCTTCTTTCAATCGATGATTTAGGACGACATCGACAGCGGGACGGGTGTCCTCCACGTAGCTTTGCGTCCAATAATTATCCACGAGGCTGTCTGGATCCTCTTCGAAGATTTCGTCGTCCTCATCCTCATTGTAATTGGAGACCTTGGATGCATTCCGTGTAGAGAAGCGGACTTCGGCATAAGACGGTTCAGTGCTCGCAGCTTGTTTGAGGCGGCGTCGTCGTGCCTTACTTGCCCGGGCCCCTTTACCCCCATACTCGTCGCTTTCGGTTTCCGAAGAGGAGTTTGGAGATGAGCGGGAGGTTTTCGAGGGCTGTTGTGAGGGCTCCTTGCGCCGGCGCTTGGAACGTTGGGTGATCACATCTGATTCAGAATCTGATGAGTCAACGACGTGACGAGTTTGGCGTGCGCGACCACTTCTACGTAGGCCATAGAGATCTGGATTTTGTCTCATGAAATCAACTTCGTCAAGCGGCGATGATTTTCTCTTTACTCCGCGATGCGGTTCTGGGGATGAAGAATTTTCACGGCTAGACTGGACGAAGTCATCTCCACTGTTGTCCTCCGCAGCATCCTCGTCTTCAGGATCGGAAGCTGGAGAATCGGCCTCGTAGGAGTCGTCTGCGACGTCAGGCTCGGGGGAGGACTCGGGAGCCGGATGGGACTCAAAGGATTGGGGTGCGTGGACGCTCTTCTCTGTGGTAGTATCGGGTTCGGAAGGAGATTCTGCATCAACAGAAGAGCGAGAGAAACCATTAGGCATTGAGGAGGAAGTAAATGGTTCTTGACCCGATGGGATCACCATGCTGGAGGCTGTCGCAAAGTGACGAGTCAGCATTTGAAGCTTCGATATGACAAGCAAAGATGTCCGCGGACGCGTCAGGATGTTCATCCATAAGACGCGACCCGAAAGGCTATGCAATTGAGCTTCATGATAGGGGAGACACGCAGCATATCATGTCTGATGGAGTTGAAGGTGTTTTTTGATGGCGGAGTGGGATGACGGAGAGGGGGCTCCAGGCAGTGACGACAAGTGATTGAAAGCTACAACCCACTGCCAGAGGATAAGATCATTCCCAAAATGCTTGATCAGCGAAGCATAATCTCGATCTCCGAGATCGAAGTGGTAATCAGTGACTCTGGCTGTGGGTCGAGCGACGCGGAGAAGTACACGGGCAGCCCGGTCAAGTAACACGCCCGCGCTTCGCGACAATATAACAAAAAAACTTACATTCCATAGCGCGGTGACCCCGCGCAATAGGGTAGATTAGTATATCAACGTGTGGTGACAATGGGTGGTGCAGAGTCGCAGGGGGAACGGTGCGAACGTGGGTGATCAAGACGTGAGAGAGGAAGAGTTGGGGGAAATGAATGTCGATGCGGATTGGTTTGGTGAGGTATGCAGACGATCGACTGTGAGGCCTCGGTACTCAGGCATCAAAGCTGAAGCATACAGTCCACTTCGGGACTGGTGCCTTCGCTTCACGCGCCAGGCAGTCAGGCAGTCCGGCAGAAACATGGGCAAACCGGCCGCCCGCAACGTCCCGTGCCCTTCTCCGCAACGGTGCTGCTGCTACCTTGCGAGGCAGATGCCGGCGTGTTGGTTTTTCCGTTCTGGATCTGGCTAGTCCAATCAACGTCATTCCAAATAATATTGAGTAGCCGTTCCAAGGCGGTGGACTCTTAATTTGAGGGAAAGCCATCCCTCATACGCGGCCTTAGGCACCACAGCCCACAACAAGAAAGAAAGCGTTTGATTCTGCCCCTCCTCTTTGTCGCGAGGACTGTTTCAGGCATTTCTACCCATTCGAGTTTGCGCAGAAGCTTGGTCAAGCGTCGCGGCCGATTTATCTGTCTGCGCCGTTCCTTTCTCGCTCGATCAGCCGGTCCCCCAAAGTGAACGCGAACACTGTCAACACTTGATCTCTCGGTCTGATACTGCGTCGTGCTTCATCGATATCCAACGCCGCCGACATGTCTGACAAGCTTACTCGGTATACACTCCTGAGACCTGAAAGAAAACCTTGCGCAATACTAACAAGCTCTTCACATCTAGTATTGCCATCGTCAACAGCGACAAGGTGCGCCCGACTTCTCCCGGCTAATCTTATTTTCTCCCTCATCGTCATCGCATACATGGTTCATGGTCTACTGACACAGCACCGCTGAGGTCTACAGTGCAAACCCAAGGTATGGAAGCATGGGGGATCCGAATCAAGACTTGCAGATACTGACAGCGCTTCGAACAGAAATGTCGTCAGGAGTGTAAAAAGTCTTGCCCTGTGGTCCGCACAGGCAAGCTTTGCATTGAAGTGTCCAATGACTCGAAGATTGCGTTCATCTCGGAGAGCCTGTGCATTGGTTGTGGTATTTGCCCGAAGAAGTGCCCATTCGGTGCCATCAACATCATCAACTTGCCCACCAATTTGGAAAGCCAGGTTACCCACCGTTATTCCGCCAACAGCTTCAAGCTCCACCGTCTGCCGATGCCCCGCCCCGGTCAGGTCCTCGGTCTTGTTGGAACAAACGGTATCGGCAAGAGTACCGCACTGAAGATTCTGAGTGGCAAGCTGAAGCCCAACTTGGGTCGCTACGATAATCCCCCTGACTGGGAGGAGATCCTGAAGTACTTCCGCGGATCTGAGCTGCAGAGTAGGTCGAACACCATTTTATACTTGAGGACAGGCTTCGGCTGACGCATTCTCCATAGACTACTTTACGAAGGTTCTTGAGGACAACCTGAAGGCTGTTGTTAAGCCGCAATATGTCGACCAAATTCCTCGTGCAGTTAAGGGACCCGTCCAGGGCGTGAAGGACCTCATCCAAGCCCGTGTCTCCCTGGACAACATGCAAGAAATCATGGATGTTCTTGGTATGCAATCATCCAGTCCTTCAATCTTGGTACTTATGTGGATTGCTTCCTTACTGATTAATTCTTCAGAGCTCAACCAGGTCGCTGACCGCGACATTGGCCATCTCTCCGGTGGAGAGCTGCAGCGTTTCGCCATTGGTTTGGTCTGCGTGCAGAAGGCCGATGTGTGAGTTCATCTTGATTCTTCGAGATTTACGAGTCTATCTGACCAAAGTTTTAGGTACATGTTCGACGAGCCTTCATCCTACCTCGATGTGAAGCAGCGTCTGGCAGCTGCCCGCACCATTCGCGGCCTCCTTCGCCCAGATGACTACGTCATTGTGGTAGAGCACGATCTTTCGGTGCTTGACTATCTTTCTGATTTCATTTGTGTGCTTTACGGTCGGCCTGCTGTCTACGGTGTCGTCACCCTTCCCTCCTCTGTGCGAGAGGGTATCAACATCTTCCTCGATGGTCACATCCCAACTGAGAACTTGCGTTTCCGTGAGGAATCTTTGACCTTCCGCTTGACTGAGGCTGGTGATGACTTCATCGCCGATAAGGCTCACGCCTACAGCTATCCTACCATGGAGAAGACTCTGGGCAACTTCCACCTGAAGGTTGAGACTGGTCAATTCACCGACTCCGAGATCATCGTCATGATGGGTGAGAACGGAACTGGCAAGACCACTTTCTGTAAGATGTTGGCTGGTGCCGAGAAGCCTGACGGTAACCGATCCGTTCCCAAGATGAACATCAGCATGAAGCCCCAGAAAATTACTCCTAAGTTCCAGGGTACTGTGCGCCAGCTCTTCTTCAAGCGTATCAAGGCGGCTTTCCTTTCCCCACAATTCCAGACTGATGTCTACAAACCGCTGAAGATCGACGACTTCATTGATCAGGAGGTCCAGAACCTGTCCGGTGGTGAATTGCAGCGTGTCGCTATTGTCCTTGCTCTGGGTATTCCTGCCGATATCTACCTAATTGACGAGCCTAGTGCCTATCTCGACTCCGAGCAGCGTATCGTCGCTGCCCGAGTCATCAAGCGTTTCATCATGCACACCAAGAAGACTGCGTTCATTGTCGAGCACGATTTCATCATGGCCACTTACCTGGCTGATCGCGTTATCGTGTTCGATGGACAGCCTTCCGTGGATGCTCGCGCTAACAAGCCCGAGTCTCTTGTCACTGGCTGCAACAAGTTCTTGAAGAACCTCGATGTCACTTTCCGTCGTGACCCCAACAGCTACCGACCTCGTATCAACAAGTACAACAGTCAAATGGACCAGGAGCAAAAGCTTGCAGGCAACTACTACTTCCTGGAGGAAGAGAACTGAAGAGGGCATCTATGATGAGCAAAGTCGCAGCTGTCAGAATAATGACAGCCGCGGTTCGCGACGTCGACGACACGATCGACGCTACATGGTGGCATGTGGTTGGCGAACGGCGTTTTCCCATCTGAGTCAAACCTCATTAACTCGGGATGGAAAGCCAATTTGCCTGATTGGGAGATTTCGAGAGAAGATCGGCGATATGCGAGGTAGTGGCGACGATGGTGGAGTTAGGTAGCGAGGAATCGGGCTGAATGAGATCAGCAGCATCCTGGGTGCAGGACTCTCATTCCTTACTGCTTGGCTTTCTTGCATAGCCAGAGCATGACTCGTATCCACCCTATCCTTGTCTACCTCCCTACTGCTGTTGTCCGGAAATCCGAAGAACACGGCTTCAAACGTGATCCCGACGCCTCTTTCGAGTCTCGAATAATTTTCGTCTAAATCGGGCAGAAAATGCCCCCCTCGAGTGGCAACTGGTTTTGCTCGGATTTTTTTTCGCAATGTACAGTGGGTCAGGGCTCAGGTCTTTCAAAAGCTTTCTATGACTTGATGAGTATAGAGGTGGAATTATGTGTCGTCTTTGGTGAGACTGAAGGCCAGGCAATGAGACATTTTCACCTTTTTTTGCCTGAAAAATTTTGTTGCATATATTTATCAACCATTATTCGAAATATTCAAATCTGAGCTTGTGATCCATGTAAAGTCGACCAGCCTCGATTCGACAATCGCGAGATATGATATCAGTAATCCAGTTAGTAGTCACCAGCGGTGTTAGATTCAGTAGAAATTAGATTTTCATATTCGCGTCATTCCGAATGTTTAGTTTCAATTATATATGTGTCTGTCACCAAATTTTCCAGATTTATGACCAGACATATCATTCTCTAGCGGCGAACGACTCCTCATCCCGGCGGTTCCGAGTTCAACGCGCTGGCATTGAGCATGACCGAGCGTGAGTAACGCGGCACATGGAGCATTTGAGTATTCTATGGGCTGGGCTGTATGTCCTCAAGCCATGAACTTGATCCACCTCGGCACTGCAACCCTTGGACGCTACAAACGTCAAGGTTGGCGATGGAAGTTTTCCTTGGAACTTCCAATGGAAGACCAAGTCCTCCAATTTGCTCAATCTAACCTTAGTAGTCTTCGCAGGTGCTGCCCGCTCTTCATCCATGTTGGTCTAGATGGAGAACCACGTCGATCACGGAGAATTCAATACGGATGTCGCGTAGGGTCATGATTGAACTTGATGAAGGATCCTTACGCTGACCCTTGTGTCTTTAGAGAACTCCTGATAAGAACGTACCTATTTGCCATGTATTGATAGTAGTCACTTGCGTATGCTCCTCTACACAGGTACTCAATTTGACTTGGGTCTTTACACAAGCGGTTACACAAACGGATTGGTATTTGGATTGAATACCACAACATCTCGCGAATTGAAATGATTGGAAGTAAAAATACAAATTGCTTGGAGAACGTTCCAGTGCGCTAGTCAAGGAAGAGACTCGAGTCCTTTAGCACTTGGCCACGCTGGGAACATTCTGGCAGCTGCCGTAGGTCTTGCCACCAGTGACGCTGACCTTGTTCCAGGTCCAGCTAGGGCAGGCACCGCTGGCACAAACGATTGCAATGTTGTGACCACTTGAAGCGACAGCTTTGGTGCCACTGATGTTGTCGAGCTTGAGGTTGCTGATGGGGATACCACCAGTGGGGGAACCGTGGAGATCACCGCCGTTGTAGTTTTGCTCAACGAGGATGCCGTACCTGAGAGAGAGGTAGAGAGAGTCAGTTACTGGAAGGGTCAGAGATACTGGGTAAGCAATGAGAATGTCACTTACTTCTTGATGGAGGAGAGAGTGATGCCGGAGTAGGTAACGCCCTTGATGCTTCCAGTAGTGCCGGACTTGGCCTTGACACGGATACCTGAAAAACTGGTGTGAGTTCTCCTTTCTATTTCAAGAGCTATCATTTGCAGACTGTTCAAGCACATACCATTGTCAGAGTTGGTGACAGTCGAGTCCTTGAAGGTGACGTTCTCAACGGTGTTATCAGAGCGACCACCGACACTGCCAATAGAGAGACCGTGACCACCGGAGCAGTATCCGCCGCTGAAGGTAATGTCCTGTATTTCTTGTCAGCAATCACTCGAGAACAGTGAGTCTCTTCCTTTTTCGGAATCCACTCACAGTGCCGGAGTTGATAGCAACACAGTCGTCCTGGTTGTAAACCTTGGCTCCGTTGATGACAATGTTGCTGCTGGAGCCAATATCGAAACCATCAGTGTTGTGCCCACCAGCAGAGTCTCCCGCCTTGTTGTCGATGGTCATCTGGTTAATAGTCAGACCATTGCAGCCGTTGATGCTAACGGCCTGGACGGGAGTGTTCTCGATGTAGAGGTTGTTGATGTAGGACTTTCCAGTCAACTTGTGAGCAGCAAAGAACTTTGGCTTGGTAACACCCTTGTCACCTTTGCCATCCCACCAGCGTTTGCCATCGGGATTCAGCTTCGCGCCACTGGCGCCAGTGACGGTGATGTCCTTGCCACTAATCTGAAGGAGAGGGCCCTTCCATTCCTTGTGACCCCAGGTTGTGGTGCCCTCGAAGATGACCTGTGGTTCGATTTCTATTAGCCTTACCGACTCGGAAGATAGAGAAATGGGAGCAGAGGTATGATATGATCGTACATGAGTGCCGTCGTTCAGCTTGCTCAAGTCAAGCGTGACACCGGAAGGCACAGCGACATTGGAGAGCACAATAGTTGAGCACTTCTGCTGGGAGGCGCTGGCTGAAGCGGCGCCATTAGAACCGGAGAAAGTACAGCTGGCACGCTTGTCGAGGCTAGGAGCCGCAGTGATTGCTGGCGCGGCGACAGGCGATGCCACAGCCATGGCGGCGAAAGCGCCAATCGTGAGGAGAGTGAACAATTGAGGCATTCTTATTTTGACGTTCTGTAAAGGGGTGTTCTCGGAGTGTTTCTGAATCTGGAGCTGGATATATTCACTCTGAACATGAAGGGCACCGGGATGTATTTATATCCATCGTGACCACTGAGTAATGCCGTCTCCATAAACGATGGGGAATTGAAGGACATTGCCGAGACGGAATAATTGCATTCTAGACACCGAAGAGTCCTCTCGTAATCGAGAGATCCCATTTGATCACTCTGTGCCCGCCGGAGGTTCTCCACGACGCAGGCGGAGCAATCCTTCGGCCTGATGCCAAGCTGCAAACCGGAGAAACTCGAGTCTTCGAGCGCTCTCATCTCGAATCCGGAACACATGGTGCTTGGTGAAGATCTCCGGTGGAGTGAGGATGCTGGACGACCATTCGTTCTATCGGGAAACAGACGTTGGTGCAACCCCTGTTGGGTGGGTCGATTTGACAGCCGCCAATTTCTTCACACTCTCCCGTGTTTCAGGATTGCTCATTGTCCAAATGAGAGGTTTGGCCGAAAGTGCCATCTTCCCAAGAAGTCTAGGAGTTCGGGGTGGCTTCAGCAAACAGTGGGATAGTACTAGTAGATTGGGGGTCCCACCAGTCATCCTCAGGAGGCTTATGTCTCGGGTCTGTTCCAGTAGTGCCTGAGCGTCTGCGTGGAAGCCTCATCGGAATAGGTGACGTCTTTGGAATCGCGGGTACGCCGGGTACGGTTTTTCCGCATGAAACAAACGAGTCCTATTGCGATCCACTCACATAGACTTACCTGATGTACAGGGCGCAGTCAATCATGATGTTGAAGCGAGACGGGGAATCACGACGCCTGTCGAGTAAGATACAAGAGAGTGCGGGTTCATGTTAACTAGAGTCAGACACGTCGCTGCTCTGGCTCAAGCAATGAACCCTCGATTGGTGGGAAAAGGGCTTTGGTAGGATTACAGTACATGATTCAAAGTTCCAGCTATGGACTGCGAGCCAGCTTGCTAACCGTGCTCAGGGATCGCGTAGAACCTAGTCCTCCTCAATTTCTCCTTCTTCACTGCCAGAGTGGATGGCCTTTTCGGTCATTTCGTCCGCCTTGGTTGTCTCCTCAGGAATGACCGAGCGCTCCAGCCCAGCTCGCCGAGGACCCGGACTGCGCTCTCGCTCTCGACTGTCACGGCGGTATCGCTTCGTGGAGCGACTAGCCACACTTTCTGCGTCGCTTTCCCGGCGGCGACGACGGTCGGTGCTAGTCACACTACGAGTCTCGCCGTAATCTAGCTCGTCGCGCCCACCGCGAGGATCGCCGCGTGTACGGTAAAGACGCTCCCGCTCGTCTTCCCGCCGGTCGCCTGGACGGCGGTCGTAGTCCCGATCCCCTCGTTCACGCTCACGCTCACGCTCACGGTAACGTTCACGATCTCGATCTCGATCTCCCCGTTCGCGGTCGCGGTCGTCATGACGATCACGCGAGGGTGAGAACACACTCACTTTGCGGTAGGATCGTTCTCGGTCGGCCTGCGCCTTGCGTCGATCGGCTTCATAGGCGTCAAGTTCAGGAGTGCGGCTGTATCGGCTTCCACCCCGTCGCTCGCCTCGACCGCTACGATAGCCACGCTCACCACGATCGTAGTCACGTCGCCGGCTGTGATCACGAGCGTGATCACGATCACGATGGTCCCGCTCTTTTCCATCTTCCTCCTTCTCCTTCAAACGGCGGAGGACCTTCTCAAAAGCGGACTCGCGGAGTTCGTCGGACTCGACTGCTTTGTACTCTTCGTACTTTTCAAGGCGTGGTTTGACATCATTCCAGGTATCACTAACACGAACCGGAGGCTCGAGACGCTTGATCCGTGAACGAAGAGCGTCAACAGCGCGACGCTGGTGACGGTCTGCCGCATGTTTCTCTTCTTCGTCACGGCGGATAGCTTTGTCCTGGATGCGATGAAACAGCAGAGTGAGCGTTTCTGAGTCGATTTGAGAGGTTCTGCGGTCAGTGAGCATGGTCTCCTTGAATTCTTCGAATGTAGTCTTGGCGGTAATTTCGTATCGTTTGTCCTGAGGCCTGTTAGCTTTGATAGTTGAATCCGGAAGATACATCCATAAACTCACATCCAGGACGTCGAGAACGTCATTTCGTGGCCCACGGAGTGCACGCTCCTCCTCTTCAACCATATCCCAGAAGAGGTCAAGAGGAGTTGATCCAGGTTGACCGAGAATCGCGTGATAACGGGCGTCGTCCTGGATAACTGGACGGATATCCATCCATTTGCTGCCTGCCTTGATTTTGCCTTGCAATTTGAGCTCTTTCAATAGCTCCAGGAAAGCCTCCCGATTGCGACGCTCCTTGCGCGCCCTGATCGCTTTTTGTTGCTGGCGTGCGTCGTTGAAAGCACGCTCTAATGATTTGATGTGATTTTCAAATGCGGTCAAAATATCGCATTTGGTCAAGGCCTTGAACTTATCATCAGTCTTAACCTTCTCATTGGACTCGATGACTGCCTCAGCTTCCGACCAGCGAGTGTAAGGTTCTAAGTTCAGAGAGCCTAAAATTTGCACAAGCTCGCTCATGGCAGCCTTTCGATTCGCAGCCTCTTGCTCAAGGTGTGCCTTCTTGAGTTCGACAACGTAATCCTCAAAGAGCTGACGACGTTCATCGTCATCGTCAGTGGCCCGGAAAGTAGTTTCTCCCTCAATAATGGGCCTGATGGTCTTCCAGCGACTGTAATGCTTAATTTCTGGGTGCCGCTTGAGCATGGTATTGAAGTCTGCACGCAGCTTAGCCAAACGTTCTTTTGCACGGTCCTTTTCCTGCATGCGAACCTCGGCCGCGTATTTCTCGAAAGCTGCCTTGCGATCAAGCGGATTCTTGAGCGCCCGATATTGGGGATCCTTAATTGTTGCTCGCATCGTCTGTTCCCAGGACCAGTCGGGCTGGACGTTGTTCCGCTTCAGCATCTTCATGAAAGCGCTTTCTGCCTCTTCAAGGGAACCGTATTCGGGGTCGGCCTGCGAGGTCAATGCTGATACAGCCGCCGTTCCGTTGGGATCAAATGATCCATATCCCCCACGACGATCGCCATACCCGCGGTCATAGTCATCCCGGTCACGATCACGGTCACGGTCGCGGTAGTCACGGTGGTCACGATGATCACGTTGGTCCCGATAGTCACGGTGATCACGGTGGTCGCGGTGGTCACGATGGTCGCGATGGTCACGGTAGTCGCGGTGGTCACGATCTCGGTCCCGATCACGAGGATAGTCGCGATCGCGGTCACGATGCGGCGGATGAGAGAAAGCGCTGGAGCCGCCAGCTACAAATGCGGGTCCTCTATTGTCTCGTTAGCAAGTATTCACGGGAGGAAAAGGAAGTTCCACTTACGCAACAGGAACAGCTGGGGCAGCTGGCACCGGGGCAGCAGGGGCCTGTGCAAGCGCATTTTTGTAAACCTCGGGGATCTCCCACGTGCTCTGCTTGGTCTCCGTATTGTACCAGTACTTGCGTCCTCCTTCTGCTGTGTATTCCTTCCACGGCTGATTTGCGAGGGCGCGCTAAATACCATGAATAGTCAAGATCTGTCAGTCAACGCTCACTGGATGTTTTGTGGGGACGAAAAACTGACCTCAACGGGAGTCATCAAGTCGATTGGCTTGGTCCATTGCGTTGCCTTTGTTTGCACATTGTAGTAATAAACTCTCCCATCGGCATTTCGCGCCTCCTGCCACAAAGCTGGGACACTGGGGGCTCCTGGTATGGGATTCATGGCGGTGATGCTGGAGCTTGAGATTGGAGTTGGCCAGGCGAAAAGAGAGGCGCATGAATTATGCCGAGCTGTTTGCGCAGTTTGCATTAACCTCCTTATCGGAGGTACCCGTAAGTTATCGCTAGCTACCTTGCTGCCCGCAATTCGTCGGCGGTGTCGGGGGAGCTCCTGGACATCTGTCGCAAGCTGTATGATCATTCCCAAATGCCTAGCCTCGAAACCCCGGGCGAGTTTTTGCGGCATGCTTTACTCGATACAGTAGTACCTCATGCTGCGAATTTCGACGTTGGAAGGTCATTGACCGCAGCATTGGAGGACGGAGCGGACGATCTACCCTCAATTCTCTCCTCGATATGTCAAAGGTCTCTACTATTCTTTGGTCAGTATTTGACGGCCTTGAACCGACACCGTTCGCTGTACGACAAGTGCTCACGCTACTCTAGACGAGTCACTCCCTGTACGCATTATCTTGCGACTGTCGAACTGTACGGATCAATTCCTGAAGCACTACCTCCCGCGTCTCGAAGTCCGACTGGATGTGTTTGCAGTCGACCCTGCCGAGACTGTGGTGGACAACCCGTCGCAAGCTCGAGAAATCATCTTTTCTGGATCTGTCGATCCGCGAGAGGAGCCCTTGGTGATATTCAACGAGTTTGATTGCGAGGAAGGAACGGGAAACCACGTATACCTAATCTGGAACATAGAAGCCTTCTTGAGTATGTGCATCACGCCTCCCCATCCATTACCACAAGCTGACACACATATGTCTAGAGCGGCCCCGTAATCGTCTCTCGAACCCATCACTGCTGTTCATCGCTTCAACGAGTCTCAATCCTTCCGAAACTACACAACAAGAGTATCCCGACGATGATTACCTTCCTCCCCTCGTGCCCGCCTCAACAAATGTGTTCCAATCTTTATCAGGTGACAGATCGCTCGCCCAGAAAGAGCCCTTTCTTCCTGCTTCGAGATTGCTGCGTGTTGTACCAACGACAGCCTCGGAGGACCCTATCTACAACGTCCGGCAGCAACACGGGCGACCATTTCGTGTTGTTCCAGCAGCAAGTGCTAGGATCCGTTACTCTCGATTGAATATCTACAGTGGTCTTCCAACTACCGTTGCGAGCCTCGATTTCGAGGTGACCCCCTACCTGAGCTGCGATGTTGTTTTCGATCAAGCAGAGGTTCGTTTGTCAGAAGGCACCCTTGAGGATTTGTCCGCCGTACAGGGTCTTAAGCTTCCGTTGGCCTGTCGTCCCCGAGATGACGTGACTCTCATGTACAAACTTACGCCGGAATACGGGCCAGAGACGAATCTTTCATCGACTGCCATGATGAGCATGCTGGACATCTCACTCGGAGCAGTCATTCTTCTGGCTGACGACTGCAAGCCTCGTGTCACCATGCAGTGGCGCACTAATGTCGACTTCTCATTGCCACTAAACCCTATCTTCGGAGGTCCAAGCCAGGCATTGCAGAGGAATAACCGGCCCACCAGCCTGCCCATGCCCCAGGCCAATGTGGGGACGGGGTCGCATCCCAATAGTCGTCCATCGCTTCGAGAGCGCGCGTACTCGGTCACTGGCGCAGGGGTGACCATTTCCTTTTCTGGTCCCACTCGCGTTCCGGTTGGGATACCCTTCTCGTGGGATGTATTTATCGTCAATCGTTCAACTGCACCGCGGAAGTTCGCACTCATTGCAATTCCTCGCCGAAAACGGGTTGACCCGAGAGGGCATGTAGCGCGGCCGTCATCATCGTCAATCGCAAGTCGAAAGGAAGACCTTGTAGCAGAGGCTGTCACAGATGAGAATATCGTGCACGCGAAGCAAAAGGCCATCATGGGTCAGGAGGCGGAATTGATTAGTTTGAGCACTGACATTCGGGTTGGGTGAGTACCACAAGAGAACCGAATTCTGTGCAATTCAGCCATTCAGACGAGCATGGCGCTAACCAAATTGACTACCTAGCCCTCTCTTACCCGGCACCTGCCACTCTACGGAGCTGAAACTCTTACCTCTCGCGACTGGTCCTCTTCATTTGGAAGCTGTCCGCCTAGTAGATTTGAACACAAATGAGACAACGGACATTCGAGATTTGCCAGATATTCTCGCCGACGAGCAGCTGCGCACAGGCTCGTGACGAGTTTCTGGTCTTCGAGAATGTAAATTGGAGGTAGATGCATTATGTACTATACAATGTGATCATGTATTATACCGATTCCATCCACCCATTTCAGCCCGTGGGCCTTCAATTCCAGATGAGCACCTACCTCGAAGACCTGGGCACACCTCCAGTACATAGGTAGTGGGATCGGCTTCTATTCAGCCCCCTCCATACCGTCTGTTGGAGGCTGGCGGATGAGGTCGATTCCAGAGATGTATATTGATCAGGGGGAAGCTGCAACCGCTTCCAATCGAAAGCGAGACAAAATTTAACACGGGTGAAACACTCGACTGGTACTACATTAGCGATTGCGGTTGTAGGGGAAGTCACCGGTCCGCAATTTCGCTTCAACGTGAGTTTGAAGGGGTTGATCTATATGTATGGAATTGAAGCGTTGACCTCTTGAAGAACACAAGATAAGTTCGAATACTGACCGAAGGTTTACTTCGACCCGTGCTGTGGATGCGGAGGGGGCAGGGGTGGGACGTGGAGCCACGCACCTTCAAACTCCCCGTTCAGACACGTGACGGGACTGCTGAAGTGTCCACGATCATCCGCTTACAGGTACCCAATGTCGTCCGAATCGAGTGAGACTGACTGAAGAACCCCAGCACTTCAGACAGCCCTGTTCAGTGTCCAGTGACCTCTAACGTATCAATCCGTGTATCATGCTGGAAGTAACTAATTTCCAGCTGCAGTGGCAGCCTCGATGCCCGTAGGGCGTAGATGGTTGCCTGCGCCATACGAATTCTAAGTAGTCCAGTGCCTTAGTAGCTCATTCAAGCGCGTGGCTTGTAGCTTCCCTGCAGAAACTCTCATAATTCCACCGCGTCCGGGCGATGCATGTCTGATCTCTCTCTTCTCGCATGGTGTCATTGGAGTTGAAGGTAGAGTCTAGGTACCTTCCAAGTACCATCCGGTGATGCCATTGCCGGTCTTTCGAGTCATGTGGCCTCGGTCACCGGCTCCCAGGTACCTGCCTCTACCCACCGTTGACCTCATCAGTTGCTGATGAGGCACTCTCAGTCGTCCAGCCACTCACCCGGTTGAAAAAAGCGGAGTTCACCTCTGCATCGTCATTGTCTGAGGTCCATAGAACCTCCACTAAACTCCTGTGTCAAAGTTCTGCCGTCCGCGCCTTCACTCCATTGACCGGCATTCCAAGTCAATCCCGAAGATTCGGCCAGTTGTCGGTCCACTTTGAAGCACACCGGGATTCTGGCCTCTTTCTCGATTTGCATCATAGCTGCGCGTGATTTCCCTGCCTGGTTCGCTCAGCCCTAAGGGCGGAACTCGCTCCCCTTGAACCACCCATAAACCGGTTCTTCCGCTCGCCTAGGTCGCCATGATCACCGCAACAAAACGCAAAGTCCTAGACGGACTGAACAGGCGTTATATTTATGGTCGCGTGGTATGTCTCGTCGTTTCTCGCCTTTTAGACCGCGCGATCTATGTGCGCCTCAGGGCCCTTGATTGTTGTCTGACCTTGCTGCCTGCAGCCACTCCTACATACATTAATCTTCATCATCGAGATGGCGGTTGCTGCGCGCATTGCCAGCAAATTCAACTCGTACTATGCCGAAAAGCCGGGTAAGACCTGCTGCACCATCAAATGCAAACAATCCTGACGGAAGGAGCGTGTCTGAACTAACTTGCCGTGATAGTGCTCACAACGATGGTCACCAACGCCGTAAGCTCTCCTTCTCCGAAACGACGTCTACGATGATCTCGTCTCATAAAACTGCTAAACTAACTGCCAAACTTTCCGGGCAGGTGTTGGGAGGCGTCGCTGATACAGTTGCACAATTGATCACAGCCGTCCAAACTCGGAGAGCACAGGGCACTCCCGAGAACCGCGACTTCATCTCCATCGAGTTTCAGGACCTGGACAAAGGCAGACACCCAGCGCTCGGTGAACTTGGCGCCACGATACACTCTCCGGCGCCGTTTGACTTTGAGCGTGTCACTCGATTCATGGCGTACGGCTTCTTCATGGCCCCGATCCAATTCCAGTGGTTCGGCTTCCTGTCTCGCGCCTTCCCCCTCACCAAGATGAACCCTAGTATTCCGGTGTTGAAGCGTGTTGCTTTTGACCAGTTAATATTCGCCCCTTTCGGTAAGAGCTCGATCCCGGCACTCTGTGCCTCTCATTGAGAAGATGAACCCAGTTAACAACCGGCTAGGTTTGGGATGTTTTTTCACCTTTATGACCGTTGCCGAAGGCGGAGGCAGGAGAGCACTGACCCAGAAATTCCGAGACGTATATTTGCCGACGTTGAAGGCCAACTTTGTTCTCTGGCCCGCAGTGCAGATTCTCAACTTTCGGGTCATCCCCATTCAATTCCAGATTGTAAGTATACCAAACGAAGTGGTAATCATTTTTGATGCTCATGCTTTATGCCAGCCTTTCGTCTCTTCAGTTGGTATCGCGTGGACCGCATACCTTTCCTTGACGAACTCCGCCGAGGAGGCTTGATTCGCTCGCCGGGGTGAATGTTATGATAACACGAATTGCATTTGGTCATCAGCCAGGACGAAGGTCTTTTCGTCGTTTGAGTCTGGGCCTATACTCTGCTATTGGCAGACACGGATGTCCCGAGGCCACTCGAGATATCGTGTCATGTTCGAAGTGAAACTTGCTACCAGGTCCTGCATGTTCTTTGTGCTTCACATCGGGTTGGCTTGCTTCCTGAAAGTTTTCTGTCTTTGTGGCCCATCACTGCAGCGGTGCAGCAAGATGAGGCTAATGCTGGTTATGCTTCTGCCTCGATCTGAAATAAGCACCCGTAGTCCAATTGATGGTTTTATCTCTCTGAAAAGAATGAAGGATTGATACCTAGCAATCTCCCACCCCCAAGGATCACTAGTGTGTCTGGGATCGCGTCTACTCAGCACGTGCTTTTTAACAAGAGAAGCATGAGATTCACCTTCCCGAGGCTATTAGTACCCAATTCCACATGTTCCAGGTAGTCTCACCCCAGAATCCCCGGCCAGTTCCGCATCGTACGGAATCTCTGACATCAGTCCCGCATCAGCCCGATTCCTGTCTCCGGATAAGGTCGGGTTACTTTTGTGTACATGTAGGCATAGTTGATAAGCTACCTACTTCTCCGGACCTGAAGAAACTGCACACCTAGGAATGTCTTCCGGATTGACCTTGTACATTCAGAGTAAGTGTTTTGGGATCCATCGCTACCAGGTACCTTGATGGATGGACACGGAGCTCGATGCGGCAGTCCCCCTTCACCGGCGGGCCCCACCCCTCCACGAGCCCCTCCATCCTTCTCGTCGCGACTCACCGAGCCTAATTAAATCTGCTCCTCCCCTTAGCTCAATTTCATACATCTCGTCTTACTGGCACTGGAATTCACCTGCCACATATATCGAAGACTCTCGAAGGTATGAAAAACGAGATGCACAAATCCACGAGCTTGAGAACAGCTGGCGCTTACATGACATCATACATTTACAGAAATCTCCCGAAAATGTCTCTCTCCAACAAGCTCAACATCACGGATGTCGACCTCAAGGACAAGCGTGTCCTGATTCGCGTATGGCCATAAATCATGCATAGTCAAGCAATATTCAAGCAATCTCCAATTGCTGATGTTCTCGCTCTATAGGTCGACTTCAACGTCCCTCTCGACGGCGAGAAGAACATCACCAACAACCAGCGCATCGTTGGCGCTCTTCCCACCATCAAGTACGCTATTGACAATGGTGCCAAGGCTGTTATCTTGATGTCCCACCTCGGCCGTCCCGATGGCAAGGTCAACCCCAAGTACAGCTTGAAGCCCGTCGTTGCTGAGCTCTCTAAGCTTTTGGATGGCAAGGACGTCATCTTCACCGAGGACTGCGTTGGCCCTCAGGTCGAGGAGACCGTTAACAAGGCCACCGGTGGTCAGGTTATCCTGCTGGAAAACCTGCGTTTCCACGCCGAGGAGGAGGGCTCCTCCAAGGATGCCGAGGGTAAGAAGGTCAAGGCTGACAAGGAGAAGGTTGCCGAATTCCGCAAGGGCCTGACTGCTCTTGGTGACATCTACATCAGTAAGTGGCAAAACTGCCGTGAAGCATCTTTGCTCTACTCACATTGACCAATTCATCAGACGACGCCTTCGGTACCGCTCACCGTGCTCACAGCTCCATGGTCGGTGTCGATCTTCCCCAGAAGGCCGCCGGCTTCCTCGTCAAGAAGGAGCTTGAGTACTTCGCCAAGGCCCTTGAGAACCCTCAGCGCCCCTTCCTTGCCATTCTCGGCGGTGCCAAGGTTTCCGACAAGATCCAGCTTATTGACAACCTGCTCCCCAAGGTCAACAGTCTGATCATCACCGGTGGCATGGCCTTCACCTTCAAGAAGACCCTCGAGAACGTCAAGATTGGTAACTCCCTCTTCGATGAGGCTGGCAGCAAGATTGTCGGCGAGATCGTCGAGAAGGCCAAGAAGAACAACGTCGAGATTGTTCTGCCCGTCGACTACGTCACTGCCGACAAGTTCGCTGCTGATGCCAAGGTCGGCGCTGCCACCGACGCCGAGGGTATTGCCGATGGCTTCATGGGTCTCGATGTTGGCCCCAAGTCCGTTGAGAAGTACCAGGAGGTCATTGGAAAGGCCAAGACTATCCTTTGGAACGGCCCCCCCGGTGTCTTCGAGATGAAGCCCTTCGCCAACGGTACCGAGAAGACTCTCGATGCCGCTGTCAAGGCTGCTCAGTCCGGCTCCATCGTCATCATTGGTGGCGGTGACACTGCCACCGTGGCTGCCAAGTATGGCGTTGAGGACAAGCTCTCTCACGTTTCCACTGGTGGAGGTGCCTCCCTTGAGCTTCTTGAGGGCAAGGAGCTCCCCGGTGTTGCTGCGCTGTCCAGTAAGTAAACGACGTGTGTCACAGTGAAGGGAGAGAAGCTGCAACCCTCATCCTGAACTTGACCGAAGACCCATTTTTCACGAATCTTTAATGTACATAGCTGGGAATTTTGCAATAAATTCACAAAACTTTCCTTGTTCACCGGTGCCCGTCCTCATTAAGAATCTCATTTCATCAAGCTAAGACTAAGTTTGTTTCGTATCAGATACACGACCGAAGCTATGAGCAGGCGTGCTGAGAAGCTAAGAAGAATATACGAACGACTAAAATCAAACCGACTTTTGGAGCGTAGTTGGGTATCAATTCTATTGCTTTGTCAACAAACGGGGCCCGCTTCGATGAGGCTCAGGTGCAGAGCTGTGTCCCCATAGTGCCCAGTCCTACATTGTTCATTGCAAGAGGAACGGTAAATGCCGATTGATTTTAGATAGACAGTGGCGCTATGGGTGCCCAGATGCCTTCCTTAGATGCGTTTCTCTCTGCTAGAGCCATGCCGAGAGAGGTGTAGAGTAGAAGTCCTTGAGCTCGAGGCCGCTATAGGCACTGTCACCAGCAATTTTTGTAACTTTGTATCAATCCGCAGAAGATAGTATGACTATGGGGAAGTGAAGAAGAATACGGAGCGGTATGCGTAAGCTGATTGTAGAAAAGCACAGTAGCGCCCGGTAGATGTAAGCCTCACGTTGGGCAAAGGTTCGCCGAGGGAACCTCGTATAGTAATGCGTTTCATTGGTCTCGTGTTATCTAGTTTGATCCCTCAACTTTCTTGAGCTCCTCTCTGTGTGATGCGTGTCCAGTATTAGCATCGGGGTGTTTCCGAGTCTTCAGGCGCCGCGGGACCACTCCTCAAAGGACATTTGTTGACGGTGCATTACATACCTCAACTGCTTTGAGAAGTCCTCCGCAGCATCATCGTCATCCCAGCTCTCTTCCCAGAGATGCTCGTTGCCACCGTTTGCTGCCGACCCAGCATTTTGCTCGGCTTCTTCCTGGGGCCAATCTGGTAGGCAAGGGCGGGATGGTCAGCGCATGTCCATCGCTTGAGACAGAGTACCTGGGCTCAGTGGCGAAGCAAAGTATCTTACCCTCGACGGGGAAGTCTTCGAATTCATCATCCTCTTCTAGTACTTGAGGCTTGGGTTGTTGTTGAGGCTGCTCGGCGACCTCGGCGTTGGTCTGAGCTTGATTGGAATTGGACATGGTGGATGATTATGTGAGGGTCGCGAGACGAGTCGAGCACGGTGGGAACGACGGACTTGGTATTTTCAGGACTTTGGTTGTGGCGTATTTTGAAAGAATATGAATGCTGCTTGTGGGGAGATTGTGCTTGACTTGGTGATGGAGAGGAGATGATGGAATATGTGGTTGATGCTGTTGTGAGCTTCCCATCTTGGCGGCGCGGCGGAGGATGTGTAGCCTCAGGCCACCATAATTGGGAGAGAGCAGTGCACCTTAGACTTTAGAGACGATCGGAGACTCGGAGGTACGGGTTTGACCGCATACTTACCTGCTTATACTAAGGTACCTACTAGTTAATAACTTACAAGGTACATTGTACATTGTACCCAGCCAGCTATGGGAAGATGAAAAAGTACTTCAATGTTGGAGATGGTAAATTTGTCGATGATCTCCGCCGAAGGGGACGAAGCTAGATCTAGGAAAAAGATCGAGTTCAGGTCTTTGTAGATCTATCGTATCTTCGTGTCTGAATTGTTCATAGTCAAAATGTATGTAGAGGGCGAAGTGATCACTAACTACTACTATTGTACTGACTCATGTACTGTGAGCGATCGGACAATTATGGGAATCCATTCTCCTGAATAATGCTCCTAATGCTCGGCAACCTTTCCGAGCATATCTCCGAGTTACGCTGCCCGCATCGAGGCCGCCCGCCATGTGTTGACTGTGGAGGCTAAAGAGCGATACGCCGTCCGTGGGTTCTCGAGCGCGGCCTCCGCCTAAACCTGACCTCCGGTGTGAGTTGCGCTGAGTTTTGAGGCTACCACCATCCATGCCGGGGCTGTGAGGCTGTGAGGCTCCGAATTTCCTGCTCTGCGTGGCTCCACGGCTGCGACGGTTCGTGAGTGCTCAATTGCTAACAGGTGATTACCATCACTACTACATAGTAACTTACATATTGTGCCTATGGTAATTCTCTCCAGGCAAACATGATTCTTTGAATACTTTCGCCCGACTTTCATCAGAATCGACTTTCCTCCATTCTGATTTTCTGATTTTTACTTTATCGCCACCGGCAGTACTTCTCTCCACACGAGCAGACCGTTCCCGGTAAACCGTTGTGGTCCGCGAATAGGATTATTCACGTTCTCCCCATTCCGTCTCTTCCTTCTCTCTCTTTCCTTCTGCCGGTCTGTCGTTGCAGTGGAAAGGACCGTATCTTGACAGCTGCATCTCCGACCAAACCCTTGATCTGTTCTATTTTCGGGCCCCTCGTGGAATTTAGCCTCCCGACACCTTCCCGCAGTACACGGCGATCATCATGTTGCGTGTGGGGTCGTGGCTGTACGGGAAGAAGGCTGCCAACGCCTCAACCCAATCGCTAGACTCGCTGGTCGAGTTGAAGGATTGTATGTGAAGCCCTTCGATTCTGAAGATAGGAGTTGGTGTGGAGGACACTGACAAATGCAACTGTGGAATTGCGCTGGCGCACATGAGAACGAGTCTTGGCTAACATGAAGATCTTCGATGTGAAATAGTGGAGGAGGCTATGAGAGGTAAGCGTGAACAATCCGTCGTCGATTTGGAATGCCACACCCATACTGATCAATGTCTCCTCATCGATAGCCGCGACTTTCATTTTGAATGACGATGTCGACAGTGCCGAGGCTGGCCTCGCCGAGGGAACATCGACCTTTCACAATGTGCGCATCCTGCTCGCTTGACTTTCAGCGGAGGCACATGGGCCGTATATATGGAACATGGAAGAACACATCGCTGACATACGGCACACAGCTCGGAAGGGGCATGGTGGCGTTCGTCCGAGCCACCCTCGGCTTCGAACAAGAGTTTATGCGCCAAGGTCCGAGACTCTTGCTCTGTGAAGCACCAACCAAAGGTCCTTAGCGCTGACTTTTTTTTCTAGCGTCCGAGCGATTGAGTGAAGCAGAGTCGTCGGCGGCCAGCGACCAACAACGAGCTCATCACAGATCCCAGGCTCCGAATTCTTACCGCTCCGAGATCTACGCACCCGGGAGCGAATATGCATTGTGCCAGGCAATCGCCCAGCTGATGGGTGCGGTCGTGGGTGTTCTCAACGAGAGCCTTACCGAAAGTATCAAGGGGTTCTATCGCATGCGAAAAGCTTATATTGCGCTAGATGCGATCTTGAAAATGGAGGCCAGCTTCATGGAAAAGAATGAAGCTAGGCGAAGCCTCTTGAAGAGCTCGAAGGGCCTATCCAAGACAAGCCTTACCAGTCCTCACGCTAAGCTTGCGCGTTCGGCGAGTGACCTGTCCGGCAAAGCGACTCCCATTTCCGTGGGATCCCCGCTGGCTGAGGACGTCCTGTCACCCGGATTGTCCGAGTTGGAGATCAGCGCCGACGCAGACATCGCGTCTGGCCCATCCACACCGGGCACCTCCACGCCCGGTGCATCCAAGATCATCAATCATGATCCTGATTCGGACATCTTCCAAAATGAGATCGACACATTTGTGCATTCAGGTGCGAACTTCTGCTTCGGCATTCTGTTGCTCTTGATCTCCATGGTTCCTCCTGCCTTCAGCAAGCTGCTCTCGATTATCGGATTCCACGGTGACAAGCAGCGAGGCTTGCGAATGCTGTGGCAAGCCAGCAAGTTCCACAACATCATCGGAGCCATGGCAGCGCTGGCATTGCTTGGGTATTACAACGGATTTGTACGATATTGCGATATTATGCCGGATCCGATTCCAGGGGAAGATCTGGAAATCTACCCTCGGGAGAAATTGACGGAGTTGCTTACCGAAATGCGGTCTCGCTTCCCCAATAGTAGACTTTGGCTTTTGGAGGAGTCGCGGATGAAGGGCGCGAACAAAGACCTGGATGGTGCGTTGGATACGCTTTGTGATGGCTCTAGCAGCGCACTCAAGCAAGTCGAGGCATTGTGTGTGTTTGAGAAGAGTCTAAATGCTCTTTTCCTGCACAAAAACAACGTGTGCTCGTCTGCTTTCATCGAGGTATGTTCTTGAATCCTTCAGCTGCCATGTGTGTATTGGCGGCGTCTGCATTCTATTTCTCAACACACAAGCTGACTGACAGTGATTCTCAGTGTGTGGAACTCAATTCGTGGTCTCGATCACTGTACTACTATATTGCCGGATCTTGTCATGTGGCAGAGTACCGTCAACTTCTTCGTAGCGATCCTAAGAAGGCAGAAGAACACGCTACTCAAGCCAGAGAGTATATCCGCAAAGCTCCTCCGTTGGCTGGCAAGAAGCGATTCATGGCGCGCCAGCTGCCCTTCGATGTCTTTGTTACGCGCAAGATTGCCAAATGGGAGGCCCGCGCCAAGGAATGGAAGGTTGATCTCATTGACGCCATCGGCGTGGACCCAGTCGAGGAAATGATCTTCTTTTGGAATGGTCACAGTCGCATGACACCCAGCCAACTGGAAGATTCTCTTGCGCGCCTGGCTTGGTGTGAAAGCAGTGAGAACAAGACTTGGACTCGCGAGGGACAAGAAGATAAAGCGATTTTGGGGCTCTTGAGAGCAGCGGTGCTGCGATCTTTGCACAAATACGACGAAGCCAAAGAGGTTCTTCAGACCAAAGTACTTCCACACGACAAATCCATCTTCAAGGGTCATTTGAAGGACGACTGGGTTCTACCCGCGGCCCATTTCGAGATGGCTGCGAATGTCTGGATGGAGCGTCCAACCTACCAGTCCTTGCATAAGCTCTCAGAGAAGCCCACGGACCGACCAGCGGAGCGCAAATTGGTGGCGACCTGCAAGGCGCATCTGGACCACGCAGCGCGCTGGGAGAGCTATGAGCTGGATGCGCGTATCGGTCTGAAGGTCACGGCCGCTATCGAAGCTGTTCAGCAATGGGAGACTCTGCATCCTGCCAACTAACGCAACTTTGCTTCGTGCCGCGAGGGTAAGAAAATTCCATGTTGCTATCACGGTCTAGTTCGTCACGCATCATACTACATAGAGAAGTCACTTTTGTCTTTTTTTTGCACAGAGAGGATGGGCGTTGTGGTATTTTCGAGGGCGCGAGGCAACAATACGTCTGTCATCGTCGTCTCTTTCTGTTCGTTATTCTCTACTTTCCTCTCCACCTGATCATTCAACACCCACGTTTCAATCTTCCGCAACACACCAACATAGTAGTACCTGGACGAGCTTTGTCGATCAAGGTCAGGCAATTCCGCCAGGTGTTCATGCAGCCTGATACGTAGAGATTCAACACTTGAACACCGTGATACTGTACTTGATTCTAAGTGACGCCGTCTCGTGGTTTCTACTGTCTACCTGTCTAGTATCCAAGTGTACAAATCTCGGATCCATTTTCGGACCACGGCCACCACCGCTTCGTGGCAGGGCGGGCAATATATTCCGCGAGGCCCGCGGGTGGGTGAAGTGTGCAGTGTGAATAAAGTCCAGACAGGACCGCTTATCCCGGCAAACATGTACATCCGTACCATCCAGATGCGATCTGGACTCGGAAAAGATCTCAACCGACAACGGCAAGTGCCGATCGGTAACTGTAGCTCAGCGCCACAGATTCCCACACTTCGGTTTCAATGAAAAGGCCTGCGCATCGGACCTTGACGCAACCGCGTCTGTGGCGCCGCCGGATAAGACGGCTCGCGAGCGGTGTCGGACGTCCGATTGTAAGCATTTTCAGAGAGTCCTGGCCCCGAAAAAAAGGGCGAGCAAATTTGTATTCCGCATGTCGTCGTTTATGATCACAAGAACGAAATCCTATGAATGATTCTGTCTCAGGTTCGAGGCAGTGGGATGTGTCCCTTTGGCAGACTAATACTCCTTTCATCAAAATTATTTATTATCATCAATCTTAGCGCATGTCCAAGATTGAGCGTCGTTCGATGACGTTTCTCATCGCCTCGATTTGATCCACGGCAACTAAAAGACACACACCCAACACTAGCCATTCTCTGTCCCTCTGACGAACAAGAAGTTTCCTCCTTTGTCGCTGCGCAGAGAAGGTTTCTCTACACACACACACACACACACACTGTAGTTAAACTCACAACGTTGAGGTGTCTGACCTGCCGACGTCGAGCACTTTGCAATGAGCGTTCATTCTCACTCGCACGACCCTATAGGGCACGATGACCGTTTGACCAATTCAACAGATGATATTGGGTCCGTTGAGTCTCAAGACACCAATTCGCGGGCTTCGGAAGAAGCAAATAGGCGGACAGACACGGCACTCGAAAAGCAGAGCACAGCCGCGTCAGGTCTTTCTGTGCTTGAACAACGGGCACAGTCGATCGTGTCGCGCATTCGCAGTCGAGAGCCGGGACAAACAGCCAAATTCACGCATCCGCTGTCGCATACAAAGACCAGCCCTGATGTAATAGTCGACTTTGAAGGGCCAGACGACCCTTATCGACCGTTGAACTGGGGATTTAAGAAGAAGGCCGTGACGACGGTGCTGTATGGGTTGACGACCATGGGTAGGTGGCTCTTAATCTATTGCGCGTGAACACATTGGATGATTCTCATGGTTGAGTTGAATTGACAGCGTCTGACTGAGTGAACTTTTGCAGGCGCGACATGGGCTAGTTCTATGTAAGTCCCCCGTTATGGGCCGGTAGTGATCGAGGGACAACGTTGCTGATATGACCCTCTTTCGCTTCCAGATACTCGACAGGCCAGAAACAAATCGGCCAGCAGTTTGGGGTGTCTCTGGAGGTATCGACTCTAGGAACGTCACTCCTCCTGTTCGGATTGGGTCTCGGTCCTCTGGTATGGGCTCCTCTTTCCGAGGTCTATGGCCGCAAACCAGCTGTGCTGGCTCCATATTTTATCGCAGCAATCATGTCATTTGGCACAGCCACTGCCAAGGATCTCCAGACCATCATGTTGACGCGCTTCTTTACGGGCTTTTTTGGCTCCGCGCCGGTGACAAATACCGGTGGTGTGTTGAGCGACATCTGGACCCCAGAACAGCGAGGTGCCGCAATTGTCGGATACGCCATGGCTGTGGTTGGAGGCCCCGTGTTGGGCCCCATTGTTGGAGGCGCTATTGTTCAAAGCTACCTGCATTGGCGATGGACCGAATATGTGAGTTGAGCACTCTAAACGGCCACCGATGCTCTATCGGTAATCTACGCGGCTCGGTCCACTAACGCATCCCTTAGATCACTGGAATCATGATGATGTTCTTTTTGACCTTGGATCTCATCTTCATTGACGAAAGTTACCCACCAGTACTGCTAGTCTACAAGGCTCGAAGACTTCGCTTTGAGACCGGCAACTGGGCTCTTCATGCTCGACACGAAGAATGGGACGTGACGCTCAAAGAACTCGGGAACAAATATCTGGTCCGGCCGTTCCAACTCCTTGCTACTCCCATCTGCTTCTTGGTCGCACTGTACGCATCCTTCGTCTACGGAATTCTCTACCTCAGCCTGGCTGCATTCCCCATTGTATTTCAAGAGATCCGTGGATGGAACCAAGTGGTCGGCGCTCTTCCTTTCCTCGGCTACCTGGTGGGCATCCTCATCGGTGCCGTCATCAACCTGTCCAACCAGCGCTTCTATCTCAAGCGTTTCAAAGCCAACGGCAACCGCGCCGTGCCCGAGGCAAGATTGCCGCCCATGATGATTGGCTCTGTAATGTTTGCAGCAGGGCTATTTGTCTTCGGCTGGACAAGTCCAAAGCACATCCATTGGATTGGTCCCATCATCGGTGCCGTGATGATGGGCTTTGGATTCTTCACTATCTTCCAGGCGGCGTTGAACTATCTCATCGACACATTTCAAACGACCTCGGCTAGCGCAATCGCTGCAAATACGTTTTTGCGCTCGGTGTTTGCAGGCTGTTTCCCGCTCTTCACGAGCGCCATGTTCCATAATCTGGGCGTGCCTTGGGCAGCTAGTATCCTGGGGTTCATATCGGTCGCTTTGATTCCGATCCCGTATCTCTTCTACGTTTTTGGAAGGCGGATCCGGGCACGAGGGAAGTGGTCAAGGGCGTCGTTATGAATTGGCCCCCTTAACGCTTATAGATGAGCCAGTCGCACTCAAAACGGAAGTTCAGGGCATCTACCCGCCTATGATTTCATGTACTATCGTATCGTTCCCATGTCATATAAACTAATACCGCCAGTAACGAAGAAAGATCTGAATATGGCTACATACCTTCAAGTCACTGATATGCTACGCAACGCTGTAAGCGTGCTGAGTCCACAGCGTTGTAGACCATGATCAGGAATTTTCTGGCGAACTCATCTGCCCCTTGAATTTTGCGGGGGTATCAATCTTGACTCTGATCAACGTGCCCTGCGAGTGTATGGCAATTGCGCTCAGGACCAGCTAACGTGCATTTGAAACGCAAGATATCGGCTTAAAACACACGATTACGTATGTAATCATTGCCAGTGCCAGGCCTGCCACTGGTAGTCTGTTAGGTAACTTTCATACCTCTTCAGCACAAAGCCTCAGGGTATTGACATAAAACGTAGAGAGTCCGATATAGGACCGCAACTTGCGAGTACCGCCATCGTGGCGAGCCCAGACTAGATGCTACAAGGATATTCCAGAGTACAGTTAAGGTTTCTTTGTGGAAGTCAATACGATTATGGAGTGGAACCTGAGGAGGTTGCTTGGGGGTACCAAGGTTCAACGACTCTTATGGCCCTGAGAGACTGACTTCATTTACAAAGTGAGTCAAGATAGATCGACAAGTTGCATCAGATTGTATTCTCAAACTCTTTTATCAGTAGGTACAAAGGGCAAACATCAAGGCATTTTGTGTCATAATTTGACAAAGTTCAACATCTGGAGCTGGATCTCATCCACCGGGGACGAGTACCTGAGACCATATAAAAAGGAAAGAACGAAAGAAGTGACTGACAATCCAACTGCCCACAAAAACAGAAACAAGCAAAAATATGGCAACAAGAACAGTGATAAGTATAATTCACAGGAACCAGCGGACAGACGCAAGAAAATACCGAAATGAGTAGTTATGAGAACTGATATTCGAAGAACAAAATTCATCAGGTGGAAAATGTTTGTAGGTCGCTCTGACACAAGCTTCGGATGAATGCATCTCTAAGCATTGTTTGGCAAGACCATGCTTCGCCGGGTCAATTTGCGAGCAATTGTCATCGCTTTCTCCCAGGTCTTCTTCTTTTCCACGCGTGTGGTGGCAGCGGAATCGGCGGGAATGGCACCACTAGCAAGGTGTGGATTGGGCTGTTCGTTTTGTGGAGCATTGTGTAAAGCCAGCACAGCCATCTGACCAAGGAAGGATGGATGCTCCAAGAGGTCCTCAAGACAAACCTTGAGTCCTTCTTGTTCAAGAAGCCATGTGAGCTGGGCCATATTGAAGATGTCACCACCAAGGTCGAAGAATGACGAGTCGAGTTGGAAAGCGCTGGGACTGGCATTTGAGTCTTCCAAAACAGGAAGCTGGCCTACATCCTGATTGGGTAGAACTTGATTCCATGAGCGTGACAGGACATCGGAGTGAACCAAGAGCTCAGCGATGGAGCGAGTCTTGAGGTGAGAGCTAAGGTAATGCTCGTCCGTGGCCCACGGGAGGTCATCAACTACTTGCGTTGGGAACGCGCGTAACATGCTCGGGGAGGGTAAAACGGTTGAAGGGTTTGCGACCAGGGATTGGACAATCTCACAGACCATGTCTAGCACCTTGGAGGCGAAAGCAGGTACGATAGGGCCCTTCTCCGAATATCCGAGGGTTACATTCAAGCTTCGGTCGTCCGCAGGACGGGAGACAAGAGTGAGGTCCGCAAAATTGTCATTGACACCAGCGCCGCCCATACGGTACTTGATGTTGTCAAGCTCAAGCGAGCCCTCATAGTCGACATTCTGGTGGAACACCGAGGTTGTGAAGTAGGTCCATGCGGGCCAGTCGGTGCATTGTCTGATGATCTCGCGGAAGCCAAGCGATTCGAATGGCATGTTGGAGACCTGTTGATCTTGAAGGTAACGGAAGAGTTCAACACCGGTCCACTTCTCATCAAACTTCACACGAACCGGAATCACATTCACGCAGGGACCAACGGTGTTCTCAATCCCCGGTACGGTTGCGTTTCGGCCACTGATTGTTAATCCGAAGACAACGTCCGATTGAGCGGAGAGCTTGGCCAATGTAATGGCCCATGCAGCTTGCATGACAGTCGCAATTGTGACATTGCCCAAAGCGGTCGGAGGAACTTCGATGGTTTTGCGAATTTCTGCAAATGAGCCAACGTTCTGGAACATGGTCGTCCCCTTACGACGCACGACCTGGGTCATCTGCGAACCCTTCAACAGATTCGTCCAGTGGTTGTAGTGATCCGGACCAATCGTTCCTGGAAGTTGGCGAAGATAACTGGCAAATGGAGTGACTGGGGGAAGTGGACTGCCTTCGTAGCCCAGTTTGATCGCAGACATAATCTTTGATAAACATACTCCGTCATACTGGGTGTGAGAGAGACGAATCATGATGCGATGTTCGTCACTGCTCTTCTTCTTGACGACATAGAACTGAACGTATTGCTCTCCTTCACGTGGTCCATACTCGCGATCGCGCTGCTGCAAGCTCATCGTGAACTCGTCCATGCCGCGATCCGTTTCATATACAAAGATGCTCGGTCGTATCTTGCGAAGGACGACTTGGTAGAATTGATCATGGAAGCAGACGAAAACGGTTCTGAGGATGTCAAATGCATCAACAAGCTTCAAGCAGCTTTCTCTGAGGCGACGGAGGTCCAAAGGCCCATTTCCTTCCAAGAAGAAGTAGTTGAGCATCCAGCGAGACTTGAACAGAGTTGCTGTGAGTGACATAGCTTGGAAGTCAGTTACTGGGAGAACGTCTGCAATACCGCCCTTGAAAACACCAATCTTTGGGCAAATGCCGTTTTGCAAGGAGGCATCATCCAGAGTCTTGATCGACGTGAGAACAGCAATGCTGTCAGTCGAGGGAGTTGGTGCCAAGGTGGTGGGCTTGCTATCAATGAAAGACTCGACATCTTTCGAAGCAGGCTTCAGGTCCACATCCAACATTCGCTGAGTGGCACCGGCTGCGCGCACAGTTGCGAGCATGTCTGCAAAAACAGGATTGTTGAAGACATCCGCAACTGTCAGAATCATACCGTCCTCACGAGCAGCGCTGACCATTTTCATCGCTGTGATACTGTCACCACCAAGCTTGAAAAAGCTATCCTGGTGTCGCACAACATTCGGAGATATACCTAAAGCAGTACTCCAAAGGATCCACAGTCTCTTCTCAAGGTCGACTCCGAAGGCATCTTCGCTTGAGCGTGATGATGCAGAGCAAACACCGGAATCATCCGCTGTTCCTCGCAGTCTATCTAATTGGTAAGAGGAGTCGAGCTCATCTTCATATTCATCCTGATCTTCATCTTGTTGGACAGCTGCCAAACTTTCTTGGTGCGAGTGCGGCACCATCAGCTTCCCCTCCCTTACCATCTGCTCAATGATCTGATGCACCCGATTGTCGACCAATTTTTGAATCGCAGCATCATCAATGCTCTCGAATCCAGAGCGCGATTTCTCATTCAGTGTGGACTGAGACACTGCCCAGTCAGAGGCCTGGCCCTCAATGACATCTGGCTCGAGTTTGAACGAGGAAACAGTAGCTGATGGTGACTCGATGAAACCCTCAAAGACCTTGGCAATACTTTCGACCATGTATTGCGCTTGATCATCGCTCACCATGTCATTCCAATAACGAAGCATAATTCCCTCAGAGCCGCGAGAGATATCGACGTTCACCGTGACCGCATACTGCAGGTGGTTAGTATGATCACGGCTGATAGACTCAGGTCACCTGGGATGTACTTACTTCACTGGGATCATGTGCATGTTGAAGATCAAACTTCAAACCCTTTTCCTTCATGCCTCCACCCACGCCATGGTTCTGAATGGATAGAGTCGTGTTGAATAGAGACTGACCTTGCCGACCGAGTTCGTGCTGGATACTCGCGAGAGAACAGCTTTGGTGCGGGATGCTGCGAATGTAGTCCTCGTTGACCTTTTTGGAGATATCGGCCAAAGTTTGGTCCCGGGAAAACTTGACCCGGCAACAAAGCATGTTGATGAAGATACCAACCATGTCTTGAATGCCATTCACAGGCGCATCACGACCAGCGGACAGATACCCGAAGCATACATTCTCGCTGCGTGTGAGGTCACGCAAAACAATTGCCCAAGCCGAGAGGGTCAAATTGGCAAGCGTGACTGAGGCCTGCTCGCAGAACTTGAGGAGTTCAGGATAACGTGCGAAATCCATGAGAATGCCCTTCAACTGTCTCTTTTTGAGGAAGGACACAGCAGACTTGACATGACAAGGTCTCACATCGTTCAAATAACCCTTCCAGTGAGCTAGCGCCGATTCCTGACTCTGCGATCTGATGAATTGGATGTAGTCACTGAATTTCGGGCCCAGACCGTCGGCGAGTCGACCATCGTAGGCCAAAGCCAAGTCACGAAGAAGAATATCGACGCCGCCTCCATCGATAATTGCATGGTTAATCTCAAGCTTGACAATCACGCGCCCACCTGGTGTTTTACAAACGGTGAATTGGTGCGAGAGCTTTGCGGGCCTGATAGCGTTCAAGTCGCGGAGCGATATCGCCTTCAGCTTGTTCTCAACTTGTGAATCGAAGCATTCAACGCGTAGAACGCTGTCTGAAACATCATGCAGGACAAGCTGGTCAAAGGAACCTCCGCTGTAGATGCTGTCCACGAAGACGGTGCGCAAGACTGGATGGCGGTCCACCAGGAGTTGCCACGAGGTTGCGAGCCTTTCAGGGTCCACCTTTGCAGATCGGGTATCTCTTACTTCGAAAACAGTGTGGAACATGTACGCACTTGGATCGCGGAGTTGACTTAGCAACAATCCCTCCTGCATTGGAGAGCAAGGGTAAATATCCTCCACCTCATCCTTGTTCCGAATACCGAGCTTTCTGAAAGTCATTGCCGTAAGAGTCCTCAAATTGCTGTAATCAAGGGGAAGCAAAGGATAATCGCAGAGCGTGGGTTCCGGAGCTGCATTTTTGAGGACAGAGACTTCAACCTCGAGAGTCTGCTTGCATTGTCGAATCCAGGTCTGAATCTTGGATTGGTGAGACATTTTGCGGTTGTAAGTAAATGAAACCGTCAAGCAGTCGTTGAGAATGATAGCGGAAAGCTCGAACAGCGCGAACCGGGTTGTCTCGGGCCCCATGTCACCAGCAGCAGCAAAGTCAGAGGTTTTGACGACGCTCTCCTTCTGATGGCGGAAAAGGGAATCCGCACGCTCAAGTTGCTGGAGCCTGCCAAGGTAATTGAACAGGATTTCCATAGGCACCGGGAAATCCTTGCAAGAGTTCTGGCCAGACTCTAGGATGCTTTTGGCAAAGTATGGGCGCCCGTTTTCCGTGATACTTCTTCGTGTGTCTTTAACACGCTTGACGATGTTGACAATGTCTCCTGCTGCGTATTTAGCTTGACAGATTTCATCAAATATTGCGGAAACTGTGTTCGAACCTTCTTTTTCATCGATATTAAGCGGTGTCATTGTTGTAAACCATCCCACTGTCCTGGACAGATCGACGCTTGAATCCCACGACTCTCGACCGTGACCTTCGTTGTAGATCGTGGGGACACTTCGGTCCGTGAAGGCCCTTTGGAATGAGCTGATGGTCGCCGCCAGCAGAAGGTCGACTGTGTCAGTGCCAAAGGCTCGATGACAGTCGTCAAGCAGAATGCTGGTGGTTTCTTCACTCAAAGTGAACGAGTCCGTTTGGATATCGCCGTACTGGTTTGCGACTCCAGTCATGCCCCAGTAGTTCAAGTCGGTTACTTTCGTTGTAAACGGAAGGGCAAGGTTAATATCATGGACTTTAGCACGCTCAGCCTGCATGGAACACCAGGTCTGGAAAGACATGGCCTTGTCATCTGACAGCGATCCTGAGACAATGAACTCCTCCAGATCCTGGAGAATGATACGCCATGACACCATATCAATATTCATGTGATGCGCGACAAGGAACAGAATTTGGCCTCCAGTCTGGAGATTGAACAAATCTGCCGCGAAGATCGGGCCATTGAAGGGATCAAGGCAATTTTGGCTTTCCGCGATCTTTGATACCATCACGCGAGTATTCGTGATGGAATGAGTACGGAATTGATAAGAATCATCGACATCCTGGGAGCTGTTAGTCAAAGGGACAGAAAGGATTGGTAGAACTGATTTACCTCCACGATCTTCTGTTGCCAAATGCCATTCTTCTTGTAGACTCGAGCATGCAACATTGCATGTTGGCTTGTGACAGCGGTGATGGCACGGCGAAGTACCTCGCTCTCAACTCTTCGAGCAATGCGAACTGTGATGCTTTGATTGAATCGAGCTTCTCCTTTGAAAAAGTTCGAACATTGAGTGTAGAGCTTCTGAACGGGTGACAACGCAAATCCTTCTCCTGCCTTCTCTTGATGTCGAGACGAAGTCGACTTTTTCGTTTGAGCGACTTGAGCCAGCTCTTTGACAGACTTGGATTGCAAGATGTCATTCAGTGTCACGACCAAACCCTGCTTGCGCGCCTTTGAGATTACAGCCATTCCAGTGATGCTATCGCCGCCTGTAACAGAAATCAGCCTTCATTTCGCGACATCATATCATGATAGAAAAACTTACCTAGACTCACAAAGGAGCGATCTAGGTTGACCTTCTGCAACGATATATTGAGTACCTGGGCAATGATTTCACGGACAACCTTCACTGGCCCTTCTTTCTCCTGGTGAGTCTCTGGCTTTTGAACCACACCTCGCTTCATCTGATCAAAGTCCTGCATGATGCGCTCGTAAGAACCATCGTCAATGTTTTCAAGCCAGGCCGAGATCTTCTTCCGGTCAAGTTTGCCCGACACAAGCATGGGAAGCTTTTTGATAAGGGCCCAAGTTTGAGGTACCATATAGACCGGAAGCTGTGACTCCAAACTCTTCTGAATGTCGACAAGCCTACTCAAGCCACCATTCTGCATGTGGTCAGGCTCGAGCAGCTCGCATGCCTTGTCTGAAATCAATTTTTCATCATTGTTGTTGTCGGACGCAGAAAGAACCGCCACAAGACGTTGTTTCAGGGGCCCAGCCTTGGGCAGAATGACCACCGCATGACGAACTGCCGAGTGCTCCGAGAGTCGATGTTCAATCTCCCCTAGCTCCATTCGTTGGCCATGAAGTTTGATCTGGTGGTCCTTCCGGCTGATGTACTCAATAGAACCATCAGGGTTGTAATAGCAAAGGTCACCCGTCTTGTAAATTCGACGAGACGAAGACACAGAACTAGGAGAAAGGAAGTCTTTGACCCATGCGGGGTCATTGACGAAAGCTTCCGCATTTTTCTGGGGGTTCTTGAGATACTCTCGCGCGAGAGCTGGACCTTCAAGGGCAAGCTCGCCAACCGCACCGAGTGGAGCAAGGCGATTGTGATCATCCGCATCAACAATCCAAGTCAAGGTACATGGAATACCGTAGCCGATACGTGCTGGGTCACGGCTGGCAGCGACCGCAGTATCGACCACAGCGAAAACGACGGTTTCTGTAGGCCCATATCCATTCATGAGGTGAACGACATTGGCCCACTTCGTAATGACCTCTTGAGACATCTTCTCGCCACCCACGACAAGGATCTTCAACGAAGGAACTGATGACGGCTCGATGATACTGGCAATGGAGGGTGTAAGGAAAGTCCATGTGACATTCAGACGTCTCATAGCGCCGGCGACATCATTCAAGCGTTCATCCTCATTGGGAACACAAATACAACCGCCGAGCATAAGAACTGCGAGTGTCTCCATGATTGCAGCATCAAAAGTCAGAGAGGCGAACTGGAAGACTCTGGATTCCGGGCCCATTAGGGTCATTGGCCCGAATGCCATGATACTGCTGACTGCATTTCGATGCTCAACAACAATGCCCTTGGCGCGCCCAGTGGATCCAGAAGTGAAGAGAGTGTAGGCCATGTTCGATGGTCGGACCTGTTTTCGGGCTGTGTGTGAAGCGTTCAAAGATCCATAAGCTCTCAGTGTATCTTTGCTAACTGGGATCACGGTCTTGACAAGTTGACGGTATCGGTTGCTGTAAGAAGGCGTGCACAGAATCATGGTAGCACCGACATCCTTGAGTATTTCCTCATGTCGGGACACTGGGTGATGAGGATCCAAGGGAACATAGCCCCCACCAGCGATCAGAATGCTGATGAGAGTTACCATCGCCCAGGCAGACTTATCGAGGCAAACCGGCACGAAGACCTCAGGGCCCACGCCACGGGATGCAAGGTAATTGGCGAAGGAGGAAGCTGCATCCCAGAACTCCTTGTAGGTCAATTCTTGGTCCCAAGCACAGACCGCAGGCGCATTGGGTGTCTTGAGGCTCATTTCCTCAATGTATCCATGGATGCATCGATCGATGGAGGGTATCTGACGCTGATTCCAGCGAGCAATCTCCAGTTTCTCCTCGGAGCTGATCATCTCGATGGATCCAACCCTGTCCAAGCTTGTCTTGGGGGTAGAGATCAATTGTCTTAGCACATGACCGAATTGTTCGGCCAAGTGTTTGCTTTGCCAGCCATTGATGACAAGTTCGTCATGATGAACGGTGAATGAGACATGAGTCTTCGAGACGCCGCATTCAATGACAAGTGGGTGGGTGAAAAAGTCTTCAGAGGTGTTGATATTTTCATCAATCCAGATATCGCTGTCTAGCTGTCCGTTTGTCGATTGGATGACCAAGAGGTTTTGGAACCCGCAGGCCGAGGAGCTATCTTGGTTAATCGCGCGAATACGTTGGAGGCCTGCATGAAGGTGAGGAATCATCTCTGTTGTGGATTGATTGATCTGACTGAGAAGATCGGCAATCGCCATGCCCGGATCGACCAAGACACGTGTCGGGACTGTGGATAGAACAGGACCCGCGATGTTGCCTACCCCAGGCAGGTCAATGTTGCGACCAGAAAGAGTCTCGCCAAAGCAAACATCCCCATTGCCTGTGTGAGTTGCAAGAACAAGGGCCCATGCTGCGCGCAGGAGAACTGGAAGGGTGAAGTCCACAGAGTTGGGAGGCCGCGCGACTTCAACAGTGTACAGCTGAGTGTTACCAGCTCGAAGCGCATCAGGCACTGTGTTTTTGTTCTGGGGGAAAGGAGTGGCAGAGATGCCAGCAAAATAGCTCTTCCAGAACTCATCACTGTCAGCTCTATCATTTCTGGCAAGGTAGTCAATGAACAGATTGTAGGGAGTTGCCACTGCCTTTGCCTGCACCTTTCTGTAGTTCTCTTCAAATCTCCGATAGACAAGAGGAATGCTTGAGCCATCGTAGAGAGAGTGATGGACAAACCAGACAAAGAAGCGGGTGGAAGAAGTCAGTGATTGGACAATAGCGTATCCAGTCAGGGGAGCACCATCATGACTTGGAATATTCGCGATGTCATGAGGCAATTTATCAAATGAGCCTGCATGAATCCAATCAATGGGGGCATCCTTGACGACCACTTGCACAAACTTCATCTCTTCTGTGTGCAAAATTCTGGTTCTCAAAATTTCCAAGTCGTCCACTGTCTGCTGCCATGCTTGTTTGAAGCGTGCGAGATCAGCGCCTTCAGCGAGCCGGAAAGCTGGTTGCGCAACATAGGCGCCCTGTTGCTTCACCGACATGGTCAGAAGACCCTCCTGAACAGCGCTACATGGATAGACATCTTCGATCTCATCATTCTGTAATCCACAGGCCTCGGAAATCTCTTCCAAAAGACCCTCGAGATTGACTGAGGACGGAATGAGAGAGAATGGCTTGATGGGCTTGTGGGCAGAGGGCAAAACTTCAGATGAAACCGAGCAAGCCTGAGCCATCTCGATCAGGGTAGGATGTTTGAAGATGGTAGCGACAGTGAGCGAAATTCCTTCTGCTTGAGCAGCTCCGACGAGATTCATCGCCGAGAAGGAATCACCCCCCAGTGCGAAGAAGCTGTCGTTGTTTCTCACCGATCCCGACTCAAGTTCAAGAGTTTTCTCCCAGAGTTCGCGGAGCTTGGCATCGACTCCATTCGAGCACCGGATCTCTTCGTCGGTGGTTGCCTTGAAAGTGACGTACGACTTCAGGATATCCCTTGGCAGAGTTTGAACCATAGCACGAAGGCGGCGACGGTCAATCTTGGCAGAAGATGTAAAGGGAAGGTTTCGCAAGGGGAAAAATAATCTAGGCATCATGCTTTGGGGGAGAAGGTCTGGAAGAGAGCTCTTCAACTTCTGTATGGTGTCCATGTTGGAAACAGATATGGGAAGAAGTAGTGGATCAGCACCCTGAACAGTGGGTGCAAAGTCGTCTTTGCTGCCACCCTGGAAAGAGTCGTGGTCATATACTGTGAAGAAAGCGGCAAGACTTCGCGAGACGCTTCTTTCTTGAGGCACTACAACATCCACTGCCACCTGTGAGCCTTCCGGAAGACATGAGACACATTGATGCTCGATCTCTTCAAGTTCAATGCGTTGCCCGTTGAATTTGATTTGCGTGTCTTTGCGTGAAACGAACGTTAATGAACCGTCGGGATTGTACCGGACTAGATCACCGGTACGATACATGCGGTCCTTACGCCGAAACAAGTCGGCGAGGCCTGCATGCTGACTCCACGTCGGTTCTTTGACAAAGACCGCCTTCGTCTTGTCCGGGTTGCCCAGATACTCGCGCGCAATGTTACTTCCTTCCAGAAGCAATTCGCCAACTGCACCGACAGGGAGCAGCCGATTGTAGTTGTTAGGGTCAACGATCCAGACCCGGCAGTTGACTGCGAATCCGATAGAAGTTGGGTCATCATTGACACGAGTGCCTTCCCAGTCAACCTTCACACCCGCAGTAGCACACACTGCGGCCTCGGACGGTCCATATGCATTCACGACGAAGCGATCACGCCATCGGTCAATATGATGAGAAGGCATCTTTTCGCCACCTGTGATGATTGTCTTCAGATTTGGTACGCTCTTGGGATCCAGAGTGTTCATGATTGCAGGCGGGCTCGCCATGTAGTTGGCATCCATGCGTTGAATAGCGCCGGCGAGATTGTTCATTCGTTCTTCTTCACTGGGCACACAAACACAGCCACCGGTCATTAAAATCATGAGAGTGTCAAGCACACTGACATCGAAGGTGTAGTTGGAGAATTGCAACGAGCGAGTTTGCGTGTCCATGTGAAGAGCCGTCTTCAGGGCAGCAGCTGTTGTGCTCAAAGCCACATGCTCAACCACGGTTGCCTTTGGCTTGCCGGTCGTACCAGAAGTGAAAATCGCATACGCAGCATTGTGCGGCGAAGGACGAGTAGGGGGAAGCACAAGAGGAGACTCAGGAAGCTGAGAGATGGACTTCTGACATACGCCAAAGACCTTCTTGCAAATCTTTGCAAGTTTTGACTGGATGGAAGAGGAGCACAGAACAAGCTCTGCGCCAATCTCGTCAATCAATGTCTTAAGGCGACTGTCGGGATGTGTTGGGTCGATGGACACGAATGCACCACCAGCCTTCAGAACAGCAAGCTGAGCAACAACCGCCCATGCTGATTTCTCGAAGCACAGGACGACAAATACCTCGGGCTTTACTCCCAGACCGGTAAGATAGCGACTGAGACGACTTGCAACGATCTCAAGCTGACCATAAGTGAAACTCTTGTCCCAAGAGCAAACAGCCTCCGCTCGAGGACGAAGAAGTGCCTGTTGCTTGATCAAGTCATCCGCACACTTCTCAAGCCGAGGGGGCTGGTAAGCATTCCAGTCATGAATTTGCCGATACGACTGTTTTGGCAACAAGTCCAGCGTACCCAGCGTCTGGGCACCAGACCAATCGGTTGTCATTGCATCAATAATGCGGTCAAACGCGCCGACGATATGGGTGGCATGAGCTGACGTGACAGTGTCAGAAAAGAATGTAAACCGAATCTCCACGAGGCCTCCATTAACGATAGCTGTAAGAATGATCTTGCCTGCATCATTCGTAGCAAGCGAATCGGCATCTTCAACAGAATCACTGGGTGTTTCAAAGTAGGCAAGGTGTGTGTTGAATAGGCACACATCGTCAAGCCCAAGGTGATGTTTCACCTCGGACAGATCAGCGCGATTCTCGTTGGCCTTCTCAAATAGCGACTGGTAGCTCTGGAAAAACCCGCTGAGTAGGATTTCATCGTTGAATAGAAGACGGCAAATTGAGGTGGAATGAACATCCGAGTGTTCAGACACGCCGAAACAGACATCGTCAGAGCCAGTATAGCATCTCAACACGATGCCCCACACGATGCGTAGTAATGATTTCACAGGGACTCCCGAAGCTTTGCTGAAAGCATACAGCTTCGGCATCGAGACTTGAAGAGAACAATCAAATGTCTTGGAAGAAATGGTGTCAGGAGAAAGAGTTGGGAAATGACAGGGTTCGAGGTCAGAAAGATATTCCTTCCAAAATTGCAAACGGGTATCTAAGCCGCCTTGGACTGCCACTGTCCTCACGGCAGATTCGCTGCTTGCCCAATGCTTGATGTTAAATGAGTTTTGGGGTGGTAATGTCAAGAGCTTCGAGCTCGGTCTTCAAAGCCCGCTGATCTGCTTTAGCAAAGGGAGTCAAAGGAACGGTAGAGATAGGAACATAGACATGAGGAACCTTGTTAGTGGGATAATTTCTGGTGAGGTTAGTGTAAAGAGATGCGATTTTCGTCTTAAAATCCTCCGTAGGGTCAAGAATAAATTTGTCACCGGCGGATCGGATTGCAGATCGCAAGGGACCAATGAAAGCGACAAGAGCCTCTTCATCGTCCTCGCCGAGAGCAACACAGTTGACGACGCAAATCTGCTTCATATCGAAGAACGTCTCGATGGCCTGGGAAATGGCCACGAGGTCCGGGGAGGCATTGCGCCCTGTCTTCCGGCCCATGAAAAAGAGGGATCCATCAACACCGAATCGCACAAGGTCGCCTGTCTTGTGGAACTTGCGGTTTTGGGCCGCGCGGAAAGACGATGCCCAAGCAGGCTTCTCAAAAAATTCGCATTCACCATCTTTGGTGCCAGCCAGATATCCTCGTGCAACAACAGGGCCTTCAATCGCAAGCTCACCAATGGCACCAATGGGAACCAAAGCGTTGTGATTCGTTGACTCGACCACCCACGGCGCACTCGAGAGTGCAAACCCAAGGGAACCCTCAGAAGTTTTATCAGTCACCTTGCAATGGAAAGCTGCCGAAGAAGCCTCTGTGTTACCGAAGAAGAGATGTTGTTCACTGTTGTTGGCAGCCCAGCGTTGCAGTAAACTTTCCGATGGAGTCTCACCGACATATGCCAGGACCTTCAGACTGGGCACCTCACGCGGAGCCAGGGGCTTCGCGATGGTTGGTGTCATACACGCTACGTTGGCGTCAAGAACGCTGATAGAAGCGGCAAGGTTGCCTGGCTCGATATCAGCAGGCACACACACGCACCCGCCTCGTGAGAATGTTCCAAAAGCCTCGAGCAAGAAGACGTCTGACGTATGGGCTGCTAATTGGAGGGTTCGCGACGATTCGCGCAAACCAAGAGAGCTTGCAAAAGCCTCCGCGCGTGTCATAATCTCGCGGTGCTCAAGGACGACACCCCGCGATCGACGGGAGGTTCCAGATGTGAATGCGACGTAGGCAGGATCAGAGTGGCCTGCTGTCAATGGAAGTGGCTCGTCGTTGAGGTAATCCAAAAGAGACTCACTGACAGGAATCACGTAGGGGATAACCTCGTCAAGAATGTGAGATTTCTCTGGCGAAGCCAATGCAACTTGTACTGAGTGGTCAAAGACCCATTTCTCGATCAGACCCATGGTCGCGCTACCATCGACTGGGATGCAACCACCGCCAGCCTTCATAACGGCAATTATGGAAACGATGTTCCAAACAGACTTGTCGAAGCAGACCGGGATGAGGCTCCCGGGACCAACGCCGAAAGTCACTAGGTAGCTTGCAAGTCTCGAGGAAAACTGATCTAGCTTCGAGTAGGTAAGGTCTCCGTCCCAACCTGCAACAGCTAAGGCGTCGGGGTACTGTTTTGCCATCTTGATGACAGCCTCATAAGCACACTTGTCCACGGAATTTGAAGACTTCAAGGTGTTCCATGTTTGAAATTGAGATTTGTTCAGGGGGCTGACACAATCAAGCTGGCTGACGCTGGTTGTGTGTTGAGTCATAATGTTTTCCAGGCAGCTAACGTACGTGTTGGCGACGTTAGCCGCTTGAGCATCGGACAGATGGCTGGTCCAGTAATTCAAATCGATCTTCGCTTCCGAATCCGATGCTTCTATATTCATAAACACCGGGAATTCAGCAGGATCGTGAATGGAGCCAACTTCGAAGCACTCAATGTCTGTGCTCAAAATATCATGGGCACTAGGCAGGCGACGATACGAAACACCAGAGTTGAACAAGGACGTGTCAGACAATGCCAGCGCGTGCTGGATATCAATGAGAGAACTATGGCGATATGGTAGGCTTTCCATATAGTCATTCTGGATTGTTTCGAGGACATTGCTCAGGAGGGAGTTGGGTGTGATCTTCATGCGGCAGATCATGAGGTTGATCACAGGCCCAACAACCGACTGAACTCCATCGACAGGCACATCACGAAGTGAAGCCATGTAGCTAAAGCAGACGTCGTCAGAGCCACAGAACAGACGTAGTGTGAGGCCCCAAGCAGCATTAAAAACATTGGATAATGTGATGCCCTGTTTCTCACAGGACTTTTGGAGCTGCGCAAGAGCTGGAAACTTGACCGGAACTGAGCGAAGACTCTTATCAGCCGGCTTTTTGCCATCGATCAGGACCGGGAATAGACATGGTCTAGCATCAGACAAATAGGAGCGCCAGTATTTCAGACCGGGGTTCTGTGCAGCGCCTTGCAGGTAGGAAATGTAATCCTTGAACAAGGGGCGACGGTTTTCCTCAAGCCTTCCGGCGTAAGCGAGTTGAAGATCACGCATTATGATTGAAATGGAGGTTCCATCCATAGCGGCGTGACTGAGCTCGATGCGGCAAAATAATCTTTTAGCGGGTGTCTGGCAGATGGTGAATCTATACGCAGGAGTTTTGTCGCTGTAGTCTTTGGGCGGCTGCGCTTCGAACATCTCAATGACATCGGTCTCGCTCGAGGAAAACAAGATGGTCGGGTTCATATCGTACTCCTTTAGAACAACCTGGCAGAGAGGGTTTCGAGGAGTAAGACCTTCAACAAAAATCGTACGGAACATGCCATGACGTGCTACGACTTGGCTCCAGGCTTGAACCAAACGATCCACGTTGGGCCGGGTCGAACCAGTACTGCGAACTTCAAAAGTGTCGTGAACAGCGTAGAAGGAGTTGTCACGAGATTGTCCAAGAAGGATTCCCTGTTGCATGCGAGAACAGGGATAGATATCCTCTATCATATCGGATGATAAAACTCCGATTGAGGGTAGTTTTTGTGATATCATTTTCTCAAGGTTGCCATAAGTGAGTGAAAGCAATGGGAAAGTGCTCAAGGTGGGACGAGGCGACGCGGTCATCAATTGATCTGCAAGCGACAGCAGTTCCTGGCGACAGTTCGAAACCCACTCATGAATGCGCTCTTGATAAAGCATGAACTTGTTGAAGGAAAATGTGAACCGAATTTTGCCATTGACAACCATGGCGGAGATCTCGAATAGCCCGAAGCGAGGTGCGTCCTTTCCAAAATCAGCCGCATCACTGCCACGTCCGGCTTCGCCAGCCATCTGATCTACCAGCTGGAAGAGACCATCTGTTCGCTGGAGATCGCGATGCTGACCGACGTAGTTGAAGGACATCTCAAATGGGTGGGGATGCTGGCTATCGGGCTTGTTACCGAAGTTCAGCGCTCGGGTTGCAAAGTCTGCTCGGCCATTGTCAGAGACACGGCGACGAAGATCTTTGACCTGTACAAGCGTATCGATCGCGCTATCAGACTTCTGTTTATTGATAAGAATGGGCTGCAATATCGTGAACCAGCCGACAGTATGCGAGATATCGATAGATGAATCCCAGACTTCACGACCATGGCCCTCGTTGTAAATGGTCGGCAGAGGACGGCCTTGGAAGGACTTTCCAAACGAATGAAGCATAGCAGCCAGAAAGACATCGATTGGTTCCGTCCGCAAGGTATCGTGACAGTCCATCATGATCTTGCGGGAAAGCCCGCTGTCGATCTCAAAGGATGCGCAATCGACATCGCCATACGTTGTCTGATTCCCCGTTAAACCCCAGTACCCGAAGTCGATTGCTGGAAGAGGTGTAGTAGGTGCTTTTCCCTCTTCTATCAGACCATGGCAGTGCTCTTCCTGCATTTTGCACCAGTTTTGAAAAGGGAGGGAGGCTTTGACTTTCAACTCTTTTCCGGGGTTCAGGAGGAGATCTTCCAAGTCCTCAAGGATGATCCTCCACGACACGATATCGACGACCAGGTGGTGAGCTGTCATTGACAGGACGTAGGTCTCATCATGTTCAACCTTGAAGTAATCCGCGGCAAGAAGCGGGCCAGTGAAGGCGTTGATACAAGTTTGACTGCCTCCGATGAACTGCTTCGTTTGATCCATGGTTGAAACAGTTGTAGCTCGAAGCCGGTATGATCCCTTCACATCTTCAGTGATGCGTTGTGTCGAGGCTGTACCAGATCCAGAGTCCGCAAATCGAGCTCGAAGCATCGAATGATGAGAAATGAGAGCTTCAATCGCCTGGCGTAGTGCTTTCTCGGTCAAAGGTTTGTTGAGGCGCGTAACGATTCCTTGGTTGAAATGACCTTGGCCTTCTTTGCGAACACCGAAATGAAGTACTTGAATGGGGGACAGATTGAATGGCGTGTCAACAGCCTCCTCGTACACTGCCATCCGGTCAATGGCTCGAGCCCGCGAGGCCATCTCTCGGATAGATTTACTACGAAGGACATCTTGGACAGACAATGAGAGGCCACTCTTCTTGCACATTCCAATGCAAGTCATCGCAGCGATAGAATCTCCGCCCATTGAGAGGAAGCTCTCATCCAAGTTGACATGGGTCTGTGGCACATTCAGGACACGGCTGAAGATTGCGACCAGTGCGTCTTCCTTTTCGTTTGCTGGTGGTATCACTTGACGCGGAGCCTGAACGCCGCAAGACGCAGCGACGACATCAGGATCCTGCTCCATATTCGACACCCATCCAGCAATGCTTTTTCGATCAAGTTTCCTAGATGGAAGAAATGGCATAGCTTCGACGCAGAGCCAGACAGGAGGGACCATGTAAGTCGGAAGACGTGCAGATAACCGTTCGCGCAACCCGGATACAATCTTTGACTTCTCAGTGCTCAGAAGCAAACGGAGTGGCTCGAGGTCGGTATCCGACTTTTCAGCGAGGGCCAAGCAGGTAATGACGGCTGTGAGCCTGCCTTTCGAGAAACCGCTCTTTGGGAACAGGACACAGCAATGGGAGACGAGACTGTCCTTACTCAACTGAGTCTCGATCTCACCCAGCTCGATCCGTTGGCCGTGAACCTTGACTTGAGTATCTTTGCGACCAACGTAGTTCAAAGCTCCGGAATCAGAGTTGTATCTGGCCAAATCACCAGTCTTGTAGAATCTCCGGTTTGAACCTTCCGCGGGGTCAATTTTCACCCACGCAGGATCGTAAATGAACGCGTCATTTGTCTTCTCGGGATTGTTCACGTAGCAACGGGCGAGCGTAGGACCTTCAAGTAGAAGTTCTCCAGGGCAGCCCACGGGAACTAACTGATCGTGATTTTCAGGATTCACCAACCAAACGCGAACACCGACCGGTAATCCGATGTCTTTGCAATCGGTGGCGGGTGAGACATTCGAATTCAGAACAGATGCGACACTGGCCTCGGTTGGCCCGTAGCCATTGATCAATTCAATTTTCGACCATGTTTCCAGTTGAGATTGTGACATTGCCTCCCCAGCCAGGACCAGGGACTTCAGGCTAGGCACACTTTCAATGTCGACGAATTTGATAAATGACGGAGTAAAGCATGCCTGATCTACCCGGCGCTCGTTGATAAATCCTACAATGTCATTTAGTCTCTGCTCCTCGCTCGGAATACAGACACATGCGCCATGAATGAGTGGTGTGAGTGATTCAGCCAGGCTCGCGTCGAATGTATGCGCAGCAAATTGAAGCGCTCTCGTCTCGCGAAAGATCTTCAATCCTGGGCCATGAGCGATCGCGCTTGAGAGAAACGCGCGATGCTCCAGCAAGGTACCCTGGGCGAACGTCGTCAGCTCTTTATGTCGATCATAACATATGGCAACCTTGTTGTCCTCTCGCGCCTGCGATGTGCCATTCTGGCGCTGACACAGGTGAAAGAATGCAGAGCCAAGAAGAAACGACTCTTGAGAAGAAAAGTACAGGCTCGAGAGTGAGATACGTGCTACATACCTTCGGCTCTCCCGTTGACCCTGATGTGAAGAGCACATAGGCAGCGTTTTGACCGGTGACACCCGACGCAAGGTCAACTTCCACCTCGGAACCCGGCAACTCATCGAGTCCCTCGGCGCAAAGCGGAATGATTGTCTCTGCTGCATCACGCAAAGCTGCGGCGCGAGAAGTAGAGCACAGAATGATCGTAGCCTTGACGGACTCGATCAAATGTTGCAAGCGAGATGTTGGGTGGGTCGGATCTAACGGGACGAAAGCGCCGCCCGCCTTCATCACGCCAAGCATTGCAACAATATTCCATTTCTGGCAAAGTTTCAGCATGCGCTATACCTTAAATGCTCACAGAGATCGTCCTCGGGCCGCGCATGGCATCGAATGCAAATCTTCTGCATAAATGAAAGCCTGCTCGTGATTGGAGCACCGGGGTGGACTCACCGATTTATCGAAGCAGAGCGCAACGCGCGATTCAGGCCCAACACCCCGAATGCGCAAATGACATGCCAGCTTTGTAGCTAGCGAATCAAGCTCTCCATATGTCAAGCTTCCATCCCACGCACTCACAGCTTCTCGATCGGGTCCACTGAGTGTCTGGTCGTGAATCGCGTCATGAATCGTGCGGTCATAAAGTTTCGGTGTGTGCGAGTTCCATTGACGTATGCGGTTCAAGTCATTCTCGGAGAACAAATTAAGCTGGCTAATAGCGATGTTCTCAGCAGAAAGAGTATGTTCCAATATCTGCTCAAAGGCGTAGGCAACGCTCTTCATCTGTTCCCCAGACATCTCTCCGTTTCGCCATTCCAGGAAGATTTTGACATCTCGGCGCAATACCTTCACATGGAGGCGTACTTGGCACTATCACGACGCAGATCGGATTAGTCGATTTGCCAACAGTAAACTCCAAAAACATGCAAGATCCAAACGTTGCGCATCTGGTCATGAGACACTAGAGCAGTTCCAGCCGTACGGGGAAGGGAAAAGAGCTCCAACGAACCTGATCTGGGAGGGCCGTTGCTAGCATTGGTTGCTGGGAGATTGGTGAGGATGGCGGATCATTTGCCTTTCGATATGTCCGGAGCATCAAGATAGTGTTGAAAGGCAGCATTCCATTCTCAGAGATCTCCTCGTCGTCCACGTGCTGCGCGACCTTTTCGCGCTGAGCTTGCGCTCTGTCTAGGATAGTTCGAATCGAGTCGTTCTCGTCAATGGTGACTTCAAACGTGTCCATATTCATGGAATCCGGCTGTGGGACCGGATGCCGGGAGGAGATGGAGTCTCCGTCAATGTGCTGGTATCCGAAGCAGATGTGCTCAGAGCGAATATAGTAATGCAGGACCATGGCCCAGGTGGCCTGCATCACAGATCCCAATCGTCCCTCCTGCCACGCGGTGAATAACTGCGCATGTTGTGAGGACGTGGGTTTCATCTTCATCGAGACAGGGCGTTTGGGCCCGTCAATGGCGGGCGCGAACCGAGGCAAATAGCAATGGGAATAAGAGTTGGCCATGATGACGAGTGCTTGAGATCAGCGACGATGCGCAGAATGGGTAAGAATTAAGAGAAGTAAACCAGGTTGCGTGCCGGTAGCGATTAGTTTCGATGTCGATTAGTCGGCCAAGAGTCTCTATATCCAGGTGACGAGGCCAATAATTAGAAGCACAGGATAGTGCAGAAGTAATACATCCAAGAAAATCCGGGGGACAGCGACAATTATGAATAGAATCCTCGGCACGCGCAGAGAGGTAAGAATATTCTTCTTGCGCGATATGAAACTAAAATCGCTCACAGATCGGATCAGCTAAGACACTGGCTTTCTTCTTTTTTCTCCCCTCATGTGTATTTTGAAAATAAGAACGCAGAAAAAGGATCGATCTATTTCTCCATGCCTAAAAATCGAAAATAGCTATGACATTGATCATCGGGGCTGCAGATGCATGGCCATGCTCCAGCTCGTTTAAGAACGCCGGTACGTTATGTACAGTATGTGCCGATGGGGAAAGAAATGCCACATGTGTACCGAGAAGTGCAGCACGGACTGTGCTCATGGCCTTGCGAAAAGGACGAGATTACGGTAATACGGGATGAATACTACTTCACCGATTTCTATAGGATGCCACCGCTTGGAGCAACAGACAATTTCAGGATCGTCCAAGTATCTTCCTTGCATGGGTTCGGATCTAGATGTTGAGAAATTAGAGAGGCGGCGTGCTGAGTGGATCATCTTCGAACCACCGAAAGACGCCCCCCCCTGTGGAACCAGGTCAGACACTGTCAAAGCGGACCCTGGCCGGTGAACACTCGGCAGCTGGTAGTTTTGAATCCACAGTCATTCCAAGATGGCGGCAGTGTTCGGGGCTCTCAATTGCACTTTCTGAGTTCAGCTCAGCCAAAATGGGGGCAGAAAAAATTATAGCTTGTTTGTTGTGCTCAAATAAGATTGATGGGTCAGCCTGGAAGGCAATGACCGAGAGGATAAACGTTAGTAAGTAGCCTCAAAGACCGGTTAGGAGTAAATATCATCTCGGTTACTAGATTTGAGCACTGATCAACCCAGTTTGTTCCATAGAGTGGAAAGAGGTTGCTACCGCAAGGAGAATCTTGTGATTCGTTCCTATTGGATCAGACTTTTGTTTAATTTCACAGTCGAGGGAGGTCGAAAAGTTCATGCATCAACATCCTTAAACGGGGCCACCGTTGCCCAATTTGCCTCCCCGACCTGTAGCGAACTTCACAAAACGTGGGTTTGGCATGATGATAGGTGTCAGACAGACAAATTAACGTGACTATTGACCGGTGCGCCTGGTATGTGAGCAGGATGCATCGGTCACAGAATCTGGCACGTCTTTGGGTGAATCTATCAGCTGCACCATGTTCATGCATGACCCCAAGCGATCTAGGAGAACTGTTGCAGCATCAGCAGACAATCTGCTCTCTTGGCGCGTCTCTTTTTTTTTCTGTTTATGAGCTTCCCCATCTGGAATAAGCTGATGGGTGATCCTGATCATGGAGACGGATTCAGTGAAGTGGTCTGTGAGTTCGTCCATGATTTAGTGGTACCTATAGTCACTCGTGAGAATCAAGATCGATTACCCAAAGCCACCTCAAGTAACTGAGAAAGGCCAGAATGGATGTCCCCCGTAATTGCTTGAGTCTTTCACGCGTGTCTATCAGTTGATCTTCGAGATAGCCCTATCCAGGAAAGTTTCAATTTGCTCCGCACCCACACCGACTCGGTCAAAATCTTCAACGAGGGGCGCCTCGCGTCACTGGACACATGGCAGGCCTGAGCTAAATGATTGAGACATTCTTCATCGAGCTGAGATCGAAGATGGATCCCGAAATCTCAAGGTACTTCCTCAGGTATGACAGGGTCTACGATACCTGGTGTGCAGATACTACCGTGATATTTCCATCGCGAGCAACCACGAAGATAAATGTGTAATGGCCCTAAGTAGGTAGTTCTAGCATATGTTTTGGGCAGCAATTGAGTGGCGGTCGAGCTCAAATATATTTCTATTGATTCACCTGAAGGATAGGTACACATCCTTCATTGGATCTATCAGCCAGACCTTCCACCCTGCGGAACAGTCAATATATTCAGGAGCGGTGACAGGGCATGGATGAGCTTGCCACTTGGCGGACTCATAAAGTTCCGTCTCAGCCGGGGCTCTCCACCAACTTTAATGACGCCCGTGGCTACTGAGTAGGTTCGCTGTCGGCTACATCCACCGTAGTTGAGGTGTCTCACACTTCATTTCCTTCCACGACACCCACTTGATCTAAGTGCAGCACAGACGACAGAGGTGTGTTGGAGGTAGCAGGTAACGCATTGCGGCGGAGTTGTCTCCACCTCATCGATGTTTTGAGAGTGACATCTACCAGCAGAGGATACTGCACACTGCACAATCTACATCCACAGAGTTGAAGGGGGAAGATCGAGGTCGGGTGTGTTCAAGCCAGTGGCGCTTCTAGATGAGAGCTTCAAGGTTTCAATCCAGCAATACCTTAGCAGCACAAGAACAGGAGGTCCTATCACTTCCATCATTGTCTTGCTGACGGGGCGGAACCTAATTGCCGCAAAGTCAGAATCATCTTTTTGACCTAGGCACAAGATATGCCGTAATCCTAGCAGGTGTGGAATTCCTGTCAAGTTTCAGGTCCTCTTCTCGTTCTTGACACCCAACTCGATACAGTAGTAAGGTAGTATTGCCTGTTCTAAATCATTTGTAAACCCATGGTCAATACTGCAGTAACCCGAAAAGCCCAAAAGATAAAACCGGCCAAATCTATATCCCGCACCCCGCAGTACACTTATATATCGATACACTACTCCGGCAGCAAGCCAACCAAGTACCTGTTCCTAGTTCCTACCCACATGTAGAAGGTTCTATGGATGAAGGGACAGTGTCTGGAGCAAATCAGGGCGCACTCAGGACTGTTGGTCGAAAGTCCATTGTCCCTTCATGACGATGACGATGTCAGTTCTTTCCAGGGGGTACGATCCACCCTGCATCCCAACACGCGGGACACGAGAACATTTGTAGGCCGGAAATCCGGCAAAGTCTGCTCCAAGGTGGACAAGGTGGACAACTTCCTTGGGCTGGATGACCATGATTGTCCGAACCACTTAGATAGCCTCGACGAAGAGAAGCCAATGGAGCATACATCACCCGACAACCCGATTCTCGGGAGAATTGACCCGCCGTGAAAACATGGTTCACATTACGATTCCAAACTGGCAAAGATCTTGGAACAGGGCCAAGATGCTGGTGAAGACGTGATCAAAGAAGGGAGACAGCCCATCCCCGTAGTGACGTGACATCGGACTCGACTGTGCAAGTGAGGTGCAGGCTGGGGTGCTTTTGCTTAGCGCCCGTGCGGAGTAAGGTAGGAGTCAACTGGAGGAGGCGCACGAACGACTCGACCTCGCAAACGCCTGGAGAGGACTGACTGCGTTAGGCACTTTGGTGATTTCCCGAATCCCTCTCCTGCAAGGGAGCGTGGAACTTGCCCTCAAGGGGCTTGGCGGGAGAGAAAAATAGGATCACACACAAACCCGGTAGTTCTCAAGGGCGCCTCAAGCCCAGACGGGGGCCACGGATCGATCCGGTGGGGGCCACCCGCGCGGATGTGGATCATAGTGGGAACAAGGAGGCTAAACTGAGCGAGGGAGGAGGTATTGTGATTCGGCAGAGGCTCCATGTTGAGAGAGGACAATAGGACGGGAAATGCGCCCACCAGCTACCGAGAAAGGAAGTTGTGGTACTATCCGGAAGCCACAATCACCATTACTATTTGTGCTGGCCGGCTGTCAAGCAGTCAAAAACTGGACTGAGGTCAGGACGAGTCAGAGGTGCTGAGGGTGTACGCTTCTGAATCTTCAGGACTTCAGGCAGAGAAAGTCGGTATCTAGACTCCATGTGATCGCGGATGTGCGCCAATCCTTTACGTGCTATCGAGGCGTGTGGCCCTAGCTACCTGGGCAGTCTCGATTCCAGATTTCCATAGCAGGTTGCATTGATCGGCAACGCCTCACAATGCAGTAACAATTGTCCACCACTGCATGTTCTTCACCTGTGTGATGGCGACCTTCCTTTTCGAGAGCGCCTTCATAGACAAGGGGCCTTGCCCAGGGTGGTGCTTCATGCCTCGTGTTCCCAGGGGCTACCTATGCAACTGATCGTAGCATTTCGGATGATGCAGAAAAAGCATGGTTCTGGGGAAGACAAAATGTCATGCGTGACTGTTCTCTCCGGTCCATGTGGCCGGCGAATTTCACGATTTTGGTCAGACTCAGCCCTGCCAACTACGAGAACATCAGAGTCTGTTTCAGATTGGCTCGGTCGGTCTGCAGAGGTCTATCATGCGGCTCGATAGTCAGCAGCGACAGAGCATTCCAAATATCAAGTCAGTAGGTGGTACAGTCGATTAAGCCTTCCACAGTTCAAGCTGTGTGTCAAAAGTGATTCAGCCGGGTTCCAGTCCTGTAGTGCAGGTGCTCACCGACCCATGCCCTGGGGGTCTGACAAAGCAAGAAAACCCATGGATGCGGCTTCGAGCATTCTGCCCAATAAACCCATCTGAGGCGGCCTGCCCGAGACGATCGACTACCAGGGTGGACCTGCTCCGCGCCTCAGGCCTTCTAGAGTGAGTGATTTGCCGGTCCGTGAAATCAACCGCCGAAAGCTACGCCTCGAGAAAGTCAAATACTAATAATTCTCCGAAGGAAGAGATCAACAGGCCATCAAATCGGTTGGAACCTGGGCGTGCAATCCTTGACTATGGGTTAGTGTTTAGTTTCACTAGTTCATGATCGTGGGTACCTTTTACGGTGTGTACTTGTACTTAGCACTCCGCAATTAGGGCTCTGTGGCACTGGCAGTGGCTTTGGGCGGCCCTTCCACACGATCCACCTGTGGAGCACTCGAGATTGTTGCGTGGGGCTGGTGGATGAGCTGTCGACCAGCACCACAACAGGCGGGACAGGGACGAGATTATTGTCTCATTCTTCACCAACCCGCTCACCTCATCGGGTCTACGCAGATCCCAATGTGCAGAATGGAAGTGACGTTGAGCGCCAAAATCGGCTGGTCTTTCTGGCCGATGCAATGGACAATGTTGCGAGCCACAATCAACTCACTGGCCACTCTACCCCGTCAGACCGACTCTTCCGCCATTTAATCTTGTGGTCTGTCAGGCGTTTTGGAACACCCGGCCTAGTCCAGTGTTTTCGTCATGCTGAAGAATCTATGTGCCGAACTCCAATCTGCAAGCTGGTTAGCGCGTCACGGACCCCCGAACCACCAAGACCTTGGTTTTGCACGGACGTTGAGCGGACGGGCGCTGTCCAAGCGGCGTCCAGGCTTGCGCGGTGGCGCCCAGGGCCAGAATCTTGTCGGTAGTGATGATCGGCAATCCCCACATCGTTTGTTGTCTGAGTGATCTTCGTCATCTTCTCGATTGCCCGATCCTGGACCCGGCTAGCCAGCAGCCCAGACACCCGCTGCTGACTCGCGTGATGGCCTGCTTGACCCCCCGAACTACTTGTCCCCTTCCAGAGACAGACCAAAGACACGAAAGCAGGCAATGGCGCATGTCAGACAGTCTTCGGTGCAGCAATATACAGCTGTAGTAATGGTCAGGCACGTTTCGGACTCCCACGCGAGATTGAAGGCAACTGCAGAGTGCATCACATTATTTGGAATCGAAAAGATGTGCTTATGTTCCAAATCGACGGCCAAATACGTACTCGATATGGAAGGCGTCAGACATGTGGTGGTCTTGAGGACTAAACAGCCGACCGGCCTTCGAAAGACCTGCATTGGATCAACAGCTTGACACTACTACATGGAAGAGGAGGCTGGCCAAGGACACTAAGAATCAACCGGAGATCCGCCGAAGCCGGCCAGCCTACCGCGTAGGCTTCTTTGCTGGACCTGTCTTAGCAGGGCCGCTGAGTACTGAGTGGTGGGAACTTGAAGATACACAACTGCACATACGGCTGTGCGACTGTAAGTAGTAGAGTATCTCTCAGTACTAGTAGTCACAATGGGTACATATACGGGTACAATGGAAAGCGGGTTTTTTCTGGAAGAGCGCCGCCGCTACGAGGAAATCCTTTTCGTCACTGCCAAGTACCCACGACTTTCCTCACGTCATGTCGGTCGAGATTCAAACACATCAGGAAATGCTACCTCCAGACGGAGTTTTCTTTTCAAATAGTAGTATTTTTGTTATGGATGCAATGGGCGTGCGTAGGTGCCCCTGTTCAACTTTCGCTTGGATCAAGAATCCCCACATGAGACGAGAGATGTTTGCCGTCGACTTGTGGAAATTGATACATGCTAAAAATTTCTTACCAATAGTCGCTTGGTTCCGACGATCGTCCTCATGGAACCATGGATGAGGAAGACGGGAACCAGTAATTCTGAGCTCATTGTGTTTGCAATTGACGTCGACCACTTTTGTCTTCAACCCTTCAAGATATGGCTCTAAGGGGCGACTCCAGCATTGGACACGGTGGTGTTGATGGTATCGAAGACTGGAAGGGAGTTGACTGGACCTGATATTCGAGATGCAAGACGCAATCATCAAAGGAAAGTCATAGGACTGTCTAGATAGAGACAAACGGGCGCGATGAGGTGAGCTCAGGTTCTCATACAAGGCTGGAATGACTGGGTGGCGCACTTCTCCTGAGATCTCTTGCTTCTCGAGGCACCGACCTAGTTATGGACCAGATCACAAACTACCATGACTTCTTCAAAAATCTCAACTTTTTTCAAGTTCACGCTACGCACTTGTGGCTTCACAGGACAGGCATCTTCCCATTCAGTCCAAAGCCGAAGTTACCCAACGGCTGAAGTCATCGTTGCGCAAGCGTGCAAAGCATATCCACAACAAACACCCGGAACACTTGCCTCGCCAGTCAATTGTTTGTCCGGCCTTGCCGAGTGCGTAGTCAGTGGGCCTTGACCCATCACGGACCTTGGATGTTCTGCGCTGTACAACTGCTTTCCTTTTCCCTGCCCTTTCCTGAGATCACGTTACTATTTGCAGTAGTACGTGAACTAGTAGGTCAAGGGCCCTGCAGGGAGGGCGGATGGACCAGACCAAATCAGCCTTATTCACAATCCGTTTGTCTTCGCTTATGCGTCAGGTTTCTAGCAGACCAATCGCTTGAGTCTTTCCTCCCAATTGCCTCCCGCAAAGAGGCATGTCATTGTCCTGCGGACTCGCGATGCATCGAGTCCTGACAGGGTGTATTTCTGATCGGCCATGTACCTCATCACTGTACTAAATCAAGGGACAAGGAGACTGCAGCGATTACCACTGGATCTACCTTTGTTTTGTTTTTGTTTTTCCCCCCTATTTTGCTTCGACCTAAGACATCCCCAACTTCCATTTCCGCTCAATGCTACTGGTCTTGCTCTGGATCAATCAATCTGCAAGGTCGCACAGCCTTTCCTCCACCTCGTGGCAATCGCCGGGATCCACTGATAGGCGCTTTGGAGCTGAGCGCCGAATCAAGAGTGCTCAATAGCGAGGGGAGAGTACCGATGCATTGCACTAGTCAGCGAGACCAGTAGGGGAGATCCAGGAGATTTGGAAGAAAGTGACACTTCCGTAACTGTACAGTATACAAAATGCCATATTGTTTGTCCAGTCTGTTCTGAGTCCATTCGTGATCTGCTCATCAGAACTGTCAGCTGCTGTCGTAGCGCGAGTAGAGACCCGTTCGGCACCCTTTTAGATCTCCGTGTTCTCTCTCTGACAGCCACCACTAACCCTACCTGGCAGGTAGATCGGTACCACCACCCACTCAGTTACTGTCATTCTCCATTATACAAATGGAAGCCGCCAAAACAAGGAAGCGGGACAAAAAGCTCCACGATTGCTGTTCTCCAACTGCCTCCAACAACGGATGTGGACAACCACAAGATCAGGTCCACCACAGCTCGCAGCTTGGGACACTTTCTCCGTTTGTACTTTGTTATACCTTGTCATAGTAAACAACTAAACATCTTACTCTGGTATCTCGTAGTCTCGTACTGTAGAGTGACTAAAGTGTATCAGTGTAGACTCTGCAAGAACTGTGAATCATTTAGGGTACTTCCGAGTGTACATAAATTCCTCACACAAGTACACCTTAAACATACCCTTGTGCTTTGCGCGCAGCTGGATACTGCTGATCACAATATCAGTTGCCATAGAGCCGACCAACTTCAAAAGCGGCATTATACAAGGGGTCGGAGTCCTCGAAGATAAAACCCCTGGGTACAGTATATCCCCTGGTTGGATATGTAAGGTCTCTCAACTTGGGCCCTTCCGTCGTATTTTCCTGCAGTAAAAAGAAATCAAGTCATTTGGGCCCCATGATGAAGGGAAAAATTGGGACTGTGCTAAATTGAGCAATACTGAATAAATAAGCCGAATGAGGTATAGGTAATCCTTGAGTAGGTGGTCTGCGGAAGAAAAATCAGTCTCGACGCTATGACCAGATCAGTACACACTCAACAGTTTAACAGACCCCTCATTTTATATACACCATTGCGGTGGAAAGAAAAATAGTAAAAATGGGACTCACACAAATATTCCATGGACGTTCATGGTTGTAATCTTACCACACTGTATAACAGTGTACAGTCTACAGTCTACAGTCTACAGTCTACACTAGTACACTGTGCAGTGTGCACAATTATCACAGTTTCTCAGTTTGTCTGGGGATTTTCCAATCCTGGTTGTTTTATTCTCCTTTTTCCCCCGTGGAGTGCCTTTTCGCTAGACTGGATGGCCACCACAACTTCGATGTAAACATTGCATGATGACTACACTTACGACCCTCATTGGCGGACTGCAGCCATACGTATCACACTCATCGGATCATAAACACGAAAGAAGAAAGAAAAAAAACCAGCATGGTGGAATGGCCTCCACTGCTGACGTGGAAAAAAAAATCCTCAAAGTGGAAGGATTCCAAAGGGAACAATAGCCACTGACACTGTCACAAGGGACTAGACCAGATACCCAGGTCAGCGAACGGCGAGAGCACGAGTTGAGAAGGTGGTCCTGTGAGATACCCATGGAGTCTAGGGCGTCGTGCTAATTTGTGCATGTCTCAATTGCTCATTTACCATTTCATTATTTTTTTTTGGGCCCAAGCTCGTGCCTGGGTCGTGGAATCGCGGTGCACTCGGGGCCTAAACAAGTTGTTCAAATGTATGCTATCCTCCACGTTCTCATTCAGCATGTCAAGTGAAACAGTTTGAGACGCTGTGTCAGTAAACTGCAATTCTGGGAGAGTACCCTACTTTCTGCTAGCATCTCAGTCATATCCGAGGGGGACTTGAGCGCTTCTTGATCGATAATAGTGTCCAGTCAGTTTATTTGGTCGGCCGAAACTTACTCATGGTGCCTCGTGGTCTCCGTGATGCTGCAGTCTAGGTCCATCGGTCCATCATGCCATGAGCTGGACAACACGATCCGTGTTGGAATGGGCTCATGTCGTGGCGGATTTGATTTCTCATTACTCCTCGAAGAAACAATTCTGACTCTCCTTCCCATTGCTTTGATCTTGATTCTGGGACCGCTGCGGATATGGCAGCTCTCACGGCAACAATGCAAAGTCAAAAGATCGTGGTTACTTCCATCCAAGCTTGTAGGTCTCTCTATTGATGTCAGCCGAGGGGGCACACTTGATCCGTGCGAATAGACTAACAGCGTTCTTTTCACAGGTGACCTGGCTCCTCTATATGGGCCTGGCAATTGCACAAACAGTGCTCTGGGCAACACCAGAGGCAGACCGCACCAAGGCATCGCTTGCCACTTACATTGTTCTCACAATTGGAACGCTGATGCTCTTGTTTCTTTCGTACATTGAGCACTCTCGATCTGCCAGGCCGTCCTTCATCTTGAACGCTTATCTACTCTGCACGTTGATTTTCGACGGCGCAAGGACTCGAACTTTGTGGCTTCGTGCTGATAATGGACTGGGCAACAAGATTGCCGTAGTCGCTTCGGTAGCTTTGTGTATCAAATCGATCCTCTTACTCCTGGAGACTATGGAGAAACGACGAATTCTGAAGGAGCAATTCACAGGACATCCTCCAGAAGCTACAGCAGGTCTCTTCAATCGCTTCTTTTTCGTGTGGCTGAACCCTCTGTTCATGAAAGGATTCAGTAATCTTTTAACAGTTGATGACCTTTTCGTCACTGATAAAGAGCTGAGCTCTGAGACATTGCTGGCAAAGTTTGAGCGGAGATGGAACAAAGGTCAGTTGTCCGCACGGCGTTGGAACATGTTAATATTGCTTTACTGAAACCCTTCAAGTTCAAACAAAGTCGACCCATACGCTACAACTTGAGGCGTTTAAGGCCGTCAAGGCACCACTTCTGACTGCCATTCCAGCCCGAGCCTGCTTGGTGGCTTTCAACTTCTGCCAACCTTTACTCCTCACACGCTCGTTATCCTTCTTCAACAGTCCCGTCAATGATACAACGAACAATGTCGGCTACGGGTTGATTGGTGCCTATTTCCTGGTATACACTGGCTTGGCCGTAAGTGAACCGTTCAACGGATGTACATGCCAACCTATTAATAGCGAGTCTGACACGTAATAGGTCTCGATGGGACAATACCAACACAATACTTACCGAGGTATCACCATGGTCCGTGGCATTCTCATCACCATGCTCTACAAAAAGTCCAGTCGCTTGGATCTCAACGAAGTCGACCCTAAGAATGCCTTGACCTTGATGAGTGCAGACATTGAACGTATCACTCAGGGCTGGCAAACCATGCACGAGATCTGGGGCAACTCCGCAGAGATCGCGCTTGCAATTTACCTCCTGGAGCGTCAGCTTGGTGTTTCTTGCTTTGTGCCTGTTTGTGTAGCTCTTGTGGCTCTGGTGGGATCCCTCGTGGGAATGTCCTTCGTCGTACCCCGTCAGGCTCAGTGGCTCCAGGCAATCGAGAGACGTATCTCATCCACATCTGAGATGCTGGGCTCTATGAAAGGGGTCAAAATGCTCGGTCTTCAAGACCTATACATGAAGATTGTCCATGGACTGCGCGTTGATGAGTTGAACATTTCCAAAAGGTTCCGGACTCTCCTCGTCTACAACATGGGATTCGCCTGGCTCACTCGCATCTTCGCCCCCGTGTTGACGTTCGCTGTCTACATTGGCCTTTCTAGTTCAACCCTGGATGTTTCTCGTGTCTTCACCTCACTTTCGCTTTTCGCTCTTCTTTCTGATCCACTCTTGACCCTTGTCATGGCCCTCATGTCTTTCGCGGGGTCTGTGGGATCATTTGTCCGAATCCAGGAGTTCCTCGAAAAAGAGGACCACATTGATCACCGTGGAGGCGCTCAGCAAGCAAGTTCCTTTGAACTCGTTCACAAAGAGAAGGTACTCTCTGCGTATGGAGAACTTGATCTTTCTTCGAGCAGCTTCGGCTCGGCGGAGTCGTTGACGTACCGGTCATCTTCCTTGTCCTCCATCAATGCCGCAGTCATCCAGAACGGAACCTTCAGCTGGGACCGGGATCACCAGCCCATTTTGACCGACATCAGCATTTCAGCCCCTCGTGGTGGGCTCACCATGGTTGTTGGGCCCTCAGGCTGTGGAAAGTCAACTCTTTTGAAAGCAATACTAGGGGAGATCTACTGTGTCTCAGGCAAAGTCGAGTTGAACGCTCCCAGTGTGGCGTTCTGCGACCAGTCTCCTTGGCACATGAACGGGACCATCAAGCATAGTATTGTGTCAATGTCCGATTACCAGCCCGACTGGTATTCCATCGTGGTCAAGGCCTGTGCATTGGACGAGGACTTTTGGCATTTCCCTCGCGGCGATCAGAGCTTCATTGGAAGCAAAGGAGTCGCTCTCAGTGGTGGGCAGAGCCAACGTATAGCGCTAGCCCGTGCAGTCTATGCCCGGCGAAGGATCATTGTCATCGACGACGCTCTCAGTGGCCTCGACGCTACAACTGAAAATCATATATTCCACAGCTTGTTTGGAACCATGGGCCTCTTACGGGAAATTGGTACATCTGTGATCATGGCATCTTCCTCGGTCAAACGACTACCATATGCCGATCATATTGCTGTCATAGATCCGACTGGACGTGTGAAAGAGCAGGGCCACTTCGACGAATTGAACAATATGGGCGGGTATGTCTCCAGTTTCGATCTACCTATGCCGGACTGGGACTACAAGCCCAGAGCCATCTCGGCGTCCGTTGCCGATAGCACGAAGACACCGACTATCGAAGGCAAGGAGCCATCGGCCATGGAATTCGAGAGTCGGGGCAGTGGTGGGGATCTTACGATCTACACCTATTACGTCGATGCAATCGGGAAATTGCCGGCCATTTGCTTCATGCTAGCTATGGCTGTCTTTGTGTTCTGCATCTCTTTCCCTAGTATCTGGATGAAGTGGTGGGCCGTGTCCGACACCCAGTCGCCAAGACAAGAAGCTGGGAAGTATCTTGGTGTCTATGCCATGCTTGGCTGCATTGCGATGACTTCTCTGATCCTGGGATGCTGGCAGATGGTAATCACCATGGTTCCCAGATCTGGTGAGACATTTCACAGGAAACTCCTGCAGACCGTCCTTGCCGCTCCGATGTTCTTTTTCTCCACAACGGACGTGGGTTCAATCCTGAATCGGTTCAGCCAGGACTTGCAGTTGATCGACATGGAACTACCCATTGCCGCCATCAACACCGTCGTGACCGTGTTCCTCTGTCTTGCGCAGATGATACTGATCGGCATCAGCTCCAAGTATGCAGCTATTTCCTTCCCATTTGTTCTGGGCCTTCTTTTCATTATTCAGAAAATCTACTTGCGCACCTCTCGCCAAATCAGGTTCTTGGATCTTGAAGCCAAAGCACCCTTATACTCCAATTTCACCGACTGCCTTCAGGGCTTGGTCACTCTTCGAGCCTTTGGCTGGCAACATGCCATGGAAAAGAAGAACATTGAGCTTCTGGATTATTCCCAGCGGCCCTTCTACCTTATGTTCGCCATCCAAAGATGGCTCACTCTATCATTGGATCTTGTGGTCGCTGGAATTGCAGTGCTTCTCATGATCTTGGTTGTTTCTCTCCGAGGTACTAGTCTGGGTGCGGGATCAATCGGTGTGGCTCTTCTGAATGTGATCCAATTCAGCCAAAGTATCAAGCTCATGGTGACGTTCTGGACCAACTTGGAGACCCATGTTGGGTCCGTCGTCCGCATCAAGGATTTCACGCAGCATGTCTCGTCTGAGGACCAGCCTGGCGAGGACCAACTGATCGCTTCAAGCTGGCCGTCCAAAGGAGCGGTGTCTTTTCAGTCAGTCTCCGCGGCGTATAGGTATGCATGTCTCGAATTTATTTCATGCTTTGACCACAAACTCTAACTTCCTATTCAGACCTAATGAGCCCGTTTTGAGGGATATCTCCCTGTCGGTGGAAGGGGGAGAGAAGATTGGAATATGTGGACGAACTGGAAGGTAAGAGGCGTCGTTGATTGTTCCCGGTGAAGTTGTTTTTACGCCTGCTAACGCTCAGCCGATTAATTTCAGTGGAAAAACATCCATGATCATGAGTATCTTCCGTATGCTGGATTTGACCCAGGGGACGATTTACATTGACGGAGTCGACGTATCTACTCTGTCTCGACGCGATATCCGCTCTCATATCAACGGTGTCTCACAAGATTCGTTGTCCTTCAAGGGTAGCGTACGTGTCAATGTCGATCCAACGGGATCGCGCAATGACGCCGATATCCGTGACTCCCTTCGAAGCGTACAGCTGCTTGACTTGATCCTCGAAAAAGGTGGTCTGGACTCGGATCTCGCCGAGATTCACCTTTCTCACGGTCAAATGCAGCTTTTCTCTCTCGCTCGTGCCATTCTCCGCCCGGGCAACATCCTCATCCTGGATGAGGCCACAAGCAAGTAAGTTTCATTCCACTTTATTGATTTGCCTTGCATCTGGAACGCATTGGCCGCCCCGGGTCCTGTACTTTGACTCTGTTGGGCTTCCTTTCCCTCCTACCGCCCATCACTCCCGCCGGCCCCGTGCATATGCGGCTTGCTCTGCTGGGGGTTGGGCCTCGGGCGCCGTGGCAGACGAGGCTCATCGGCGTCCATCCATCAGGAACCGGACGCCCCTTCCGCAGCCCCCTTGCCGCAAAATCGTTCCCCTCCAATTGGTAAACCTAGTTTTCCGATACCGAAGACTAATCACAAATGCTTCCCGATATAGTATCGATTCAAGGACAGATGAAATCATGCAGCGCGTCATTCGCGAGAAGTTCTTCGGCCATACCATCATTTCCGTCGCGCACAAACTCGATACCATCCTGGACTTTGACCGCGTTGTGTTGTTGGATGCTGGTCGCATTATTGAAACGGGAGAGCCTTACCAACTACTCAGGAAACCTGACTCTCACTTTGCTCAACTATATGCGAACTCGACTACCAATGAGGACACCGACTAATCATTCCTTCTTCTTCTTCTTCTTCTTCTTCTTCTTTGTTTATATTAACCATCATTCTCCCAGACAAATCTTCCTTGCATTCAGCGGCGGTCCCTTGCTCGTCGCAAGCTCTTTCTTTCTTTCTTTCTTTTTATCCCGGCAAAACAGATCTCGACAGACGGGGGCAAACATGCCAACGGCAGCAACCGTCGTTCGAATGATTCAGCCATCAGGCATTCGTGAACATACCCGTTCTTTTCTTTACATACCCGTGCCTTTCTTCGTCAATGATATTTCCCATTTCAACTCCATGTGACCCTCACTTATCATGTATATACCTTTCCAGTTCTTTTGATCTAGTGCTTAATCTTCTACTCTTCACCCCACGACAACCATCACCCACCATGTGCCTCACACGTGGCCTCGCGAATCTGCGACCTCAACCAAGTAGCTCCCAGATCAAGTTCCAAATCTAAAGCAATTCCCCAGTCTATTCGATTTTCCTTTTACTCTCAAGCCAAAGCGAACTATTCCAGGGTCCCCTCGTCATCTGACCTATTCACTGCTCATCATGACCATTAGTTCGAGTTGTGTCATGTAGTAACTCCATTAGAAGATTACCTCAAGTCAATCAACTTTGACCTAGCGCCGGCTCCCAGTCGCTTCGAGAACTAGAAACCAGATTCCGTGAATCCCCCCGACTGTATAGCTTGTCGTCATTGTGAGATTGTTAGTAGAACCGAAGAGATACCCGCCTATTAGATCGTTCGGCTTCTGTCACTATCCACTTGCAAGCTAACGTCCGTCCAGGGCCTATACCTGGGCCCCATCTCGATCTTTCTCAAGTTCTAGGTGTCCGACTACGTACGTCGGATCGTCTCGTCCGTCCATTGATATCTTTCGGCAAAGTTACCCAACAACTACTCGATCCGTCGCCCCAACCTTCCAATTACCAACCTGGGTCAAGACCGCCGGGACAGGATTACTTAGATAGGCCGAGGTATCGAGCTACACCTGGAAAGAAACCTATAACTCGAGTCGATGTGCTATGCAGGTGATTGGTACCCTATGGATCCGATGAGCTACTTTCCATCAAAATGCCCAAGGTGAGCCCGCCCGCGGAGGTGAAGAGCAATGATCAATTCATGTGAATCTTTATTTTTCATTTGTGTACTAGGCTAGGTAGGTACCTGGGGACTGGACTCTCCGGTCTACCAGCAACCCGGAGGCCATCGCATTGCATTAATAGGTTACCTTGGTAGCTACATGATGGATTCCATACAATCGGAGCCTCCTTAGGCCTGGAAGGATTTCCAATGATGCATGCAAAACCTACATAACTCAGACAGACATGACTAACCTACCAAGACGAGCACCGACAAAACGGGCTGACGCCGCCGTTCGAGGGAACCCGTGTCCACTGCCAGTACAATAAAAGGACGTGGTTTTAAGCTCATTCAAGCCCGACCTCGAGGTATGCCCGAAACAGGAGAATGTGGCACGCTTGTGTAAAATGCTACAGCTACTGCTCATTGGGACGGGAACCTTGAGTGAACGCCCAAGCATCGACCTGAACTCAACTCCAGTGGACCTACATTAAAGGGCTTCCAAACGAGCACAGTCTATGTGACTGACACGAGTTGGGAAGCTCTCGCCGCTGAAGCTTCTGACAAAAAGGAAAAGGCGATCCAGAATAACTTATGCAGAACTCCGTATTTCCATTGTTTCCACCAGTCCGCGCCCAAATCAAAGTCGAAGATTTTACGTTCCATCGCAGTAAGCCATAAATGACGGAAATCACATCCTAGGAAATCTCCATTGTGTCATCATCCATCGCCTCCTCGTCATCTCCAAGCAATCCAAACTCCCAATCACCGCGCTCGATGCGGCTCACGCGATCAAGCTCAGACTGGTACTCACGACGAAGGTGGGTAAGGGTGACAATAACGCGCTTCTGAGGGGCATCAGTCTGCGGTTGGAAAGAAACGCTGCCACGACTATTGCCAATCGAAGAGACGCTGACACGGCGATCAGAAGGACTGAAAGACGCTCCACTCGATGATCTGCGCCTGCTCGCACTGGGAGAAAAAGCGTCACGCTCAGCATTCTCCGTGAAGACATTGCCGTCTTCATCTGCTGAGCGGCGTTTTCTAGATAGGGAATTTGGTCCTTTACCGTTTGATTCGGGCGAGTCAATTTCAACAAGAATGTAGGCCTCACTTTTGTCGACCGATGCCAACAAGTTAATCAGAGATAATAACTCATGCCGAATCTCCTTGCTCTCCTGGTCGTCTTCAGGCACATGCGCAAAGTCAACATCTCTCTGAGACTTGCGGAGAAGGGCAGTTGATGGCGCATCTCTTGCCTGACGCAGGCGCTGCACGTTCCGATAGGCTATTTCAGCCGCTCCACGATAATCATTACGAGCGACTCGATAAGCTTGCAATATGCGGTTGTAATCGGTTGACGAAACATCAACTTCCTGATTGTCAATGTCAACCCATGACGTGAAGGTATTTTGCTTCCGAGCGAGGGACATGAGGATCTCGTCAATGTGAGAAGCGATGTTCGGAACAAGCGTGGTAGGGAACCGTAAAATCTGCTTAAGCCCAGTAGCACCGGGGCCGGAGACAGCAAGGATGTTGGTGATTAGAGAATTGAGCGCGGATCTCTGCAGGGCCAGATCCTGATATCGAGTCAATGCAGAGTATGCTTGATCAAACTGACAGGTTTTCAAAGAAGCAAGGAACAAGCGAGAGAGCAGATCCGTACGAATGCTAGTGTACTCTGGGTCTTGCTCGGCCCAGGGCTCCGAGTCCAAAGCTTGCAGCGCCAGGCTAGCAAATTCAGCAACGTGGGAGAACGAGCGCACTTGCTCGAAAACAGAGAGGATGTGCTGGTAGTATTTCGGGATGCCATTGTGAAAGCAATTGACATCAACGAGGTCCAGAAGAGTGGACGACATCTCGTGTAGATTGCCCAGCGGTTTGCCACGAGCTGGGAAGAACGTGTTAGCCAGCCGTTCGAGCCAAGGATTCTTTGAATTGACTTACACAGAAGATACGCGGCTTTGCGGAAATAGATGGCTGCAACATCAAATTCAGCCATCGCAACATGCAGACGTCCCTTGACGTAGGTTGCCCAAGATGTGCTTGACTGGAAGCGTAGGAAATCCCAAGCGAGATCGATATTATTCTTAGCGATTAAATCGCACTGAATATATGCCAGCGCGTTTGCATAGGCAACCTCACCCGGTCTTGTGATCCAGGCCAGCAGATCTCTGACTCCGAGCGTGAGTGTGTAGCTTTGGGGAACGCCAACCGGTTGCCGTGGCTTGATGTCTGCAACAAACAGATCCTCGAGAATAGTGGCCGTGCGCATGTTCTTCCTGAGACCCGACTTCTTTTCCTTGGACACAATCACTGGGGTAGACGCCTCAGAAGTCGTGCTAGTAGCAGGGCGGTCGGGACACTTCCGAACGTTTGAGCTGAGCCAGTTGATCATTTCGTATTCGCGAAGTGAGTCGACAAGACTAGAAAAGAGGCCAGCGGCATCGAAACTTGACCGCTCGCCTTGTTCAATCTCACCGTCGACAAAGATGACCAGAATTAGTAGATCGTACAAGATTTGGCGCGTCAGTGAGATAGTTTCTAGAGCACCACCGACGATCGCTCGTGCGCCGAACGAAGTCGATGTCAGTCCGGAATCTTTACCACTGAAACCAACCGGAACGGTGTCAATGATGGCATAGAATGGATCACTTGAAAGGTTTTCCGCATCTTGATACTCATTCAAGGCAGCGACAAGACCATCAAAGGTCTTGTTCGAAATGCGATGTCCAAATTCGCAGCGCTCCCTGAACGTGTCCATGCGATCGTTGATTGAGGACGAAGGTTCATTAAAGATCTCGCTTTCAAGAGCAGCGCGACAAGCAGCATCAAGCTCAGCGGACAGCTTCTTCCTGAATTCCATTGCTACCTTCATCAAAGAGGAAGCTTGCTCATAAAGGTGGCCGAGCTCAGCGTGCAAGTTACGATGTCGCCATCGGTCCACAATCTTGGGTCCCTCCTGGCGAAGTTCGGAACTTGAATTGTGTAGTAGTAGTTCGGCGGTATTGCATTCTCTTACGATGGCGCATGAGTCGGAAAGAAGAAGCCAGGGCATGTCATGGTATGAGTCGTAAGCAAGAGATATTGGCTCGAATCGGCGCTTGTTGAGGTCTTCAGCAACTTGCCAAAACTGACGCCACTTGGCATCTGTGTCCGTTCGATATCGTGCATAATCCATTTCATCATCGGTGTATCTGCGCAGGGAAACGGTCTGTGCGATGGTCGAGCAAAGTCTCTCCGCCAAGGGTATGTCTCTCTTCAACACACCAGATGATGTCGAGGACAACGGCCTGATCGCCTCTTGGTACACTGCCAACGCAGTCTCCAGAACTTCGGGCAAGTAACGGGTTGGGTGCATGAGGTAAGCAAGCCATTTCTCGGTCGGGTCCTCAGCCTCTTCGCATTGGTTTGCTGGCAATGTCTGCTGGCGGTGTGTCTCAGCTGCTGTTGACACCCAATTTGAGGTCCAATCTGTCACGAGAGTCTGCAAATTGAAGTGAAGGGTGTAGAGCTGAAAGAGACCGTGATTTCTCCACAAAACCCAAAGCTCCATGCCCTTCCCTTCCTCCATTGACTTCACCTGGAAATCTGCGATACTCCAGAACATGTTCCCAGTCACATCGGGGTCCCGGGGCCGGAAAAGAGCATCGGCATAAAGGTCCTCAATGACCAGGTCGGTGGTCAATCCTCCCTTGACAGCCCAGAACTTGAAGCGCCCGTCGTCGAAGGGAGAGTATGTGACGACATAATATCTATGACTACCGTCCATCGCCCGCTCTGCGTTGAACACCCGAATGAAGGACATCTCAGCGGGGTTCAAAGTGTATGGGACTGCTTCGGGGTCCATTGTGCGACCCAGAAGATCCTTCGTCGCCGCAAGCTTGTTCGTTGCAAGATTCCAAATTTTGAGGGTATGGTTCAGGCAAATGGCGAAGACATAGGTGTCGTCAGATGTCGTGGCGATGGCGTTTGCGACATTGAGATCTAGGTTTCGTCCATTGTGCTTAATCGACGAGGTCGCGTGCCACTTCACCAGTCCTCGGATCGATGCACCCCATGTCCGTTCGTCGAAGGTGAGCGGCGTCCAGTGTGAGCCTAAATTCCCATTGAAGGAACATCAGAACAGATTGCCTAAAGCAAGTGGATCACAGGGATTTCTTACCGTCTTCGCCGGCTCTTCGGGTCAGTCGCAGGAGCGCACCGTTGTCGAGGGAGATGAAAAGTTCTTGAGGAGTACTGGCATGAAGTCTGTGGGGGTTCGCGAATGACAAGGGCGCAGGGGTGCAGGTTTTACACCATTCGCTGACATTGTCGTCAATGGCGTCCGTCCTTCGGAAGAACTCAGATCGGAGAGACAGTGTATGTAGTTGCTTGGATTCCGTGACGACAAAGACGCTCAGAACTTCGTGCTCTTCAGCGTCCGATAATGCAACTCCAGCTGGAAGAATTCGGTCATTGAAGTGCAGTCGCAAAGTGATGTTGTGCTCATGGTGTTCGGCGCCGCTCTTCGTCAAGTCCGCGCACTGGATCTCCAGGACCTTGCTGTCATTGACCACTCTCCACAAAAAGGTTCTAGGGTAGGTCTTGCGCTTGCGAAAGTAGACTGCGCCTTGTGTTGCGAGATATCTCCGGGCGAATTCTTCTTCGTCCTTTGCGATTGGGATGTCTGGCTGATCTTGGGCAGAGGAGATCGAAAAGCGAGGCCGGCGAGTAGGTCTCTCGTCAACCGTGACCTGAACATTCACGGTCGTGGACGGTGATGAAGACCGGAGGTCAATCCGTGTGTCTTTGTAAATTTTGGCCATGGTTGAACAACAGCAAGGTATGGACGTTGTTCAAGGCCGACTCAATGTTCCATGACGGATGGCAGATTGAAGGAAGGTGGTAAGGCGGAAAGCTGGAGCTTCAAAAAACAGAGTCTTGGCGCGGGCGCGCGCGCGACTCAGGCACTTCCAACCTTAACTGCCATGTTTGGCTCCAGACCGCCGCGGCATCGTCCAATAAAACTACCTTAAGAATCTACATACAATTTTACTTACATTAGACTAGCCACCACTTTCGTGCCTAATCCATATTGAGGCGAAGTGGTTTATGAGGTGAACTGATAGGGCGAGTGAACTGACAATGTGTTCTACGTGCGGATAATCTTGAGCAACTGACTATCGTGACTACAAGCATCATGAATGGAAGAAGTGAACGGATTTCCAAACTTCGAGCTATGTAAACAAGGCAATAAACAGGGGTAGCATGCAGATAAATCCATAGCTCATAAGGTCACTAAAATCGTGTCAAGGTGAATTAGTAGTACAGCCGGGTCCTCTCAGTCTTTCTCCAGATCCTTCTCGCTCGGATCGCCAATGCCATCTTCATTGATTGCAAATAGACAATCGCTTTCTGGAAGACATGGACTGTCATAGATTTTGCAGATTCGGGTTTCTCCTCGACCCTTCTTGAGACTCAGTCGTGTTGTACTCGCGTGAGCGATGATATTACCTCCAATGGGCTTCTTGGGGTCAGGGTTGAACATAGCGCTGGGGCCACCGTCGACTTGTGCCACGACTTGATTGGTGATGACGACCGCGATGCCAAACTCATCTGCAAGATGTTGAAGGGTACGCAAGAACTTGGCGAGATGAGTCTGTCGAGATGCAAGCTCTCCACGGCCATTGAAGTCTGTTCGATACAGTGATGTGGCCGAGTCCACAATCAGGAGTGAGAATCGAGTCTCACACATCATTTGAGAGGCCTGGTTCAATAGTTGGAGTTGATGATCCGAATTGTAGGCCCGAGCGTAGGCGACATTGTCGAGAACTTCTTCACCCACCAACCCATAACGCTGGGCAACAGCAAGCAGCCGAACCGGCCGGAATGTTCCCTCGGTGTCGATATAAAGACATTTTCCCTCGCCGCCGCCCATATCGAATGGTAACTGACATGTCACTGCGAGTGTGTGGCAAATTTGACTTTTTCCCGTTCTGAACTCTCCAAAGATCTCTGTGATTGAGCCTGTTTCAATACCACCACCAAGGAGCGTATCCAGTTGTTTAGAGCCAGTCGTGATCGAGATCAATTCACTTCGACGCGCGTGCATTTCCGTGGCTGTGGTGAATCCGAGAGGGACGAGCTTATTGGCTTTCGAGGGCAGAAAAGTGTCAGCATAACGGTGATCGATCAATTAGACGCCAGATGACAACGGACCCGCAACTTACCCTCTGCCAGAATCTTGCTGGCCTTTTGCTCTGAAATTCCCTTGATTTGTTCGAGTTGACGCTTCGGTCTGAGTTTTCAATCTTATGGTCAGCTGGACGAAGAGCATACACGTTGCTTGGCTTCACGGCCAACTGGAATGGCAGGTCAAGATGGTCGTGGACTGATCACTTACGTAAAGGCGACTCGCTCAACAGTGTGGTAGCCAGCATCGACGAACAATTTGATGTCGCGAGCAGTCAGACCAGCCATGCCCTGTTTGGCCCCTTTTAGCTAGCCATGCTTGCATGTTGCCGTTACGGATACACTCACCTCCAAGGCTGATAGTGGGGTTGGAGCCCCAGGACCTGTCAAACCGCCATCGTCGTACTCTGGCTGCGCTTCTTGGTCGGCAGTCATCCTTTGTTTTGGACGCGGTCGATGGGAGTCGCGGCTCTCAGCTTTGCTCGTTATCTGATTAAATTCTGCAAAGATGTGCTGGGAAGCCCCGCAACGCGCTGAGGTTGGGACTTGACTGGTGATGGTGCGAGAGTGTGAAAGCAGGCAAAAGTCAGAAACTCGCCTGGAAGACGAAAAAATATCAAGTAGTGAGTCACGTCCTAGCGCTTTTTGGTTTTCCTTCTGCGTTTCTGTTTGTGGCGAATACGGGGCTACCAAACCCAGCTGACATTCAGCGTCGTTTGGGCTGTGGCCGACGCGTCGACGCTGTCGCGCAGTCACGTGGTCCTCAATTGATCGGAAGGCTCAAGGCAGCCATGCGCTTTAGTGGAGTCTCCCTTCGCCGAGTGGGCCAGAGGGGCCACTGCATAGACGACTGTTAGAAGGCACTAAGTCTCTGGAAGCTCATCTAAGTACAACAAGGCTCGAGAGTGAGACTACCTAACTACTTTCAGTTGCACCAGACTCCAGAGGGCCCTCGATATATGCTGCGAAGTTCACTTGTCTCTGTTGAGTGGGGCTTTAAGCTCCGAAGCAAACGATTGATAATCGACGATAATGGAATCTCGAAGGAGTCGAAGAGGTGTTGCATGTGCACCTCGAAAGATACACACCTGCTGAAACACTGGTGCAGTTTTATCCATGCCGTAGACTGACGGGAGTCACGGGACTATAAACAGTCAGGAGTACGTTGGGAAACCAGCGGACATCCTTAAACGCGCGATCTGTATCATGAATTGCCACGTTCCAGGGACAGACCCGTTGGGTTAAAAATACAAATAAGGCTAAAGCATCTCACGCCTGTTTTCAAAAGCACAAGCCGTCTCATCTCACGCGCTTCATGGCCATGACAGCACATGACACTCTGGCACAGTGGAACAATTTCTCCGGAGGCTCTTGAAGCAAAGCCCGCTTTCCACGCAGGACATCTTGAAGTCTGCTCCTCTTCACGGCGGTCACTTAACCGTTCATTGACCGATATTGTGTCAGTATCGATTTCCGTCTTTTCCGGCTTCGAGGGGGCCGCACATTGGATTCAGCTGCGGGCTGTTCAGAAGGCGCGGCCATGCGGTATTGTTCGTTCAAGATAGCACTCACACCTCGTCGACCATCTTCTTGGGATTGCTTCCGAAGCACGCCTATCCTTGTTAGAGCTTGTATTCAAGATGATATTCCGATTGTACATACTGCGAAGACGGGAGTTGAAAGCATCCTCATTCCGCCATGCGTTTGCCTCGTCAATCGATTGGACCGAGCTTGGACTGCATAACGGAGAGGTCGCTGCAAGGTTGGCTTCGGAGAGTGAGCCCGCATGCCACATGGGTGTGTTTCCGGCCCGTTTCAGTGGCGATCGCTGGTCCTCAGATTTGTTGTGGTAGGCCCGAGTGAACGCCACCTTGACTCCTCCAGTTTCTGGCGATGCAACTGGGACTTTCCCGGTTTTGGATTCATGGATTTCGACTGCGAACTGATTTTCCGTGATGGACCCTCGATCGGAAGCACACTCGGCTGGTCCACAGACACTAGGCTTTGCGAAGATTGCATTTGCTCCTTCTCGGTTACACGAAGACTCTGGAGTTGGTGATCGCGGGGAAGGTCTTTCCGGCGAGGGACTCGGTGGGCTTATACTTGGAGACGCCGAAGGCAGGGCGCTCGTCAGCGGAGTGCTGGGAGGGGAGACCCAGATGCCTTCTACATGGACTCGCTGTTCAAGGGCCTTGGCACCGAATGGCACGTTGTCGGAGAAGATTGGGTGAAGCTCTGCCTCTCTGTCTCTTTGACGGAGTTCGGCGTCGGTGTATCGTCGAATCTTCCAAGTATTGAAGGCCAGGACACAAAAGGCGTATATGAAGACCAGAACCTAAATCTTTGTCAGTCGCTTGGCTCGTGCCCGTTTCTAGGAGGATCTCGTACGATCAAAAGAGCGAGAGCCTGCATTGCGATGGTCAGAGGATTGGCGATAGTCAAAACATCAGGTCAGAACATACGAAGCTCAGCTTTTCCCAAAGGGCCCAGGTTACCCAAAAAGCCATCGCATCAAGGATATCGCAGTGACACGGCAGCCTTTGCTGTCGTTGTTGGTCCAGCTTTGAAGACGAAGGTGATCTTGTCGGGTCGAAATCACCGAGGAAGAAACTGTGCTATCCTAAACATTGATGCGGTTTTGCTCGACGGGCCTTTGGGAAGCAGGTAAAACCGCCCGAATAAGGAAAGAGCTTCCTGATGTGAAAGTACTCAGGTGGCGGGCCTTTTCGGTAGCGAAGGGAATGTCAGGAGAACCTAAGGCGCTCCATGGTTTACCACATCTTGCGACAAGTGGTTCTTATTGTAGGTCACTGTCACTCAACTCGTGTCAGTAGCACACTGCCTGTCACCAGGGGCCCTTTCTTGCCGAAACACGCAAGTATGCTTTGGCAATACAGTAGTATTTCTCGGTGGCCACAAACATCCCTCCACTCATGGGTTTCGTTCCGGTCCCATAGCGACATGACTTCATGAGACACGATAGCGAGGAAAACATTCCTGGGGTTTTTGACTAGAGCACTGCGTCGGCGATCCGTAGGACGTTTTAAGGGACTTCGGGTTGAGCTATATTCTGTCTACCATCCGTGTTTGTACTGTGAAGAGGGTGAAGAGGGCTTCTTTCAAGCACATGTCGGACAATGATGCCCTCGTTATGCCTCCTCCATTTGAATTGACCCAGGTGCGATAGATCCCCCGAACAAGACTTCAGAGTACCGGTAATCAATTCAGAAGCAATAAGAAAGTCTTGAGTAGCCCGCCGTGATGTCCCGAAAGCGGGCTTGCACGTGATAGAAGGTTCGCTCAAGGTAAGAAAACATCTTCCAAGAATCGTGTACAGTTATTGTTAGCGTGGGTTCGGGGCGCAAGAACCTTCGAGGTTCGGTCAACCAGGATGTCGATCGTCCTGATATTGACCCAGAACTTCGGCGCGGACTCAAGATGTTCCGTCTCAGTGTTCCAATGATCACGACTGGAACTTGACTCGATACTTTTGACAACTCAGGAGACTTGTTTCTGAAGATCTTTGAGGTTCCCACGCCTACTGATAAGCGGTGTTCAAGAATTATACTCTGGATCTTGAATCATGCGGATGAATATGATCATTTACGGATCGTCGATCGTGCAATGGCTCAGTCGAACCTCCCATTTGCCAGAGAGCACTGGTGGATCTGCTAAGCCCCCATGAAAGCGTGTGGAGTCGAGATCTGAGAGCCGCCGAGCTGACAGGAGGCGACTGAAACTCAAGCTCTGTCAGCCGAAAGCCTTACGGCTGCCTGTTGTAGTGTCGCGGCTCAAGGTTCTCTTTCACCTTGCCCGACTAGGTGGTTGAAACGGGTTCGACGAGAAACAACCTTCAGACATACCTAAAGAAAAAGAATTCCCCCGCTCGACGATTCACCCGGAACGATACATCAACCATGGGCCGCATCAACACCGACGATCGCGCGGACGCCGCTTCGTCGCACTCGCTGCATTCCCTCCCCGATGAAGACGATCTACCGCCTCCTTATACCGATGAACCTGAATTCGATTCCAGTCCGATTCCTGCGCAGGCCCGCGAAATCGCCCCGTCGCGTTCAAACGTGCCCTTTCGGCCTCTAAGCGTCGTCGACTCAGCCTACGCTATTCCGGGATCCACAGGCGTCCGATCTCATGATGCTCGAGTTGTGAGCCTCGCGCCACAGCTGTCACATAATGCGGAGGAGCTGTTCGAACTCATTCGGCGACAGTTGAAACTTCCGGTGCGGCCTATGCTACATATTCGGGGCTCGCACACCGACTCCTCCAAGGACGACAAAGACAAGAAGACCAATCAAGTGGTCGACTTTGAATTTCGGCTTGACCTGGCCGAGACGATATTGACAGGATGGGAGGGTCAGCCAATGGACATCAATTTCTTGGAGTTGAATGTGATCAGAGATGACGATGATGCTCTTGTATTTCGAGGTGGTAGAATGCGGTCGCGCACTTACAAGCCGCGCAAGACTGTGCGGACCCCTCAACAGTCAACTGACAGCGATGCCGCGCTCCTCGGGCCGGACCTCGAGGAGGCTCACTATAATGACGAGCAGGCAGAGCTCCCTGCTATCACAGAGCCCAGTCTCAGGAAGGACTTGACGCTTTGGTGCGAGCGATACTGTCTGGACCCATCGCCCGTCAAATCGTATGTCACTCGCGTTGATTTTTTGAGTCCTCACTTTTTTTTTCCCTTGGTCTGATCTTTTGAATCGTGATTGCAAGATCGAGTGACTGCTGACTCAACTCATGTTGCGTGATTCTTTAGGTTTACCATCCATCGCGAGCTGAAGGGTTTCGACAGCACGGCTATGCGCAACATTTTCAACACCCATATCCGCGAGCTGAACTACCGTGGCAGTATCGATCAGGGCATTACGCAGGCCCACAGGACTGTTACAATCTACTCTCCGCATTGGATCAATCGGCTTCGTACCAATAACTTTGTCTGGTGGATAGTCGTGCTACTGCAGCTGTGGATTATCACGTGGCCGATTATCTGGTTCATGGAGAAGCGCTACGAGATCGCATCTGCCCGATGGAACGCGAGCCTGATTCCCGAGTGGGGAAATGGCTTGGTCCGTATCTTTGCACAGGGTCGCGATGAATCTGCTCTGGCAGAGTGGTGGGCGCCCGCTGTCAAGCAGGCGGCTTGGACCCGTCGCTCCGACCGGGACAATCTGCTGACGAGACTGGACGCAGAGCGAATGCAGGGACTGACAACAGCGCAGATCGTCAATACCCGGACTCAGGACTCTGCCGCTGAATCAGAGCGTCGTCAACGCGTCGCCCGGGGTGAAGGTGGGTTTGTTGATAATGTGGTTGGCTTGGCTCGCGGTATTAGCGAGGTCGGACAGGATTGGAGATTCTCTACCGGTTGGGGTGCCAATACCTGACATGACACAAGACCTACGTCCGTGCTTAAGTTGCATCGTGGGGGGTGATTCCTGCTGGCGGCCTTCATCCAAATCAACCAAGAGGCGACCAGCGCTACTCTGTACTCAAACGTCTTCTCTCGGAGCATGGTGTGTGACCCTTTGATAGTGGATCTTTCGATACTGTCGGCACATCTGATAGAAAGTATTTCGCCATGATCGGTCGCCCAGTCGGCTGGCCTGTCAACCCATGCGGATCCACGTGTGGCTGACGTGAGATTGCCTCGATGCAAGCTGACTGTAGTCGAGAAAAGCCAGAGTCACATGGGTGCGACACTACACCTTCGCCGCCATCCATGCTACCATAGTGCCAGTGTGACAGTGCTCTCTGTACCCCCGAAAGACCCATAAACTGGCTGTTCTGATCCCTTGCTCTGACGCCCCCTGAATTGAGATTGACATTTCTCGAATTAGGACTTGGTCGACGATAGAGACTAGACATCTCTGTTCTGTAGATCCTCCGCTCCGCTGCGCCGCTGGAGAGTCCGGGAGGTCTAGACCAGTGGCTGCAGCCATGCCCAAATTTGGAACACAACTCAAGAACAGAAACTCAAATGCTCATTCAGTGAGGTATACCGCAGACTGCAGAGAGAGAAATGTTATTTCCATTCATGGTTGTCTCGGGGTCTGCATCGCGTCAACACCTCATAGTATCCATGTCTACGGCTGCGTTCCTATGCTTGATGTCTACTCATCTAGGGTTGTGCAATTTTCGATGTGATCATTCATGTCATACCCTTTTCATATGATGCTCGACTATGGGAATCGTGGTACTATACCTCTTCAATTCTTCATTCGATTTCTTTTCGATCCTTTCTACGGTCCATTTTCTTCACTCACCCTCTAGCACACGATGATGTAGCGCAATTCAGAAGTTGCAGGGAAAAGCGGATGAAAGTCTACTGTTCATGCTAAATACAGATGTGTTCCTTGCCACGTAAAATTCCAGATGTGCATAGCCTTTCTGCCCTAAATATAGACCACTCTTCACTATCACCCCTCTGCTCCGATTAATGTTCACGTCTCGAATGTATTTGCTACAATACCTTAGTTATAGTGGCCCCATAGATGTAGTAGTGAGTCTAGTGACGGAGGAGTCACTGTGACTCTAGTGACCCGCAAGCGAGAAATCATCGGGCCTCGCGAGCTTCAAGTGAAGTTTATTTCTCAAGTGGAGTTGGTGACCCAAAGAATAGCCTTTCTGATTCCGGGAGATGCACTGCCAAAAGGTCGCTTTCCTCGTCATAATGCCCCTCTTTCGCATCTCTGCGCCCGCCTTCCCCCAACGTTCCATGGTAGTGTTTGGTTCTCGACAGGTGGCTGAGGCTGAGAATACTCATCAATCGAAGGTTGAGCGATTCAGTGCCAAGCAAATAAAGATACTGGGGTCGGGTCCCCAGCACTTGCTCCTCGATCAAACGACCGGCTTCCTAATCACTCACCGTACCTCATCTCCCCCGACCGAGGCTTGGACGTGATCAGACTTGAGCTGTCTATCTGAACGTGAACGTTTCAATAGTCCCTCGTAGACCGCACCCACTCTTCTCCATTAGCATCACAATCTCAGCACTGGACCGACCGCGCAGACCAAGACGAGCTGCAACCTCTCGCACCTACTCATCTCCACTTTTGATAATGCTGCGCAAAAGGGAGTCCTACACGCATTTCACGCCGATCCCCGCCTGCGTGCCGCGCCAACTAGCGCTGGACATCCTACACAGTCATGGCGAGATCATCACCTTGAACCCCCTCGTTCTATCTTACCAGCCCATCGCCGCACCCCGCGATGCCGCCGCCGACGAATTCTACTTCTCCTGGTACGAGATCGTCGAACGGGTGCAATACCTGCCGGGCCTGGGCAAGATTGGCTCCGGCAAAGTGAATTTCCACGGCTGTTTCCACAACACAGACTGGGGTCTGGAAACGCACACCTTCGTGCCTCTGGGCATCGAGATCAAGAGCAGGTGGCGCATTGCGGGAAACCAAGTGAACGAGCCGCGGAAGTTTACGGAATTCCGACATGATCGCGCGCCTGAGAACGGCCTCTATCTCCAGGAAGATATTGAGATCAATTGCAATATCACCTTGGTGTCCTTTGTCAAGGGTCAACTCAAGGCCGCGTCGAAGGTCCTGGTCGACCGGTTGATCAAAAAGGCGGAGCTACTGGATGCGGGAGTCTTGCAGGGGTATGTGGAAGGTGGAAGACTCAAAACGATCAATCCGGCTGATCGGTCCTCGGTGGCGCGGTCGGACTCGCTGTTGTCGTCGTCGAGGAGACATTCGGATATGGGCTCGTTGAGATCGTACGAGTTGCCTCGGTCGCCGACGGGATCCATCCGGGAGCAGTCGGCGTATTCGCCTTCAAGAGGGTCGCAACGTGGCTCGGCTAAACAGGGGTTTGTTGCTGAGTTGCCGGCGGATTTCCATCATCGCCAGCCATCGCAAGGTATGTTTGGCGCAGGAAGGAAGCACATCCATTGCCATGAAGACAGTAAAAATGATCCATTTGCTGATGAAAGTATTGTCAGATTCGCCGAATGATCGGAGCAGAAAGTATGCGGCCGAACTGCCGGCCACGATGGAGAGCCCGGAAGGGTACGTCCCGTCAAAGCATGGAATCCAGGAGCTGCCGCCGGGGCGTCAGTGAAGAGAGAGCTATATGTGAGTGGGAGGCGAATTGGGAGGTGTAAATTGCGATACCCATTTGTTATATGTACCTGGCGCTGTGGCAGAGCACTACTTCTTTTTTTACTTTCGTGCTTTTTCTGATCATGTGGACTGTTTCTTGGTTGACGGCCATGAGCGTAATTGTGGTTTTGATTCGAATTATTTGATCATAAGCAGTAAATTCTAATCAACGACACGGCATGGTCCACCTCGTAACAAGATTTAGTAGCTTCTCATATCACGCTACTCCAAACACATCCTTCGTATCCTAAGGTAGCTGATCACTTTCACTAGGTAATCGTTCGATACACTTATCATTAGAAAAGGAAAAGGGGTATATATGAAGAATTCAATTCAATATGCAAGACCTTGCGCCAGCGGTGTCCATCGATATAATGAGAGTAACTCTCTGCGTCGAGCCTTGTGCTCATCCCACGAGTGCGGTCCAGCTTGCTGGACATCGTACAGCATTGATCGGAAGACTTTGCGGAAATTTTTCTGCCCAAACACAAGGATTAGAAGGGCGCACTTTCATCAGGCATGAGCCGGGGCAAATCACGCTTCTCCGCTCTCTTTGAACAAGCTCACTTACTTGGAAGGTTGTATCGAGGGTAACGACGCTGACTTCATGGGCCCGGATGATCGTTTCGCAGACCTCTTCCACAGAACGGTTGGGTCCCAGTTCTGGCATGCGATCCACAAAAAGAAGAAGGATGAAACTTCCCTGCAGCAGATAGATGCCGAAAAGGTATGGCATAAAAGTCATCTCCGGATCGATGGTGAGAATCTGTGAGACGACCCCCGACGCGCTCAGGGCATGCGAAGCACATGTCACGAAGCTCTCCGAAGTAATCCAATCGTCCCGGTCTTCTATCATGGAAATAGGATCCCATTTCCCATGCAGAAGGATGTAGAAGACGTGCAGTAGGTAGCTGCTGTAGATCTTGACCAGTTGAACCTTGGAGTCCTTTGTCATGGTCGCCGAGGGAGATCCGTAGGAATCGACCCGGGGAGGTATTCCCGCGTCGGACGATGGAGGATGAGACCGCGCAGCACTATCATTGGGGTAAGTCGGTTCCGCGTGATTCTCCAGATCGTTGACTTCCTGTTCTCGCTGTGCAATCATGGTCTCGATATGCTGGATGGCTTCGAGTGGGATGAACCGCCCTAGCGTGGGATGGGCCTTGAGGTGGTGGAGATCAATAATATGACCCAAGACCCTTGCCAAGGGTAGAAAGTATTCGAAGAACCCGGTCCCTGAAATCTGTGATGGGGGGCCGAGTCCGTTTGCAGGGACATTGTTCAGATCGACCGTGTCAAGCGTTTGCCACAGCTTCTCGGGCAAGGGCGTCCGGACACAAAAGGTCCCCTCGGCAATGCTTGTACGCATGTTGAAAGATAAGGCCAAATGACGATCTAGACAGTATATAAGCCAGAACAGCCGCCTACGCTCTTCTTTGGCGACCATCCATCTCCGAAAAGTGGCATCGCCATTATAAAGTCCGCAGAATACTGGACCAAGATCGATGTCCTGGTCTTCCATGCTGAGTCCACTTGCTCGCACGAGCCGGATCAGCTTGTCCCGCCATTTGAGCGCATCCGCCTTATAATGTCCCCCAGAGATCACGATAGTCAAGATTGCTACAGCCAAGATTGTATCGGTTGAGCCGAGTTGGCGCGGCAAAAGGGCCGTGCCGCTACTTTGCCGGTCGGGTGCTGTATGAGAGTTGCTTGGTGGGCCGGTGCTGGGATGAGGATGAAATTGCCACCCATCTACTGCTTGTTAGGAATTGTAGATATTCACATTTGAGACACTTGCAGTTCAAGGTGCTTACCCGATGATCTAAAGTAGTTGTCCGGGTCTTCTGACTGAAGCAGGTCCATTGACAGCCGGTACAAGTCAACACTCGTGCGCTCCCGAGCACCTGGTGTATCGAATATCCGCATATCCGCAGTTTGCGTGACGCAAAAGAGGATGACTGCGATGAGGGCAGGTGAAGTTGGACGTGCATCCGTAGGATGAAGGACCGAGGAAGGATGCAATACATGAGCCAGCATGTAAGGTGACGTAGATTTGAACATGGAATTGTGCTTTTCATTGAAGAATATTTCTACCATCTCAGATGCTTCTTCGGCGAGAAGGATGCCACTCAAGCGAGGAAGAACTGATTCTAGGCAGCGGTAGGGTGTCCGTAGAGTGAATGGATCGGAACGCGGTCCGGGAACATTATCAAAGACTGCCTGGTGAATGCTTGGTAGCGATCCACGATGGTCGAGAGAAATCTGCTGGGGTTAGCGATGTAAATTCAGGGCTAGCATACAGGGAGCCTCAATCTTCGACAACACAGGCACTACCTACATGAGTGGGAGACATCACATTTTGGAGAGGTTCAAGTCGGACGCTAGTCTTTGGCGTCGGGAACATCCCGTTCAAGAAGTCGTCGCGTTTCTGATACACTAGATCCTTTCCTGACGATTTGTCCGCTCCAGGAGGGCTTGTCAGATAGGACCGGGGATCCAGGGACGACTCGACCGAAAGGCCCTCCTGCGTCGATGTGCCGCTCGAAAATATCGTGCCATGAGGACTTGCCGACTGAGTCTTTTGGGATTCCCTGTCCCCATCCATGTCGTCTGCCCGGTGAACGGGACCGAGACTGTTTCTTGGTCGCCGGCCGCGCTTTCGCACTTCCTTGGTGAACTTACAGTCCTCCTTGCGCTCTGAATAGCCGGATCGATGGTCAGATTTAGTTTGTCAGATATATGGATTCATACTTGGGGATTCGTCATGCACGAACCTGCGCAACGCCGGCTGCAAGAGACGAACAATCAGTGTGGATCCTCGACTTCAGCGCTGGACTGATAACATACCACGGTTGCTGTCCATCACACCTTTGCTTTGCGTATGTGCATGAATCGCAGGCTCTCAGAACTCTTGGCTGGCCTTTGTGGCCTCCAGTGGCCTTCATGTTAATGGGTGACAAGTGGTCGAGCAAAACTGTACCGACCGTTCTAATGCGGAGAAGGAATTGCGGGGAGGACTAGCGAAGTGGAGACTTGGTGCTGCACTGTCGACTGCCAAATGGCCGCTGCAGATTAGCCTAAACTTCTTGGCTTTCAAAGTGTCTATCGACTGAAAATCAATCGAGCCTCGAAGGCCCCAGTCGGGTTGAACACACCTGGATCAGGTTTCAAGATTTGTTTCCACGCCATCGCGCAGGATCAATTGTCAAACAGAGTATCTGCCGCTTAGAGAAGTGATTTATGAATCTACTGGAACACGAGAATCCTCGAGTGAGTGGTCCCCACTCCCCACAACTATGTTATTCTACATCGCAACCATACCCTGGCTAACAATTAAAACCATCAATTGCATTAGCAATGAGTTTCACAGACTTGCAACAATAGGCTTCTTAGTGGTCACATCCCAGTCATCGCCTGGACTTGGAAAGCAATAATCCAGCCATTCTCCCAATATCCGGTGAACTTGATCACACAAGAGCTGATCCTTTTTCTCTCGGATTATATCGCCATCACCAAGCCTTGCAGCTTCATCGTTCCAGAGCCACCGGGGCTCGCTTGATACTTGAAGCACTTCCTGGGCTGTACGGAGGTTCTCGTCCACCTCGGCAACAGAAGTGATGCCCGTGATGGTGGCAATACGGAAGTCAGGACTAGAAAAAGCTTGAGCACGACGCATGGCATGGCGAAGAGCCAGCTCCGCCAGAGATTCTCCAATCTGATCGAGATAGTCGGCCACTTTCTTGACTGCGACTCTGAGACCAAGAGGCGCGGGATGAAAATCACCCAAGTCGCCGACAGGAACCCCATTCGCCCGCAAAAGACCGATTGCAAGAGGACTGGAGTTGCAAACGACGGTGACACCGGCCTCTCTGAAGGCGTTCAGCCCTTCTCGGGCAAGTCGGTCATTTTGTAGTGTCATCTGAGCCCAGTTTTGGATGATATCGAGAGGTCTGCCAAATTCAGTCCGAGCGCGTTGAGCAATTTGGGCCAGTACATCGATTCGATAGCCCGAGATGCCGATGTATTTAATCAGGCCCTCGTGTACCATCTCTAACAAGACACCGATAGCCTCCATGACCTCTGCCTCCGGAACAAACTCGACATCATGGCAGAACACCACATCAAGATAAGGCGTATGAAGTCGCTCTAGCGAGCGTAACACTGACTTCCGAACCCATGCCGACGAATAGTCAAATTCCGTCGCAGTTATTCGACCGACCTTGGTCATCAAAAGATACTGGTCGCGCGAGTATCGATTTCTCATATCAGGATGGGACAAGGCTTCTCCAAGTAGTATCTCCGATGGATGATAGTAGGCCGAGGTGTCGATAGCGCGTAATCCAAGCTGGAATGCTCTTTGGAGAACCTTAAGAGTCTGCGTCGCGTTTGGATTCTGATGCACCTGATGGCTAAACCCTGCCCCACCCAGTACGAGCGGAGGCATGATCTGTGACAAGGGGACTGGGCGCTGCGACGCGTTCATCTTGAAGGCTTTCTTCCTGGATGAGTTTGATGGAAATGCGCGATCCAAAAACGAGGAAGGGAAAGTTGAAACTCCTCGCGAGTGATCCAAAGACTCATCTGGTCGAGCATCTTCCCCTCCAGTAACACCTTATTTATCCGCCAGTATGCGCTATAGCACGTAGATCTCAAGTTCCCCATCATGCGGCTAACGAGGTAGATCACTCGAGGTGCGTTGGAAGTGGGTTTGCAATTTTCCGATCGAATTACCCGACGGAAGATATTTGCCCGCTGGCTCACTACGCGCCTTACAAGTGGTGTGAGTGGTCTTGAGATATCTTAAGTATTTCCTTTTCAGTATCGGCACAAATCGGAGATGTGCATTCATGGGCGTAATGTAATTATGTCATAATGCTTAGAGAAAATTGAAAGCCTTGACGCGCCTCCAGATGAATGGCGAGTTTCAAAACCAACGGGCACTTTCAAAAACTCCCCGCACTCTTCCAGAAACACTACAGTGTAGTGCAGATCAAAAATCAAGGATTTATAAGGAAAGGTCCAGCGCGGATCATGCGATCATGAATATCAAATTGACAGGTCTGCAGAGTGTACCTCTCGCCTAAGGAACGCAAGACGAGCCTGCTCGGTACCCTTGCGAACCGATTTGGATGTCTGCGGCAGTAGCTCGAGTGTTTGAAGCAAGATAGACTGCAAGTTTTCGCAGGTTGTCTGATCCATCTGGCCATCATCAAAATCTCGCTCAATTCCTTTCCACAAAAGTTGCACACCGGCAAGTAGATGGTGGGGATAAGGGTCAATAGCCACCAACGGAAAGGGTCCAGGCTGATTATCCGAGCCCTGCCGTGTTGGGATGGTGAAATAATTACTAAGGCCAAATTGCAGGCAGTTGAGAAGACTGCCTTGTGCGTCCGATTTGGTGACACTCATTTTCTCAAGAATGTCCTCTCTTGACGCGATTTCAATGGCGTCGATCATGATGAGAATACTCAAGTGATGATGCACCATAAGTTCATCTGTTACAGGACAGGAAGATATTAGCAACTGCCCGTCTTGAATATGCAATGAGGGAGCAGAATGACTTACACCATCGCAGTTTGGTCTGCTGTGACAAGAATTGAAGACGTCTTTCACATGCAGCTAACAAGGGACGATATGTGACGTTGAACTGCCTGATGGCTTCTGCGGCCGAAGTGTACGCATGATAAACAGCGTCCTCGCCGTGACCTTCTCGGAGTGCTTCCTTCAATATCGTCCCCATCTTCCATACCCGCAACTTCCATGCGTGAGCCGCACCGATAATCTGGTTGGCAGTCTCTTCGGTCACCAGAACCCCGCTACTGCGCCACGTCTCAGACTGTTCGTGAAAGATGTTTGTGCATGTCTGAACCATTCGCCAGGATGATTCTGCTTCCCAGCCCAGTAGTCCCGACGATAGAATTGATTTGGTGTTGAAGGTCAGGGCCGAGGATGTATCAAACGTCATGGCAGCCCAATAGATCATGCTCTCAATATGGATAAATTCTGAGCGAATCTGCTCTGGCGTAGAGATGGGCGTGGCTTGGTCCGAGAGCAAGGAGACCTTCGAACCATTGAATTCGAGACTCCGCTGACGTGCTCGCAAGAATTGTACTTGCTGCAAAGCGGCATGCACGCAGACTTGTGCCGGAACACCGTTCTCCTCTTCCTCTTCCGGTATACCTACCGGTACAGGGACCATAGCGAACAAGTAAAGACTCAGCATTGATCGATAACATGGTCGATTCATAGACTTGGGAACATTCTGCCGTAACTCCCGCCAAAGGCTCTGAATCAAGGGTGTCTGTGCTTGCTTCTCAGTCTCTGACAGGAAGGTCAAAGGAAGCCACCGAGCGGAAAATGTCTGGATTGCCTGGTTGAGCGTTGTTTCGATTTGCCATTCTTTCACCAATTCTGCTTGTGTTGGGGGCTGCGCTCGTGATCCCGAGGCGCTCTGCTTTTCCAGATCCTTCATCAACTGATCAAATTGCCTACAGAGAGACGAAATGCTGACCGAGACAGAGAACCTCGGATTGTCGCTCGTCCCGCCTTCGAGATGGCCATTCTCACCAAACCTGGGCGTGTGTTAGATCCTGGGTTTGACACTGCATGTGAGGGATTTTCCGCCTAGCTACTTACGAGAACGGGCAACTATAGCTTCCCAGCCAAGAGCCAAAGACCTGTTCGAAGACATCTTCATACATCGATCGCAACCAGTCCGTCACGTCCAAGCTGACCATCGAGGACCGAACCGATTGCGTTGGGGTTCCATGATCTCCACGCGCAGGACTGCTATCCACACTGCACACGGAGACGATGACTCAGTTTTTAACTGACCATTGTAAATGCGTCGATGTCGGAGTAGACTTACCCATTGTGAGGTGTTTCAGCGCCCAAATCATGGAACTGTGGAGACAGATGGAATGAATTTCCTTGACTTCGACCGTAAGACGGAGGAGGAGAGAGGAGAGAGTTCCAGCGATCCGATGAAGGACTAGACCCATCAGCCCTGGAGACCACCTTCTTCATCCACTAGAGACAAAATGGTATCAGCAACTCGATCTCGAACTCGAATGCTGTTCTTCTCGATGCAAAAGGAGCGTACCTCAAAGCTGCACTGTCGGTTCCGAGCCGCACAGCGGGTACAGGTGGCGACGCTTGATACTCCATGCATGGAGCGTCGTCGCAGCGCATCGCAAGCGACGCGAGACTTGCGACAAGCGTCGCAACTTGAGAACTGCTTACGCCGGTGAGCGCGCTCGCTGCTCATGATGAATCGACGGGCGACACAGTCTCATGGAAGCTGGTTTCAAATAGCAGATGGGGGAGTGAAGAGCTGAAATGGGCAGCTGTGGTTGTCCACCCCCGCAGACTAGCCGAGATGGCGTAAACTTTTTGATGCCGAAAGTTTGTTAGCGAGTCGCTGGCACGGGGAAATACCCCAGCTTACATGCTCCATACTCGGGAATCATACCAATGCCCTGCACGTTCATTACAATTTCATGTTTCGCCGTTTGCTTAAGCTCAATCTAGCAAATCTGAAACGGAGAATCCGGGGTAGCTTGGCCCCCTGGTCCCCTGCACAGGCTCAAAGCATGGATGGGGTCGGAAAACATGGTCGAATGATAAGCCTTTTGACTACTACGGTACTTGTTGCGACGACCCACGCCTCTCATGGCGGCAATGTGTGTATATTCTCACGCATGAATGGAGACTCCTTTGCTGGGCAGTTTGGGGCCGGACATTACTTTGGATGACTTTTGCTCCCTTGCAATGAGTGGCTGGCTCTTGGCCTTCATTAGAAAGATCAATCTCTCACCGGCTGAATACTATCAGTATATGAGGTGTTAAGTTCCCTTCGATGGTCATCAATAGCGGGACAAATCTGCGGTCGCGTTTCCTATGCTGAAAGTGGCAGGAACCGCATCTTTTGGAAATTCATTCAACTGACTGGTCAACTGACTCGAGGTGGTCGTCTTCAAAAGATTAGGGCATAGCTGCGCGGTTCACTCTACCACTACGGTTACTGTCTCGTTGAGTAGATCAGCCTCAGCACGATGGTCTCTTTCATGAATGGAAAATGGCAGGCTCTTGGAGAGGTTACCATGTACCAGCCAGTCAGAAAAGGTATGTTCTGCTCTGCTTGAAATTCAATGCACATCACTTTATATAATGGCGATTGAAGCGGTCCTTGTGCCGAGTGCCTGCCCTTTGGTTTGACCTTTTGTATGGCGACAAAAGCAACAGTTGAGATGGCATCGGATCCGACGTGGAACCCCAATGTCCCCAATCACGGTTCTCAATCTGCAGAGAGTGGGGTCGGCTCATCGGCTCATCGGCTCATCGGCTCATCGGCTCAGAGCCGATCGACTCGCTGTGCGGAGACCCCAACATGACTTGAGATCGGTTCCGAGCGAACACGTCCATTCCAAGTATATCAGTCAAAGAAGATGAGCGAGACCGTGAACAACAAACTTGGACTTTCTTCCTACAAGTATCTGTTGAATAGGGTGACCGATATTGCGAGCATCAAATCAGCTCTGAACCGTCTCAAAGAACAATATCGAAAGTTCTCAACGACTACGGCAAAAGACGAGTGACCTGAGTCTTGGGATCGGAAATTACCATTGAGTGTCTTCTGTTCAAATTCAAGCATCGAAAATGGCTGTCACTCAAAGACCTGCTGGCTCGGTTGTCATTGTTGGTGCAGGCACCCAAGGTCGGCGCCTTGCGTTCATGGTGAGTACCCAATGTATTCTGTCTAGGTCCCGAGTTAATGAAGCAAAGCTGACAATCGACAGTGGTCGCGCCGAGGTGGCACTGTTTGTCTTGTCGATCTTCAAAAGAAGCAACTAGAAGAGGGCCTCAGTTACGTGAAGCAGCTTCGTAGTGCCGCACTCGATTCTGGGCAAGAGTATGGGGAAGTGAAAGTGGCTCAGCCAGATGCCTTAGAAACGATTCTCCAGGACGCTTGGCTCGTCGTAGAGGTAGGTGATCAGCACCGAATCGGCCCACTGGACAGTCCTAGATAGGTTCGCTGACATGATCATTCTAGTGTGTGCCTGAGAATCGGGCTTTGAAGCAGAAAGTCATTACTCAGCTGGACAGTTGGTCACCAGCATGCACCATCATTGCCTCCAATTCCAGCAGCTACGGGATTTCGGAGATTATCGAGGGATTGGAGTTGAAGCACAGCAACAGGATTCTGAGTGCTCATTGCTGTAAGGTCCCGCAGCATGCCCGATAAATTTGAGATAGGAATATCGCTAACGTAGAGTACACAGACTGGCCGCCTGAGACATCTGGTAATGTCGGCCTGGATTTTTGAATTCAATCTCAATACTAATAGGTACCGATCGCAGCAATTGAAATCATGGGTCACCAACACACCGATCCCAATGTCATCTCGTTATTGATGGAGCAGAGTAGAGCTCATGGCTTCTCACCATTTCATGTGAAAAAAGACTCCATTGGATACATCTACAATCGGTGAGTATACTTCCCAAGTCCGAACTTGCCATTCCTCAATATCTGAACCGACTGACCTTCTCCAGAATCTGGGCTGCGATCAAGCGCGAAACGCTGCTAGCATTGTCCGAGGGTGTCTGCTCACCAAGGGAGATTGATGCAATCTTCAAAGACGTGCTCAAGACTCCCAAGGGACCGTGCGAACAGATGGATGTTGTAGGACTTGATGTGGTCTTGGACATTGAGAATCACTATGCAGACTCACGCACGGGGATTCCCACAGAGCCAAGGATCTATCTCCAGCGGATGATTGAAAGCGGACGTCTTGGTGTCAAGAACGGCAGTGGATTTTACAACTATCGAAGCGATGCTGTCGAGACAGGAAACGAACTCAGCACGGCAAATCTCTAGTCATCAAGCGACAGTGCCACGCCGTAGATTATGAATACGAAGATGAATTTCTTGATTATCACATCTGAATACACCCAGACACAGTTTGAACTACAAGGAATTATACTCATAGTGTCACAACTCTTGGATCTTGATGTTTGCAGGTCTATTCATTAACTCCGAATCCGCCGATATTTTCTGGTCGTGAAGCTTTCATCAAGATATTCCAATGGGTCGTCCAAAAGAAGAAGGCCGTGGAGTTATTCTCGCCGTTTACACGTACTTTTACCAAATCTTCTTCTATGAACAACCATTTTCACGATCATGTCAGGTTACTTTGGTTCGCGCAGTCAGCTCTTGTGACACAGTACCATCGACTACCTCCCCGGAACTGCCTGCATGACGGTGGTGCGCCCACGTACTGTACCTCCGGGTACCACACTAGCATACACTGACAAGAAAAGCACCCTTTGGAAACAGGATAATCAGTTGACACCATTCTGGAAGATTTGGCTCTGAACTGACCTATTATCCACTAGGGTATCTTTTCTCTACCTGGGATTTCCAATCGGGCTGCAGGTGGTCAGCATCCTGGGTCGTCTCGTTAGCCGACCCAATGTCTCTCCTCATCCACAGCAAGGGGTTGCCGTCTGCTTGGCTGTAACCCCTCGTGTTGCTGAACACTCCACGATAAGGATCTCAAGTCTCAGCCACGTTAGTAACTCACAAGCTGATGTAGTATCTCGACAGTCTCATGTCTTTCATCTCATCTTATGGGGCTGGCGCCCGTTTGCGTGGGTCGCAACCTTCAGTCCGTCCACCTCATGTAGAGGCTGTTGTTCTCCCACAACTTTGCAATCATCTACTCCACACACACCAGACTATTCTCCATCATGGAAAAACATAAGGGTTTCACCGATAACTTTCAAAGCGAGGAGCTTGCTGTCTTTACTCCCATCAAACCGCAGGCTCGTGAACCCTACGATCCAAGTGTCAGCTTCGAAGAGTACCACTACTACGCCGAGCAGACTCGAAAGGAGGAACTGACATTCGACGCGCCTTCCTTTCAGCTTCGGCGTATCCTGGCCAGCCTCCGTGAGCCGAGTCATGGAGACGATCTTCCTTGTGGCCGTCTGGATGAGATCGACTTTACCCAGGCGGAGCGACGAATCATGATCACAGACGAAGAATGGGCAAATGCGAGTCGTGCATTGAGATTGACATCTTGGGGGGCATGTAAGTGGCTCAAACTGGTCAGAGACAGTAGAATGCTAATCAAATCTTCATCAAGGCTTTTTCTTGATCACTACCGATATCCTCGGCCCATACGGCACGGGCTTCACCATGGGCACTCTAGGCTGGGGACCAGGTGAGATCTCCAGGTCGGCTTGCTCGAGGAACATGATGACTGACACTCGACTCACCGGCAGGAATTGCTTTTTACACAGTCTTTGGGATTATGGCTGGGTACTCGGGCTACCTGATCTGGCGAGTCTTCCTTGGGGTCGATAGCCTACAGTTTCCAGTCCGTAATTACGGTGATCTCGGGTTTCGCACGATTGGTCGTTATGGCCGCTTCATAACCAACATCTGCCAAGGCATCTCTCTGCTCTTGATCCTTGGCCAAGTCGTGATGTTATTTGGGCAGAACATCTCCCAAATGTCTCAGTTTCGATTGTGCTCTGCAGTCTGTCCGGCGATCTTTGCATGTGCTGGGTTTCTTATCACTCAAGTTCGGACGCTGAGGAACTATGGATGGTTTGCCAACCTGGCGGTCTGGTTGAACCTGTTCGTCGTTTTCATGACAATCGCGGTCATGGCCAAGTCTCCACCCAACTACAGTATTTCAACGCTTGGTTCTGCGGGAAGCGCGGTTAATCCCTCGTCGATTAAGCCCGATGGTGATGGTCGGTATCCCCCTATTGTTCACTACAGCTTGATACCCTCCAAGAATCTCGTCGGGGCAGTCAACGGAATGCTTTCAGGTGTCACAGCCTATGCCGGTGCGCAGTTGTTTGTGGAGTTTCTCGCAGAAATGAAACGACCTCGTGATTTCATCAAAGCCATGTGGACTGCCCAGTTCTTCATCTACGCGGTCTATCTCACCTACGGCTGCGTGATCTACTACCTCCAGGGTCAGTACAGCTACAATCCAAGCTACCAAGGGGTGAGCATCTTTGCATGGCAGACCGTGGGCAATGTCGTCTCACTACTAGCTGCGCTGATCTCGGGAGGCCTCTATGGCAACATTGGCATCAAAGTCTTTTACAACAATGTCCTCCTTGATCTTTTCAAGGCACCGCCCATCACGACCCGACGGGGGAAAATGATATATGCGGTCATCGTCCCACTCTGGTGGATCGTTGCCTTTGTCATTGCAGCTGCGATTCCCGACTATTTCGGGTTTGTCAGCGTTGTCGCCGCCTCAATGCTCGTGAGCTTGACATATGCCTTTCCTCCATTGTTTGCCCTCTGCTACGATGTCCAGCGAAATGCGATCTGCAAAGCTGAGGGAGAGGGATTCGACTCTGCCACAGGACGGGTCACTAGACGCGACACGTCTTTCAAGAGATGGATCCGGGGTTTCTTGGCCGGTGGACCCATGCAAGTGGCTGTCAACACCTGGCATGTCATTTACTTTCTGGCAGCTATTGCCATGAGCGGATTGGGGATGTATGCAGCCATTGTCGGTACGTCTTCATGCAGCTATTATGATTCCTCATCCTACATTTAAGCTTGTCCTCAGATCGATGCTGACATTTCCAGTTAGGTCTACATGAAGCGTTCCAGACCCCGCAACTGACGTCCTTCTCGTGTGTCTCTCCGCTTAATCTGAGCTGAGGTGGTTGTATTAGGTCCGGCATTACTTGAACTTAAATTGTCACCTGTAACTTTGACATTTTTTATGAACCTCATTATGGATATAATACGTCTTACCATTCAAATAAGTGACAGCGTGTGTGCGCTCCAAGCGGTTGCTCAATTCAATTCACAATGTAGATCTGACCTGATTCGCAGTTTCGCACTTCCCTCTGGCATTGCAGAGTGATCCAGGCAGCCTTGAGGGGTCCCAGTCTGTTCTGAACGATGGAATGGAATATCCTGACAACGATAAGAAAGAGATCGCGACCCCATTCAGTCGTGTTTAAAAAAAAAATACGCTGACTCATTCTCGAATACTCTGGCCTAAATGTTCACATCCGTCAAGACAACGCGATGCATCCGCGAGCGATCGACCTCGGCACTGCGCGGCTCAGACACTCGCGCCCGAGGTGTCTCACTCAGCGCTTTGCGGCCACAATGAAGGAGCGCGGGGTTGACCGCAATCCAACGTGATTCGCCATCTGTCGTAGGGTTGGAAGGCTGACAGGAGAAGTGCAATTCGACATTTAACTGCGAGCAAACTTAAAAGACTCGTCCGCTGTCACATCTCCTAGAAAATCTCTCTTTTCATGGGCAGACAGTCACCACCATGTTTATGTACCAGTATACCGATATCAAGGTGGAGGTGAAAGGTCGCATTGGAATCATCAAGGTATGCGGCGTCGGGATGATAAGAGTCGAAGACTGCGCGGTGCGTGTTCTTGGCTGATCCTCTCGATAGTTCAATCGGCCCAAATCTTTGAATTCTTTCGGGGGAAACCTGCTGATCGACACACTACACGCGGTCAAAGAGCTCGATGAACATCCCGAAACGGTGTTTACCGTGCTGACAGGAGAAGGGCGCTTCTTCTCAGCTGGGGCAGATGTTCGAGGTCGGTCTTGATCTGTTGTGTACTGAGTACTCTAACCGAGGGCAAACTCACTCCATCTTACGGTGGCTGACGACATCCTGGACTGTAGCTTCCCGGCCGCTGGATGGAGATCCAAGCAAGTTCACAAAGACTCAACTGAAAGTTCTCCAGCTTGAGCGATTCACAACGAGTACGCCGATCACTGACCCTCTCCGCACTGGTCTGAGTTGCCGCGAAGCAAATCACTAACCTCCATACTTTCCTAGTGATGGAGCTGATGAAGGCCCTCATCGACCACAAAAAGGTGTTTGTTCTGGCCATGAACGGTCCCGGTGTAGGCGGCGGAGCAGCCTGGTTCCAGGGCATTGCCGACATCATCTTGGCTGCAGACAATGCTTACCTGCAAGTCCCATTCAGCTCTCTGGCACTCGTCCCTGAAGCCGGATCCGCCACCAACCTGGCCAGGCACATGGGAGTCCACCGTGCAAACGACTTTCTCATGTTCGGCCGCAAGTTGACAGCCCAGGAGCTGGAGAGCTGGGGCTTGATCAACCGGTTGTTCCCAGTTGAGGGGTTCCACCAGTCGGTCATTGAGTTTTTGGAGAAGCAGCTCACTACCAACGATGGCACCAGTATGATGGAGACCAAGCGACTTCAAAATCTCCCGCTGCGGAGTGAGCGCATCCTGGCCGTGTATAATGCGACCGATGCTCTTGCAGAGAGACTTGCCAGCGGGGCACCAGCAGCGCGATTCCAGGCAAAGAAGATGGAACTTGAAGGTAAATTCATTCCCATGTCATGCGTGAAGTGCGGTTTTCTGACTGAGTTTTCGCAGCCAAGTCCAAATCCCGGCTTTAAATACAGGCGAATTATTGCGGCAAATGGTATGCATGTAAGGCCGTAGACTAGACTCAGTCTCCAGCACCACATGCACTTGAAAATAGTAAAGGATGAGCAATCCTTTCCACAATTATCCTTGATCCTGAACGTTGAGCATGGAGCAGTTCGTCAAAAAAGAATTTTGAGCAACAGATTGCTGTCAACCGGTGCCGGTGTGGATGTGTCTTTGCAGAGATGAAGAAGGATAGCGATGTGATAGACCAAAAGAACACCAAAAAAAAGCAAAAAAAAAAGTATGTAGCAGTCGTCCTACCAAGCAGCCAATGTCCCTGTAACGGGTCGGTGTATTCCGACGACGCCACCCCAGGGTGGAAGTGTCTCTGCAGAATTGCTTCCCTCAAGGGTCACTTCCATTGCTTAGCACCTCACAGCGTCGTGGATTACTCGCACGAGTGTAATGGCGACCCCAGGGTTCGTACCGGGCACGCGAACCCGCTGGCACAAGGCCGAAGCAAGGTTACTGACTTGGCGGCAGGCCTCCCACTAGGTTATCCGTGACAGATTAAAGAAATATCGCCGTGTTTAGATACATATTCAGACAAATATAGAGAGGGTCCTGGGTTCGATCCGCGTCCCCGACACAAATTGTCCTTTTTCTCAGCTTGACTGGCACTTCCGACTTCTAACAAGTTTCATCGCCAGCAATCAATTGTCTACTGACTTGTCATATTACAGTTGAAAATATTATCTCTGTCTAGATTCTGGGCCAAAGCTTGAGGTCATTGGCTGTCTTCATGAGACTGGTAAAGGCAGACTTTAGCATGAAGTTGGGAACAATTTAACACACCTGATTACTCGACCTGCTTGTTAGCCAAGCCGGTCACAAAACTCACAACACCGTCACGACGCAAAAATGGGCTGTACACTCAGACTACACGGGCCGCTCCATAATCATGAGAGCCATCTCAGGTGTGATACTGGGGCGAAGCGAGAGCTTTATGATGTGAAGAATATCACGTTTCAATCGTTCGGGTGACTAACAGATAAGAATATCTTCATCATCATTACCATTCCGTCATAAAATGCCTGTGAGATCGTTCTCCAAGGCGAAATCCAATAGATCAACCAGATCTCTCTCATCTGTGTTGACCCACAGCCGCCAGCGCTCCACTTAGCCCAGCGGACAAGCCCAGGATCCCAAAGGCGGCGGCGGCGAAACTGGCAAAGATGACCACCCCCCAACGTGCAGATGTGCCCAGAGCCTCCCAGGCTCGATGCAGTTGGTGATAAGGCCACGAGCAGGTGGCGGAGATTGTGCGCCCTATCGTCGATAGTCCGCGAGAGATCTGGCCCTGAGAGCGTCGGCCTCGTGGTTGAAGGGCTGGACTGCGAGTCTGTCCAGCCCTCTGGCGTCTATGATCAGGGCTCACAGGATCGTTGAATCGGACTGTAGGGTTTGTGACGGCCATCTCGAGGTCCTGGTCGGTTGTTGTCTGGTGGCCGTGGGGAGACACGTACTCGGTCGTACGGTCTGTGTCTGAGACAGAGCCGATCACTGTGGTCTGCTGAGAGCCAGGCATCCAGTCGACTAGGGTGAGCTCCGAGTCCGCGGCTGGTTGATCATAAAACTGAAGGGCGTGCTCTGCGTAGGGTGGAGGTAGAGGGTATTGCAACCTGTATGGGGCAGGATGGCTGGCAGGTGCTGGATACGTGGGTAGCTCTATGGCTTCGCTCGTTGGATGGATGTGAAGGGCTCTGGCTGTTTTCGTTTACAATTAGCACGGCGTGAACGATGAGGAATGAGAGCCACAGGTCTGGTGATGATCGTCAAGAGAGCACCGCTGTTAACCTGTGCAGGGCTCAGAGTTGATCGAGTGTTGTAGGGAAACGCTACCATCTGAGTTAGAGGTTCTGGCCATGGTGACGACTGAGTAGATCTGGTGAATGGGACTGAATGGGTGATCAATCACTCTCGCGACGTATGATGATTCTGTGTGTGTGAAGCTGTGATGAAAGTGAAAGTGATGGTCATGGCCATAACAGATTCAAGCATCGCAGTCTAAGCACGTGCCAGCTTGTGTACTTCCATCTCAAGGAGACCTGTTTGCTCTCGTGACTGTTTGGCTGTCAGAGGTGTGCCTATGGATACCGCCCTTTGAGAGAGCAATTACCAGTAATACTATGGAACCTCATCTTTCTCCCAAGGATATGCTCGGGTCTTGAGAACCTCTGAAAGCACCGGAGATACATAAATATCAGAATGCTCGATTGGGTGGATAGAAAAGAACTTGTGGATTATTATGACATCGACGCGTATGTTTGCATGTTAAAATAGTATCTATTCTTCGGTGTATGGCAGGTCAAGTTCCAGTGCTCAGGGCTCACTTTTGTCTCGGGCATGTCGAGCACATTAATCCAATCATTTCTGGATATACTAATTCCATCTCATAGGAGGTGGTCTCCGAATTTGATATACGGACAGCACACCTCATAGCTCTGAGCTGAGACTTCTTGGTGGGCAAATGATCTGTGATACAGATAGAAGTATGAAATTCTCGCGGTACGATCAGACCAGCTATACTCAATATCGTTGACCTCCATTAGCCTGGCAGTCATCTGTACTCAAGTCGGGTGCGGACGCGTCTTGCCGATCATATACCTTTTAGCTCCCCTACCGTTTGAAGTTTCCATGAAGATTTGATAATATCAGAATGGTAAGAACAAAAGGTATTGTGTTTCTGTATTCTTTTCCATTTCTTCATACTGCCTGCAGAACCCTCAAATAAAGTTGACGGCTAATGGACCCATTGTTGTACGATCGCCCGCTTTGTCGGGATTTGGCATCCACTTTGAAATGGATGGGTGCAATGAGATGAAGTTCCTATACATACTCCGTCCTCCTGTGCACAGTCACTCGCATACTAACTCGTAGTCTCTTTGACTCTTTCCATCAATTAAGCTGGCCATGGCAGTCCAGCACCTTATGCTTCATTCCGAAACATATCCGTAGTCCCGATGTGAAGGGTCGAGCGAGTACCTTATTGTGAGGGCTGAGTCTCTGTCTCTAATAAAAATTCCAAGCACTTACCTGAGAAGCAACTTCTCGTTCCACTCCAATTTGCAATTAACTGGTTAATTCTAAACAGAGCACCATCTCTCTGTATTCTGAGTTACGAGTCAGTGGTCACTAGTCAGTACTTCCAGACTCTGTAGTCTGTACAAGTGTACAGTGTACAATACGATTTACTGCGGGGAACCAGGTCAAATGCAGGTGAAGGGTGGGTCCAGGAACATTCAATCATTGCATTCTCACATCTCACTTCAGAACATGGTACTATAAGGGGAGGGGGAGGGGAAGCTGGATAAGTGTGCGACTGTGTATCTTGTCAGGCGAGTTGTGCGGTACAATGCCAGAGCCGTCTGGCTGTACGGCAATATAGACTCTATCTTATAGAGTGTGGGGTTTGGAGAAGACACCAGCAAGGGAAGAGGTCACACGTGGGTTGGTCGATCGCGATCTAAGTGACTGTAGTATGAGCTGGACCTTCCAAAGTGCTGAGGAGTCTGACCTCACAATCTCACAATCTCTAGAGACGGGAAAAGGAAGAGTTTGCGTCAAGAACTCAAACTGCCCAGGTTGGTAGGTTTGCAAGGGAGGTGGTGAACCAGCGAGAGACGACACAGACAGCCATGACGTCGCTGGAAGGTAGATCGAAAGAGGCCCATGCTCTGTCCTTGACGGAGTGGCTGTTGTGGATGGAGTCGGAGGCGGAAGGTTAGTATCGTTAGCGCGGTTTATCATTGAAGAGCATGATATCTACTTGGTTCATCTGGGGTAGATCCATTCATGAGAGCGAGGGAGAGAGGAACGGAATTGTTCAGATGTCTGTCTTACGAACTTAAAGGAGTCGTGGTGAAGGGTTACAATACTGCTCTATTAAAATCATGAGTCCGGTCGAGTACTATATCCTCCTTATCAGTTTAACTAACCCCCGATCGGAATGTGAGTTCATGTAAGTTACTTCAAAGTACATCCTACATACAGGTACCTTCGTCTATGCGTATACTACGGTGGCTCCACTAGTACTCCTGTGGGGGTAGTACAACCGATCGAGTGCATGAAAGGCAGATCAAATCATGGTGACGGCTGTTGAGCACGAGGAAAATCTTCCTCTTTGCAGAGCCGATCTCGAGACTCCCGTTGGTTCTTGGCCTCATCGGTTGTCGGGCCCTTTGGGACCATTTTGGGGTTCCGTGGCCCCTCTCCGAGTAACGGACTGTCCCCCCCCCCCCCCCCAAAACTGGATCCGCCTGCTTCCCTTTCCGGGCCTCTCTACTGACAATTGAGATCCAATCTGACTGCCAATTCTTTCCTCCTTTCCAATCTTCCTAGTCTACCCAAATACTACTGCCCGTGCTGCTTTTCCTCGCTTTCTTTTTGGACCATCGTCTCGACTCCCAATATGGCTCCCTTTCGCAATTTCCTCGGGCGGAAGAACCAGCCTCTGACACCTACCTTGGAGGTCACGGACGACACTCACCTGACCCGGAATGCCCATCCCTCGCTGGTTCCCATCGCATCGCGGAAGAGTACGGACAGTCAACACCCACCCGAGTATAAATTGAGTGGTACGTTCACACCGTCCACCCTGGACCATGAGTGCCGACGGCGATTGGTATACAATCGCATCCATCTGGCAATCCGGTACTAACAGATCATAATGCAACAGTCGTCAACGACAGCGGAGTCTACTTGCCGGTACAGTCCGCCCACGCATGCAACATATCAATGCTAAGGATGCCATGGAAGACCGGCGCTGACACTCATGACCATCTGCTTCTAGCCATCCCCACCAGAGAAGTCAAGTTTCTGGGGACGCGTTCCCGGGTCGTCGCGTACTGAAAACCACCGGGACCTGGTGAATGAGAACGAACCATTCTCCATTTCTCGCGAATCTTTCGATTCGTATCGCCGCTCATTTGTACACCTCCCTGACCCAGTGCCACTTATGTTGGCCTTCCCTCCCACCAAACCGAAACAACTTCCCTTGCTGATATTGCCCAGGACATTTCTGCGCGGTCTCCAGTATACTATGCAGACGCCGCTCCCTCGCGGTCCTCCCTCGATTCCCGCTTTTCCCGCCCTTCCTTGCAATCGGGCAGTTTTGAGCGGCCGGAGCGCATGGAGGAGGAGTCAGGCTTCGAAGAAGTAGGTCTTCATGATGAGCCGAAGCCGAAGAAACGGAGCCTGTTCTCCCGCTTCAATGACTCTTCCAACGACTCGCAACCTCCAACGCCCAAGTCGTCAACCTCGTTCGGCTTCCATATGCCCGGTCGCAAGCGTGGGCAAAGTGGAACCGCCGCGGAGTTGGGTTCGGTGAAGACACCCACGTCGACCGTCACGCCTGCTCTGCAAAATGCCGAGTGAATGCCATGGCTGGTGGAGGTTGCATGATAAGATGATAATGGCTATAAGAGCATACGGACACACAAGGACAAACGGGTTTTGGGTTACGGAGGGGCGTTCGGGACTTTATCAGGTTGAACTTGCCGGTGAGTAGTGGCTTGTTTTTTCTTCTTTTGTTGCCTTGGGACTTTTTGAGGGACGACTCCTTCCATTGACAAAGCGTTGATCGGATGGAGTCGATGTATATGTACATGTCGAGCCTCAACGACCATGCATACATGGCTCTTTTTCCTGCTTCTTCATGGTGCACCAGTTTTGAGTCTGGTATGTTTCAAGGTTTGCCCTAGGTCCGTCCACTGTCCAGTGAGCCATAGTGTTCGTCTTCGAAATTAGTTATCCATAGCTGGCTGTGGCAAGCATTATTCTCGGTTCCCCTAAACCCCCCGAATTTATGAACGCATCGTTGAAATCTCAGAACTTATCGAGTAGTGTAACACAAAGAATTAGTCACCTCATCTAATCATGCCACTTGCACCTGGAAATTATTTACCACTATTGTCAGACTGTCGGTTGCCATCTCAATGTCCCTAGCGCCAAGATATGTGAAGTGCCTTATCAGTGCAAACCCTGCAAACATCCGGCAAAAAAACTCCCTCCGCCTCTAATCAAAAAAAAAAAAATATCCACCGGGACGTTTGAGGCATCTACAGCTCGCAAATTCACGCGAATTTGCTTTTGACCTCAAAAGGCATTTTGTCACAGTCATTAAGATCCCAATTCAAAATGGCTGGTGTTAAGCGTCGTGTCGACGTCCCCGAGGAGCGCAATGGAAAGCGGAGCAAGAACCAAACCTCCGCACCGGTGAAGAAGAAGTATGCCCTTGACACCGCGAACAAGAAGGGTCCTGTGCCTTCCACCAAGAAGAGCGGCATGTCTGGCAAGTCCGACAAGAAGAGCGCGAAGAAGGTCTCCAAAAAGGTCCAGATGGAAGACTCGGAGGAGAACGATGACGAAGACGACTTTGATTTGGACGATCTTTCCTCGGTGTCTGGAGCCGAGGACGACGAGTTCGATGCTTTGGACAATGCCTCTGGTGATGAGGATATGGAGGATGTGAGCGACGAGGAGGATGCGGACGAGAAGAAACAGAAGGAGAGCGCCGCCAACTCAGATAAGAAGGCCTCTACTACGCAAAATGGTGGCCAGCAGAATGGCGACGAGACAGCAAAGAGTACGTCCGAATGGAGTGACTGAACATCGCACCAACCTCCTTTCTCTCAGATCCAAGTGAACTGACTCTGGTGGCTCTTTCTAGGTAACAATTCTCGCGAGTCACACATCAAGCAAAAGGCCTTACAACAGGAGCGCAAGATGGCCAAGCCCAACGCCGACATGATCGCCCGGTCGAAGAAGTTGTGGGAGCAATTACGTCGCAAATCCCATGTGCCCTTGGAGCAACGTAAGAAGCTTATCAAGGAGCTGTTTGAGATTATTACCGGCCGTGTGCGCGATTTTGTGTTCAAGCACGACTCGGTCCGTGTGGTTCAGACCGCTCTCAAGTACGGTAATCTGGAACAACGCAAACAAATCGCACAGGAGTTGAAGGGCAGCTACAAGGAATTGGCGCAGAGCCGATACGCCAAGTTCCTAGTTGGTAAGCTGATTGTGCACGGAGACTCGGAGACTCGGGACTTGATCGTTCCCGAATTCTATGGACACGTCAAGCGTTTGATCCGTCATCCGGAAGCCTCATGGATTCTTGACGATATTTACCGTACAGTGGCTTCCAAGGAGCAGCGCCGACGAATCCTACGCGAATGGTACGGCGCCGAGTTTGCCGTCTTCGAGGACGAGAAGGAGACAGCAGAGCTGTCTCAGATCTTGGAGGCCCACCCCGAGAAGCGAGGCCCGATTATGCACTTCTTGCACGAACTCATCAACCACATGGTACAGAAGAAGACTACCGGCTTCACGCTCTTGCACGATGCTATGTTGCAATACTTCTTGAACACGAAACCGGGTAGCACTGAGGCGAATGAATTTATCGAGTTACTCAAGGGCGACGAGGAAGGTGATCTGGTCAAGAACTTGGCCTTCACAGCTTCCGGCTCCCGACTGATGTCCCTCTCCTTCGCGTATGCGAACGCCAAGGACCGAAAGTTGCTTCTCCGATTCTATAGAGATACTATCAAGGCCATGGCTGGGGACGTCAATGGACACATGGTGATCCTCGCAGCTTATGAAGTGATTGACGACACAAAGCTGAGCGGCAAGTCCATCTTCTCGGAATTATTGAACCAGAACGAGTCCGAGGAGGTTCGTCACGAGGAGCTCTATCACCAGGTGAACGACCTGGTTGCTCGTGTTGCTGTGCTCTACCCCTTCGCCGGCGACCGCGTCAAGTGGCTTCTGCCCGAAGCCGATCTGGAGGTCCTCAAGGAGGTGCGCGAAGTCCGCAAAGAGACTTCTAAGAAGGACTCCGTTGTGCGCCGAAACGAGTTGGCCGCTGCGGCGTCACCCACCATGCTGGAGTTCATCGCTGCTCGGGCGGACGCTCTTCTGGAGACTTCTTTTGGCTGCCAATGTATTGGTGAGGTCCTGTTCGAGGCCACGGGAGACAAAAGCGCCGCCCTGGCGGCCGTGGCACAGGCTGCCAAGACTGAGTCGGAGAAGCGTGACTCGGCCGCCTTTGGCCGTCTGCTCAAGTCTCTCGTCCAGGGAGGCCGTTTCAACCCCGCCACCAAGTCCGTTGAGAAGGTCTCCCCACCCTTGAACTTCCATGATCTCCTGTACGAGCAGATTCGCGACGAGGTTGTCGAGTGGGCGACTGGTCCCAACACCTTTGTCATTGTTGCTATGGCCGAGTCCGATGACTTCCAGAGCAAGGCAGAGCTGCTCAAGACCTTGAAAAAGAATAAGAAGGCCTTGACGGCGGCTGTGGAAGCTGCCAAGGGCGAGAAGAAGGCTGGTCCCGCGGCCAGCGGTGCCAAGCTTCTGCTTGAGAAGTTATAGACATATGACCTTGTGGCAATGTTGTGATTCCCATACTTCTCTTATCTTTGTTCTTTTCCCTTTCTCATCCAGTGTCTCACGGCGTTTTGTACCGTTGACAGAAGACATGTGTCATCTTATTCATTGAAAAAGTCTTCATGATCTGTAAGAACAGCTTTGCAATCTATAATCAAGTACATCACAGTATCTCTATTTCATTTCTTTGCCACGGACCATGTCAACAACCCGATAATGCTTCAAGTTCCTCGCCAAGTCCCATAACGTACCTCTGAATCTGAGAGCCCCGAGAGAATACTACATAGTACATACTACATATTGGCTACAGTAAATAGGAAACAGTAAATGCTCAGTGTACTCTCATCGGCACAGAATCAGAAAGTGGAGGTCGTATGCACAGGGCCATAGACCGTGCACTTACAGATGGCGGACCTCTACTCCCGAACGAGGCTGACCCGCGAGAACGGACTCGGGCATTCTTCTACAAATAACTAATAGCAACCTTGTTTAACGTAACATCCATTTTCAGCCTTACATCTTGAGAGCTGTCTATTATCACCTTACATCAAACGTTGGTGCCATGCCTATTCATCCGATTATCGACTACATGAACTCTGTGCCATGCGACCTGCTCTAGCTAATGTTTATTTACCCTAGTCCAGTACTTATTGATTAGGTACGTGCAGAAAAACCTCTCCAATTATAGTATCGTCATAAGGACCACCAGGGCTTTACAGTATAACTTTACAGTATGCAAAGTGTACAATATACAGTAGGTATATATTTATTTTCAAGCCAGTACCTAGTTCCTCAAGAGGCATAAGTCGACAAACATGAATTTCCACGGGTACCCGTTGGAAGTTGATCAATGCCTCCCCAATTCAATAGGTTCCCCCGTGTTGAGGAGCGGAACTTCTCCACTTCAAAGTGGATTAGGAGGATGAGTTTCTTGGTTCTCCTCTTTTTTCTGTCTTGGTCTGGTTCTCGGGTACAAGTGAGAGCGGTCGTGAAGTGGAAAGGGTCTGAGGGCATGGCAGCTGGCTATTCAGGGGTGGATTGGTACAGGGCGTAGAATAAGTTTTTACGCGATCACACACTGACGATATGATTTATGATTTATGCCCTCTGAGTCAATATAAGTATTTTCTTTATATATGACATAGTGTAATTTAATTGCCGTAATACAGAATCCTATCGTTGTCGTGATGGTGACAAATTGATTTGACCGCAATGCTGAAGAATGTCTAAGATGGAGAACCTTGCGTTAGTTCGGGCTGACTGAATACCTTGTCTCTAAGTGTAACTACCTTGAGTAGCAGGGGTGTCCTTAGGCTGTCCACCTCGCTAGGACCAGAGCGGAAAGGTCGAACTCTAATTTTCGAGTGACTGTTTTGTCATTTTGTTTTGATGTTGTATTAATTAAGAGACTGGACCCTTTTTTGCTGCTCCTTACCGCCTACCAATTTCCCGACCGTGAACACCAAAAACTTATTAAGAAGTTCTCTACACTATAATATTATTATCTATATAATAATATTATATACTTCCTTAACATTTTATAGGATTATAATAAGATAACGGTTTAGAAGCAATTTTGTAGGGTCGGTGATTTATTGATGGAGGACCGGTAGATACTAGATCGCGGACTTGAAGAATTTAAAGTGTTAAGTCGGAAAGCAAAGGCAGAATCGTATTTTATTTTGGAAGTCAAACACTTTCGAAACGCCGAACGTAATAAATCCAAGAATTGACCTTACTATTTCGATCCTAGCGAGGTGAACAGTCTAAGGACACCCGAGTAGCAGCGCAATGATATTAGGACATAGAACATGTAGCAATGATATACTATGATCGTAGTATGTATATATGTATAAGAGTACAAAGCACAATTTTTGTATGTACCTAGGCCCTTCAATCCTGTAGATCTTGGTGCTTCTAGCAGGGACATGTGGTGGCATGCAATACCGTAGTTATATACATAAGTGATTGTAGAAAGACGAAATATTGAACCAGAGCACAACAGTCGCAGTGGGATTGGGGATTGGGAGCTGGATCGAATCACTGCAGTCAAATGGTCTCCTCGGGGTTCCAAAAGAACACATTTTGATGTGACTCGGGTGGAGCATCTCCAAGTCTAGACTCGCTCAAGTGGTAGGACTTCCAGCGCTGGTCCGGCAGTTCAACAACACCTGGTAACCTGCAGACTCTGAAGATTGGAAAACTCCTCGGCTTCTTGAACCTGTCTGATCCACTCACGGAACTCGGGTGGGGGCGTAATTAAACACCTGGCATAGCGCTCAGCATAGCGGCGCGAGTGCTTCTGTGCGGCACAGTTGAATGAGAAGTCATTGTTCAGCGAGTTTGGTCCACGTTCGTGGATTTGTAGTATTACTATTTCAACTTGAACTGTACCTACATATGTAGTCAAATCTGACTAATCGGACGACATGATAACTTATATACTTCGAAAGAACCTTGAACGCCTGCGGAGAAATGAAAACGGACCGCCAAAAGATACAGACACTTTTAACTTAGTGTTACTGTTCACTGTGAACTGTTAACTTGTTAAGTCGTTGACCGTAAGTTACACTGTACACACCGCTTATGCCAGTGCTTAACTCTGTTTCGACTTTCTACTGGTGATTTCACCCTACACAGTTCATGAATGGGATCGTCAAATATACTCTCTTGAACCGCTGTCGTTGTTTGAAGCCTCCGACTGAGTCATGAAACATACTTAGTGTGAACTGTACCGGGTCTTGATCCTGGGATGCTTCAGCTCAGCGTCCCCTGCCTCTGGCTATCGCGACCACGCTGTTCGCATGTTTTGTATAGCCCCCGGACGAAACCCGTCCCTTCGAATAACTTCAAACACACTCTTCCCAATCAAGCAGTGATCACTCATCACAGACCACAGCACGCTAATTTGGTATCCACACGGTGGACCGTTCGTCCGCCGGTCGAGTTCAGGGGCCGCAGCCAATGAAGAATACTCACACGGTCGACCTAAGCTTAATCAAATCCCAAGAGACGGCCGACAAGTCGAGACGAAAGCTGGCCACGAGGTTTTGGGCACCGAGTCTGCCAGCGAGGCGTCGGACTATTCCCATTCAATTGTTGTGATCGGCCATCTCGGCCATCTGTCTCTTTTCCTTTTCTCCCACCCGGATCCTTCTCTTTAGTCCACCCTCTTTCCTAAGATCCTCTCCTCCCATTGTTCTCCTCACGGCTGATCCTAGGCCTCTTCTCCTCCCTACTCCCCCGAGACTGTCACCGCATGCCGTCCCTGACCTTGGCCAGCCCGGACATGATCCTGCCTTTCGACGGCAGTGAACGTGAATCCCAGACCCCATCGCCGCCCTCCCAACTGGTCTATCTCTCACACCTCAACGCGCCATACAATTCGGCCAATCTGAATGCCTCCACCGCCGGTCGGACCAAGAAGAACTACTCCCGCCATAATTGGACCTATGACGAAATGGCCGCAAGTCGTCGATTGTCGGACATTGGCGAGGAATTGTCGCCTGCCCGATCGGATCGCTTCGACGATGGGGCACTGCCACCAGAGGTGCAACAGCAGCAGCAGCAGCAGTCATTACCGCCAACGCCAGTGTCGCCACTGGGCTCAAAGAATCCGCCTCGACTTAAGCAATTGGCAGAGGCAGAGCGCCAATACTTGAACAGTCTCCGGAGACGAGGGAGCTCCGGTTCGACGGCTAGTGCACGGAGTGTGCGTAGCCCACGCGAGGCGCATTCCACGCAAAATGTGCCAGAGGTATCTCCGAATCCGAGCGCGGAGGAGACTGGAATCTCGAAGGGGACCGTCGCTCAAGGCCCCAACGGGACTAGCTTGCTTGAGAACGATGTTGCGGCCCCGACGGCCAAGGACAAGGGCCCCGGCGAGGACCTCTCATCGATGATTCTGAGCAGTGAGGCGGAGAGGATTCTTGAGAACGCAAAGAAGCGCCTTACGGTACGTTGAAGGACTTCTGTCATCTCAAGCATCGCTATGACTGCAGGACATCAAAGACTGACTGATCGCTTAGTTAATGGAAGGAAACCTGAATCGCGCGCGCTCGACCGTGCGTCAGACGCCTTCGTCCTCGCCCCTCGGACTGCACCCGGGGGGCTTGTATCGGTCAATCTCAAAGGCTGACCGCAAGAGCTCGGCTTTGCGACGGCAGTCCAATGCTCCTGCTCAAGATGCCTCGGCCAATCGACACTCGCGTGTACAGAGTGAAACCAACTTTCGCGCCGAGTCAAATCTCGCGAGCGGCACGAGTGCGCCATCTCGATCCATCTCAGCAATGGGATCAAGTAGCCCAGCCAATTTTAATGACGACCGTTCCTTTCCGTACGCGCCGACACGATCATACCTCACTCATCGCGCATCTATCTCTTCCATCCGACCTCCGCATCTGATCAGTACTCAGTCACCTTCGCCCAAGATTTCTCCATCGCCAGCACCAATGGAATCGCCCGTGCTTCCGTCACCCACGATCTACGAGGAGGCTCCCTCCGCTTCTCCGCCCAAAGGGTTGGGGATCACGACGCAAGGTGGGGAATCTCCCTCGAGTGGAGGAAGCTTCAGCCCTGTGCAGTCTTCGAATGGCTTCCCAAGCCGGTCCCAGTCTCAGATGCAGGTCCGCGATCTTCAGTACCAAATGAAAGGTCTTCATATTAAGATATCATCTCTCAAAGTACGAAATCAGGAGGACAACCTGCGGCGTCGCAGCCTGCAAAGTTTGCGGACACCAAGTCCGTTGACCGCCGCAGACCCATTCCTGCAGAATGCTCTGGAGGCTCGCGATGGCCGGAGCAGCCAAGGGTCCAACCCACGACGCGAAGGGAGCTCGGAAAATGTGGCGGCAATTCAGACCCGCGCTTCTCGCGAGGAGATATCCAAAGACCGAAACAGAGCTCATCCGTCGGAGCACAAAATTAACGGTACGACCGAACCAAGCCCAGCTCTATCGCAGAACACGAGTGGGTCATGGCGGAATCACCACGAGCAGTACTACCAGAACGGACGCCATTCCTCTGCCGAGACCATGTATGAGGATGCCGAGGAAGGCGACTACTTTGACGACGGTGAGATTGACCGGGAGGCGCTGAACGAAATCCTACGAGAACCGCTGGATCCAGACCTCGATACACCCCATGAGGAACGCGAAGACGCGTTTGACTACGAGCACTTTATTCTTCACAGCGCGCTGGGCAACTTCTCGCAACCACTTCGACGTGAAAGCCTCAGCTCTCACGGCTCCGTGGAGACCACTCGACCAGCACAATCGGTGCGACATGCGCGCAACGACAGTTCTCTCTCGGTCTCGACAGTGGCCACCTTTGCGACCGCCACCGAGGGAGTGTATCCCGAGGACGAGAATGATCTTCTGTATTGGGACCGCAAGTTCAATCAAGAACTACGTCAACGCCATCACGCACCACCATCCAATGGAAATAGTCGCTCTGCCGCACCTCATACCACGCAAGAAAACACCCATTCCCACCGATCCCAAACCCCACAGGCTTCAGCCCGTCATGTGGAGTCCAAGGATCGATCCCCAACCACAGGACCGTCGACGCCGACGGCTTTGGTTTCGTCTCTGGTCACGACGATGCGCGCCGCGTCTAGTCCACACACGACCTCCTCCCCTTCGGGGTCTGTTGGTAATCCCAAAGATGACACGGAGATCCTGGAGAGAGTATTTGCCAGTCTTGGGAAGGTCTGCACCGACCTCCAGGCCATCACCGACTCTGCCGACCCTGATCTCAAAGCCGCTCGTGTTCTTCGGCGCCGACTCGATGCGGCTCGAAGAGTGCTGGATGGCGAGCTTGACGCCTGATGTTTTCCGACACATCTCATTTCAACACGACGCTCAGACCGCTATGTAATACTAATATGTCTCTCTCTCTCTCTCTCTCTCTCTCTCTCTCTCTCACTCTCTCACTCTCTCACTCTCTCTACTTTTGTCCTTTTCTTAATCGCGCCGTGGTCTTCGCTCTTCCAGTTCGAGCATTTTGTTTGCATAATGCGCATGTACTCTGTCTGACTTGCCTGTCAAAAGCACTACGATACCCTACTTTTCTCGTCCCATTTCCTTTGTCCTTTTTTCGTTTCCGATGTTCTCTACGTCGATGTTCTCCCATATCCATCATTCCGGTTAAACGTGGTCATATTAGCCTTCTGTAGTCGATGCCCCCTGTACATAATACACAATCACACATCATGCATGACAACCATTCCACGCCCTTGGCCCACGTCCGCTCCCCATTCGGGCAAATGCCGTATACACCTACATAAAGGCGCATACACTTATAGTTTTCTGAACTATGTCACTCGAGTCCCGTCTTGGACTTTATGGAGCCTCGAATTGACGTGCAGTCGAGAATGTACGTGCGCGGCGCATCTCCGGACTCTGCTCCACTAGAGAAGATGCTTCTTCACAACGGATTTCCCCCCCCCCCCCCTCGAGTAATTGCCATTGTCCTGCTAACTCTGCTTTTTCACCATTTCAGACACTCTCCTGGCGCATCTCGGCGCAGGTTGATACACAGTCACGGCAGGGATTGGATCACATTTTTAGACGCTAATTCCGAACCCCTTTTTCCTTCTCTTCTGTCGATTTTGCTTTTCCGCTTGCCCCGCGTCTCCTTCCCCTCCACATCGGCTGAGATCACCACGCGCGATAAGCAAGAACGCCCGCCGCCCGGCGCAATCCTGCACGTTCCGATTCAATTTGTGTAGAAGAGGTGGTTCGCGGTGTCAGCGTAAGTGGAACAGCATATTCGGGGTCATATCCAACTCTACACTGGACTCATCCTTTTGATAGAAGTTCACCGATTCTGTTGCTTCTTTGGCTACTGCACAAGATTTCGGGCAGTACCTCGAACAAACAGCTTCGAAGTGCTTGGCCTTTGCTCACTCTCTTTTCGTGGCGCATGAGCAAAGAGATCAAATACATCGGCCGAAGCAAAAGAAAAGATAATACCTTTGTCTATCCAACGCCACACGCCAAGTCTCAACTCTACGCCAGTGCCTTGGCCACTACTCTACATCAAGTATTCTCTCAGCTCGACGAACCAAGCAACGTATCTCCGCAGCGTTTCCTGCTTGCTGAGAAGTCTTTTTTCTTCTGATCTTTATTCGGCCTCCATCGATTACTTCGCTTGACAACTCGTCAGGGCCCTTTTTGTACCTCACATCCAACACTCGAATAAAATGTCTCCGATTCAACCAACTCGCCGTCTTCTCATCTTCCAAGAGACGCGCAATCCACTAAACACCGCGGAAGTGGCCTACCTTCCCGTCAACAAATTGGGCCTACCGATTTGTGGCAATGGACCTGATCTGCCATCAATTTTGGAACTACCACTTCATATTTTGAAGGTCTTTACAGAAATTTTCAATCAGCCAAAATATAAGGGGTGGTAAGTTGACTTTTTCCTTTTTTTTTCTTCTTCTTTTTCTTCTTCTTTTTCTTCTTCTTTTTCTTCTTCTTTTTCTTCTTCTTTTTCTTCTTCTTTTTCTTCTTCTTTTTCTTCTTCTTTTTCTTCTTCTTTTTCTTCTTCTTTTTCTTCTTCTTTTTCTTCTTCTTTTTCTTCTTCTTTTTCTTCCTCATCTTCCTCTTCTCTTGTTGACTTTCTCCTTTCCCTTTTCAATAACTTCTGACGATCGACTAAATCATGCTTATCCCCATCGCCCGGGAACAGCAAAAGTCATCGCATGTTCTTGCATTCCCTCGAATCCATCGCTAATCTCAACCTTTACCTTTCCTAATTGCAGGGCCATCCTCTCAGCAGGTCGTTATCACGACACCTCAGAAGAAGGCAAATTCTACGCCGTCGTACTGGAGCAAACCCCCCTACCGGGTCAAGTGCAAGATCACGGCATGAGAGACTCGGGGACGTTTTCGCCATAATTGAACGCCCGAGACCATAGAATCCGATTGATCCGCTGTAGCGGATGATGGATCATCATCGGTCAATCGCTCGGTTGGAGAGCTTTACCTTGACCACTGTTTTAATCTTCTATATCTTGTTGTACCCTTTTCTTTTCTTTTATCACTTTCTGTTGGAATACGTGATTGGCTTTGATACCCGAGTCTGAATAGAGAAGGAAAAGTGTGAAGCTGAGTTTTCAGGAGATCTTCTGTCTTGTCTTTTCTGTGCGTCACACGCTCGTCGTGCCTTCTCATCTACCTGATGTTAGACACAATGCACCAATAGAATGAGAGGATGCCGCTTGAACATGGAGTGGGAAGATCGTCCCCGCTCCAGTCAATCTCCTCACGAAGGCAAAAAGTGTCCAGTTTTATGTATCCAACAAGCCTGCCCTCGTCTACTCTTTATAGGCGTCGTAAAGTTCCAGATCACTTGCAATGCCGGGCTGAAAGCAAAGATTTATCTGGGACATGGGGGCAGAAGTCCTTTCACGAGTTGCATTCATATGAGAAGCTACAGTGTGATGGAGAAGCAACAAGAATAAATAATAACATAATTAATGATGCAATCGATATCTCGATACTCGCGAGTGTCGTTCGCCGTAAAACGCCCAGAAACCCCCCCCCCCCCCAACCCACCCTCAAGGGCATCTGGAATAATAACAAAAAAAAGTTGAGGTACCTCAAAACCGGGTGCAAACAATGACTCTGCACGAAGGATCGCAATAATGATGAACGCGATGTTTCGCAGATGTAAGGGATATCAAGCGTGCTTCATGGCATCAACTGAATGATTGGGGGCAGGTGATCCATCCATTTCGAAAGAACTCCAAGATTCGTCATCGACTCCTAAATCATACAATATTCGACAAAGGGGAATGTAATGGTGTCCGGTCGACCCGGTGGCTAGTCTCGACCATACGGGCAGGTCTCTGCTTTTCTCTTACAAAGCTTCCTTCTTTCCGCCCGCGAATCGTCATGAGTCGTGATTCGTAAGTTAGGTTTGGGGAAGAAGTAGGCCGGCAATGTGCTGGAGATCAAGAGAGCGAGAATCCTGTGGATCAAATACAGCGTGAGTGCGCTCCGAAAGATAATAAGGTGTGACTTGAATCATGTCAAACCAGCGCACAGCATTCTCGTCGCTACCCTCGGCGGCTTTGAGAACAGCAGTGTCAGGATGCATGTCAGTCTTGGGAGGCACGACGCGCATGCGCAGGAGCATGTGCAAGATTCCTGTGAAACGCTCAGATTGGAGGTAATAGTGGGGAGGACGTCGCTCAAACGGCCACTATAATCCTGTGTCAGAAGCTGGCTCAGCAGTTGAAGGGAATACTTGTACTCACACGAGGCGCAAAGGTTTCATTGTCCCAGGAACGGAAGAGCCAGGTGATGCGCTCTACGCAGTTCAAAACAATGACGGCCGCAAGAAAAAGCTCGAACCAGCCTTTCTTTTGACGTTGCAAAAGGCGGCGTTCAAGGTCAACCAAGACAGACTTGCTCAGCTGCATGGCACGCTTCTCTGTGGCGGCACGTAGCTGGCTGCAGAGCAGCGCATAAGATTCAGGATCGTTGACCTCTTCGATGGGAAGTCGTCCCTCATCGGAAGCCTGAGAAAGTGGATGCATCGAAGTAGAAGGAAGGGTGGGGTTGCAGTAGGTCTTCCAAGTGAGGTCATTGTCCACAAGAATGTGCGTAGCGACCCAAAGATCCACAACACGCTCGAGAAGGCTATCCTTTTTGGTCTGACTGAGCTCATGAGCCAACTGTAACGTGAACTTCATGAAAGGAGAGGCTTCGCGTTCAACCAGGAATTGACCGGTCTTTTTGATGTACGCCTCAATTTTGCTTGGAATGTCATCAGATTCAGTGTCAAGGAGATAGATCTCTTGAGCTGGCGCTGAGAACTGTTCTTCACCAAGACTCTGCAGCTGCGGGTCGAGCGCTGAGACGGATGTTCGATGGCCCTGCAATCCGGCGATGGCAATGAACACCATGCTATCTTCCGAATGAGTGACCTCAATGCGACCCACATAAGGCTCGAACTTGATCTGGTTTTGGATGGCATTGGTGTCATGGTAGGCAAGAGTAGCATGGAGGTCTACAGATTTTGGTTAGTCTTTCGTAGTCGGCTGAAGACACCTCGAACCACCTTTCAGAAACTTACTAGTATTGTAGAGTTGGAACTCATCGGCCAAACGGGTTCGGATGCATGGATGCTTCCAGAGACGGGCGCTCTCGACACTAGCACATGTGTCACACGGAGTTTTGCTGGAACACTGCGTAGTTTTATAAGTATCTGCCTTTTGTCTTCAATTTCACATTTGTTATAACACATACTGGCTTTCTCAGCACTCGGCAACGGATACAAGCACCACGCTTGCGGACTTCCTGCACCTCCAGACGCCGCTCGGCAGAGAAGCGGCCACGAACTTTGGGCTTCGCAGGCTTGGTAGAATCTCCGAAGTCGTTGACAAACCCTTTGGCCTGATTGGCAGTATTCATGGCGATAGGCCTGGGGTAAGCCGCAGCATCCTGGGTTGCGGTATCCTGAGCAGCAGCATCCTGAGTTGCAGCAGTCAGGGTCGGGTCATGTCTCTGAAGGCTGTCGTACACCAGCTGATCGTGTTGATTCCACTGGCCCACTTTCAGCCCTTCGTCATCCAATGTGAAGCCCTGGGGGACCATTTCATTGGCTGATGCGGCGATCATTGACAGCTGAGACTGACGAGCATTCGAAGTCGAGTCGGGTGTCATGGAATGGTCGCCAAGTGGGGGGACATGGATGTCGGATGCTCAGGGATATGGCTTGGAAGAGCAGGAATCGTGATGCCGGTGGCCTGGCCGTTGTCGACTGTTGAAAGAGACGTGAGCTGGTTAGCTCATCTGATATGTGGTGTAGAAACTTCCTCGTGCGACCACTCCATACAGTGCAGGGTTCACATCTCTTTGGGCTCACTTACTGTGTACACTGTCGTCTTCAGCCTTGACGTCTGACTGCACGGTGAATTCGGCCTCCAACGCTGGATCCACAACCACGGTCTTCCCTCCAGATGTCACCGACTGAGTAAAGGCCGGTCTTGGCTTTGTATGATCCGAGGCACCCACCTGGCGAGACGCCTCTGCGAGCACATTGAGACCGTCGAAATTGGGACGAGTCCCGAAAGAACCATCGGCCTTCTTGCCCGCAGGCGCATTGGGATTGTTTGCGTCGGCAGCCGTGCCTGCGCCCGTAAGGTCGGGCATCTCATGCATGCGCATAAGCACACGCTGACGATCACGAAGTCCAATTGCCTGGCACTTCTTGATCAGGTGGTTGGTGAGGCTATCGATACGACCTTTGGGAAACTTTTCGCCGCAGGACTTGCAGGTATGCTGATAGCGGTTGCTGGAATCTTCGAGCTTGGGGCCTCGATTGAAGAACTCGAGGATGAGCTGGTTAGGCTTCCTACCCATCGTAGAGGTACAGGCCTATTGAGGTCCAGCGCACGAGGTTTCTTTGTGTGAATAAGGTGGGGAGGGGGAGTTTGAGCTGCAAGTCGGCGGCTGATTGCCGACGACCTCGATTGTCCTTAGGAAGACGGTCGAGTTCGTAGATTGTCCTCGGATGCTCTGTGATGACCGCGGCCACAGAGCAACGTGCGGGACGAACGAATTGGAGAGGGGATAAAGGCAGAAACACGACTTAGCACAGCAGCACGTCAATACGCGGCGGCCGATACCCTTGACGGGCGAGGGCAAGCCAAGGAGCCAGGCGCAGCCCTGCTTTGAGCTGCACTGAGCTCAGGTCGTCGCGCTGCAGCGAACGACTAGATGCGATCCGGTCTTTTTTTGTGAAATGCGGGCAAAACGAGGGGGCAGTAGGAGGCGGTCTGTGGAATAACAGGATGGAGAGGGCGATGAGGCTTCACCGCACGGGAGGCGGTGATGGGAAATAGAAAGGCGGTGATGAACTAGGGGAAAGGCGGTGATGAACTAGGGGAAAGGCGGTGATGGGGATGATAGGGGCAGGGCGCGAGATGGATGAAAAGGCGGTGATGAGGAAAGGAAAGAGAAGGTGAAGGCGGTGATAAAAGAGGGGGGCGATTATTCTTGTTGTGGGATGATGAGGAGGGGGGCAGATTGATGAGGGATGAGCGAATGAAGCAGGCGGTGGAATCGAGTCTGAGTGCGTAGTTCTGGAGACGCGATTCCGCAGTGTGGAAGGGAAGGGGGAAGGGTAGCGGAAAAAGATTTTTGCGAGAAAAGAAAGTGGGGCCGATGCGAGTTCCGATAAGTCTCTATACTTGCTGTGTGTGCCTCGAGGGATACGGACAGACCAATGCGGCAAGTCACTGATAAGGACCATTCAATAATGTTTCGTGCTTTTCTTCAATCTTCAGGTCTGGAATCTGAAAGCATTTGACCTTGAGACATTGTCCATTAATGCCTACCAAATTGGGCACCCGGTTTTACATTCGTACTTGCTTCAAGATTAACTTACTATTCACTACCCGACACTTGGTGTTGGCTTTGTTGGCCTTTGATCTACGCTCGCATAACAACCTGGTCGACAGCCCGAAATTCAATGTCCCAACAGTCTGTTCATTATTCGAACGCAGTATCGAACTACAGCTCAAAATTCACGTCCCATGAACACCTTTGTCTTTTACAATTGCGCGATTTCTGTAACGGGCTCGCAAGCTATAAAATTGTCTGATTCGTACCCTGTTCTTCAGTCTAGGCCTCTCATTCGCAATCACGTATGCAGGGCCGTCTGGCTTGAGCACGGAATGTCAGTTAAGGGGGTGGCCTCTCGATGTCCGATCATTGCACCTTAGCAGTTGCGCTGCTCGGGAGCTCGCCAGGGGACACCCAATAGCTCAAAGATTCGCCGTTCGTCACGTCCCTCGAGTAGTCGACCCTTGTTAACCTTTGCTGGTCCACGACGCCTCATATCCGTAAATAGCCCTCTTTGGTTCAAGCACATTCCTTTCTTGCGCGCAAGAAGCCGCAGACTTCGATTGAAGATATCGTTGCCTGTGAAGTAGAGCAAGGCTGCCCCGAATTCTTCCCCGGGCACGAAGAGCAGGTCGAGACGTCGCCAAACGTCACTTCCTGGGAGCTTGGATGCTCCTTGCCATTTCGACCCCTCGCCATTCCGCCGAGAAGTTTGAAGTCCGACTTGTAGGTAGCCGCTCTTGAAAAGCTTGGGTATCACTGTGTCAAGGACGACAGCTCGGATCTGCTGCAAGTTGGATCCGGGCTCAGTGATTAGCAAGTCAACGTCCCCGGAATCTGGGGAACCACGGCGGTAAGAGCCTCCAATGATGACCTGGACTCTTCCATCCACGGACTGGATGGCTTGTCGCACAAGTGCCCCGTGGGCTTCCACCTCATGCCGGGGTATGCGCTTTGCGAAATCGTCATACCTATCGAGACCTATCAGCTGATTCTTGGTGAGAGAAGCCCGCTCCCGAAGATCAGTGAGGCTTCGATAGCCCTGAGCGACCCATTTGGACGCTTGCGCAAGGCCGCATCCGTAAATGCCCCTGAACTGTTGCAAAAGCTTGTCCTCCACAGTCTCCTGAGCATTATCAAGTCGTCGAAGACGGTCCGTCAGAACGATTTCCTCGATTTTGTCAGCTAGTCGAGCGCCCACACCGGGAATCGAAAGCGCCTGTACTCTTGACGTGACTTTCTTGGAATGTCTTTTAAGGGCACTGATAGCCTTGCGATAAGCTAGTGTTCGCCAGTGATCACCAGTGCGTGAGTAGTAATCTAGCATTTGTTGCAAGACCTCGATGGTGCGCTTGTTGGGATTCTCGGACTTTGCAGCAGTATTGAGTTTTTGCATACAGGCAAAGCTGCGTGCCCATGTCTCGTTGGTCGGCACCACTTTTTCTGGCTCTAGATTAGATGAATCTTTGAACGTTGACGAGTCGGATTCGTTCTCATATTCGCCAGCTTCGTCATCCGTCATCTCTAACAAATCAAGAGGCTGGACCTATTCATTAGCGTGATGTTATCATAAAGCGGCGGCAAACATACCAATTGACTTGTCGCACGTGCCTCAGCTAGCAACTCATCCAGCGCATCCAGATTGAGGGTTGTTCTACTCTCGGTGTTCCCGAGGATGACCACTGAACCAGGAATATGTTCGGCCGAGGCTTGAACATCTGCTGCTGGCCCCGACAATTGAGATGGCGAAGGTTCTGGCGTTTTGACCAGACTCCTTCTTGATGCTTTAACTCTTAATGAGCTCGACGGGCTCGGTTCACTTGGCTTGGATGGGTTTTCAGTCGAAGCATCTGGAGCCTTCACCCCATCTACCCGAAATCGTTTTTGTTCCGGAGACAACACGGACCGGAATCTTATGCATTCAGAGGGGTAGATCTCGTTCACCATAACCACATGTTCCTAGTAAGCTCGATTTAGTCGATGTGGGTTGCCCAACAACAACGAGAGAAACTCACCGGCAGATATTCAAGCCCGAGGAACTTGGCAAGGTCAGACCACGTCAAATCCTTGTCCATGACCACGTGCGTTATACTGTCGATCCACTCAGTTGCCCACTGAGCGCCGTATTCTCGGGCTCGCTGGATACGGAGTCGGCGGGCTGGTGAAACGTCGTTATTGGGAAAGAAGACTTGGAGGATCGCCTGTTAGTGAAGTAAAGAAAGCTGCGACGAGGCGCCTCTCACATATCACAAAATCTTCGAAGATTCGCTGTCCCTCTGGGACAAGTTTGATGACACTGTTTGTTCTTTGCTTCTTCGATGCTGGACCCTCCCCTCTCTTGACAGCGTTCGAACTGCTGGGCATAGTACCAGTAGTCATGGTTCTTTTGACTGTTCTCAAGCCTAGATCGGACGCTCTGTGTATTTGCTGCTGGCTTGAGTCATAGGCATCGGTACCTCCATGACTTTCTTCTTCGGCGGTGCGCAATGGCAGAGGTGCAGTGTTTGATCGACAGAGCGACAGTCGATCAACATTGGACGACGTTGAGATGCTTGCAACCGGATGACAGGAAGATCCGGTGCTAGTAAGAATTCTTTCAAAGCAACCCTCGTCGTCTGGTGTCTCGTCGGAGTCATCGAGACGTTCAAGCGCGCGAAAGAAGCTTGCCTTGCTTCTAGTTTTTGGCATTTTGCCGCACTAGTCCGGCATCTGAGGTCGAAAAGGGGACTGAATTGTCAGAGCAAGCATCGCAGTTGCCTGGTATAGTGAGCTGGTCAGACCCAGGGTCAGGAGGACTATATTACGCTGTCACGGGTAAGTTCGATCATCTCTCTACAAGTGACATGGACCGCGGACGAGGGGACCCGTGGGCGCGCCCAACAATACGCGAAATGGTCGCCAAGTCACGGGACTTGGCTTTTTCCATTAAACCCGATTAGGCTCCATGATCAAGACATGAAGGCCGGAGCTGATATGGGCATCCAGTGCCTGATATTCCACTTGAGTACCATAGGACAAGACACCTGTAGGCAGTCTCTGGTAGTCTTCTTGTTAGTGCTTTGACGAAATTACTCAATTGCGTTCTCTATTTGACAATCACGGAGAGTGATGGATATTCAGAGATGGAAGGATAAGCTTTCGCCAACCAGTGTGATAATGTCATGTAACCCCGCCGTATGACTAATGTATGGTAGATGCGCTTTCGCCTTCTTTCTTGTGAAGCACAAAGGATGAGCAAATAGATTGAAGAGAGCCGTATCTATATTGTTCCTGCTCGCCGCATAGTAAACCGCCCCAACGTTGCGGCCTACAGCAGGTTTGAATTCGATCATATTCGATCATGTGACCGAGATTAAGTCCGCGGAGCGGATCGCATTTGTCAATCAAGACCAAAACTTTTGAGCTGCTCATCAACTTCCTGGTCACGTTATAGACCTTCACGCAAAACTGCACCACAATGTGGAATTCGCGGTTCCATACAGTTCTCAACGCAGGCTGGAAGTTTGCCAGTGTTTGCCAGCCCCCGATCAACCAGCTTCGAAGCACTGCAGTCCCCACCGGCACGAAAACACAAAGGTTACGCCAGTATGCCACAACGAGTCACACGCAAGACACCAATAGAAAGGATAATGGGGATGCCGTGATGGTGTCTTCGCCGGTGCAAAGACAGGCGCAAGCGTTGCGACGTGGCGTACAGTTCCAGCAGAATCAAGACATGAAGCCTCAGCCCGGCGATAAGGACTTCAAGCCTCCGATGCTTGATCGCCCGATTGGGACCAATACACCTCCGATGGCCGGCGAGAATACGGGAGTAGACCTGCGGTCACTGAAGCAAAGGCGGGATGACTTTGTGAACTACGACCGGCACCTGGAGCGAAGAAAGGAATTGTATGTCTCTCTTTAGAATGGCTACACAGCTAGGCTTGTCAGTGGCGCTAACAGTCAATTGTCCTGGCCCTTAGAACACGACAGGTCGCGAAGCCCTATTTTAGGGAATGGTCAAACTTGCGGTTCCTAGAGGGCAAAACGTTCGTTTCGAACCCTCGGCTCTTCAAAGGCGACAAAGCTTTGTACTTCCCCAACATGTCCGGAATCACGCTGGCCGAACAGAAGGATCGTCAAGATACAACCCCAGTTTTGCAAGGCAAGATCAGTGTCGTCAAGCTTTTTTCCAGTGTGTGGGCAGAGACGCAAGTCGGCTCCTTTACGGGCCCGACTCAAAATCCACATCTAACGGAACTGCTTGCCAACAATCCACAGTTTGCGCAAATGGTCGATATCAACTTGGAAGAAAATCGTATGAAGGCGACTCTGGTGAAAATGTTCATGTGGAGCATGCGCCGCAAGTTGCCCGAGCAGCAGCACCCTCGGTATTTCCTCGTGCAGAAAGGATTTACCGAATCCCTCAAGGAGGCTGTAGGCATGATGAACTCCAAGGTTGGCTACGTCTACCTGGTGGACTCAGAGTGTCGCATCCGCTGGGCGGGTAGTGGTAACGCTGAGCCCGCGGAGATGGAAACGCTCAATGTCGGCCTACAAAAGCTGATTACAGAGAGAAAAGCCATCTTCGAGGCTGAGGGTGTTAACCGCAAATAACTTATGCGGCTTTCACAAAGAATACCGACTTCTCTCAGGTGTTCCGAATGTACATAAATTATAGAGAACATTGTAGAATAGAATAATATGGATACCACCCCCATTTTTAAGCCATGCAAGAGTGTGATCATCAAGTGTACTACTACATGCTCCGTTGCCGCGACAACTTGAACTCCGGACTCCCAAGGACGAGTAAAATGAAAGCAGAAGCCAGTTCCGCGTATCGGCTGCATGGAAGTCTTGGAAGCAAAGCATGCACAACCCGACATGTCAATAATGGGGATTATGAGACGGGGCCAGCCCATTCACCTGAAGTAGAGTAACATTAGGAAACAGAAAGCGATAAAGCAGCCCAAGATAATAGCGTCGCGCCGTTTCTTCGTGCCGATCTTGCCAATCAAGTAATTCATGCCCGGGACTTTGCTCGCTGCGCCGACAATGCGCCGATTGATGCTCGCGAGGGTTTCGCGCTGTATGCCGAAATTCTCGTTGATTGCATACGCCTGGCTTAGCACGCCATCAATCATGTTGTGGCTGTTTTCGACTCGCGCACGCTCTTCGAGCATATAATCGGCCTCTTCGGCGCCTGGATTACTCGCACGATACGCATCGATATCGGAACGAACATTTGATAGGAGATTTGCACGATCGCGAGCTTCAGCGATAGCGGATGTCAAACGATTGAGCTCGCGACGGTGGTCAGCCAGAACCTCTCGATGTCGGGCAAGGTTGTTCTGTTTTAGAGCGGAGGAGGTCAAAGTGGCTTCAGAGTCAAGCAGACGAGATAGTTGGGATATGATTGCTTCGCGCTGTGCAAAGTATCAGCCGTGCCACTTTCCGCTTGCTTTCGGTCTCTCTACATTCAAGGGGAAATGAGGCAGTGCGGACATACTCGTTCGAGGATATCTTTCAGCTGTGACTCGAGCCTTAGCTCTTCATCCGTCGGATATTGTGGAGGTTTTGTAAGAGAGCTGAATTGCGCATATGTATGGAAGAGTTGCTCGGTCTGTTTCCTTAGTTAGTCCCCTAGGTCTTGACTATGCATCTTCACTCCCGGCGATGTATCCGATACCTGAGTCTCAAGAGAGCGGGCTTGCTGTCGCAACTGCGCCCACCCGGAGTTGGTGGAGGTCATGGCCGGTGAATGGTCCGTTGAATGCGCTCTAAATTTTGACACAAGAAGACAGCGCGGTAACCCCCTTTGCTGTCTTTGATCATCGAATACACCCCAGACACGTCAAAAGACAGCCTGCCCGCTTATCGGTCGACGTAAGCGCAATTACGCCGAGGGCGCTAACCTCTATCCGGTAAGGGAGTTGCTATCCTTGATGCCTTAAGGAAATGTCTGCCTGATTCCTCTCCGCAGACTTTGTTTGCCTTATTGATGAGGTGGCAACATTTAACAATCTGGGTGTCTATCACGTGCCCGCTTAGTGTGACCAACTCGCTTAGCCCTAGTCCCACAACCACAATTTGGTCCCATCGGACAATCTTCAATTCTCAACGCCGACAACCCAGCATACACAACAAAGCCGCCACCATGGTATGTTCGACCACGATCGCTCGCACTTGATATCGCGCTGATGGAATTCCTCGTCTAGTCGTCCAAGGTCAAGGCTGGTCAGCTCTGGGGAAAGAACAAGGAGGAGCTCGCCAAGCAGCTCGAGGAGTTGAAGACCGAGCTTAACCAGCTCCGTGTCCAGAAGATCGCCAACGGCGCTTCCACCAAGACCCAGAGAATGTGCGTAACAACGATGTCGATTCTACTTCACCCAGGCGCTTTGGAACGGAATTCTGCGACGAAAGACTCGGGAACACGGCCAATATCAAATGATGGGGGGATCGGGAGATTTACGCCGCAACACGAAAAGCTTTTTCTTCCGTGGTCACATATCGAATTCTCGAATCCAACTACGAAATCTGATCTTGGTCGGCCCGCAATTTGTCGCAGAATTGAACCGTTCGCCAGTTGTCGCATCTTTACGAAGCCCTCGAAAAAAAAATCCAGGATTGTCAACTAACTGAGCCTCTTCTCCAATGACAGCTCCGAGGTCCGCAAGTCGATCGCTCGTGTTCTCACCGTCATCAACGCCAACCAGCGCGCTCAGCTGCGTCTCTTCTACAAGGGCAAGAAGTACATTCCTCTTGACCTCCGCCCCAAGCTCACCCGCGAGCTCCGCCGCCGGCTCACCAAGCACGAGGCTACTCGCATCACTGAGCGCCAGCGCAAGCGCCAGATCCACTTCCCCCAGCGGAAGTACGCCGTTAAGGTACGAAGACCACGAGACTGTGTGGTGTGCCTCTGAACAGAATCGGCCATATCGTCAATTTTTGCCAACTCGGGATACAAGCAAAACTGAAGCTTCTGCCTCCCTGTGCAATACGTAAAAATTGCGATATGACCGACAATCTGTTGCGGACATCTGTTTCGAATCCGCGCGCCCGTCTTTTCAAGACCAACTCGCTAACAATATTCAATCTACAGGCTTAAGTGCAGAACTTTTTCGGATCTGGAGTTTTGTGGGGGGAAAAGCCGTTACTTGCCCTTGGACACATTGAGCAGGATGTGTGATGTGTGGACCTGAGCAGGGTCGATTTTCTCTTTTTTTTACATCCAAAAAATGGAATTTGATTATGTATCTTAAAATACGATGCAAATCGACCCTTGACATGACATGAACACTTTTAGACTATTTCTTGAATTCCTGGACTTGATGCGCGCGTTATCCGAATATGCGTATGCGATAAAGCCACGAGCTGATTGCTCGGTTGTGTGAACAACTTTTCGACGACAACTGGACTGGGAACGCAGATAGTGTTTATTTCTGCGAGAGGACCCCTGTTTAGTATCGAGCGGGATCGCTGGCAGGCAGTTACCTGTACGCAACTTGGGCTGCTCGCTTTGTATCAGAAGGACATGTCGGATCCTGCATTTTCAAATGTCTATACTCAGGTCTATTGATGTCAGTGATTGTCACTCACAGACGACCAACAAGGCATGTCTACATCGTAATACGTGGTATGAGCAGGTAGGAATCTACCCATCTACAGAGTGCATACGTAGACTCCCAGTCACTCCTCAAGACATGTGCTCGGATCCAAACCTGCTTCTATTCATGACAGCCACGCGGATGCAATTATTACTCTAAAAATTATCCATATCGAGTACCCTGCGCTTGTGCCAAGTCTCGAACAATTGTAAATTGTTATGTCATACAAGGCTTGAAGGCACAGGCTCAAGCAGACCCCACAGCACCGACGGCTTTAGCCATGTTAACATGCCCAGGTCCACTCAAGGCAGCGCCCGTATTCGAAAGATCCCCTTGCGACACAGATTCAGACGTCTCCATTACCCACGCACCGCCACAAGCACAATTTCTCAGATGATTCAACCGATGCATCATTTTCGTCCACGGACCCGTCCGGGGCCGACCTGCATCCCCCGAAACCTCACAGCAACGCACACAGCGCCTTCGTCGACTTGGTTGCACTGCAGAGGAGTCCGATTGGACCAGCGTAAGTTGAAGGGGTACCTTCATCAGGATGTCTACCTCGCAACGCTTGCGATACGCGGCCATCCGTGAGTGATTCTCCAGCCCAAGCCAGGTGTAGTCGCCTAGAACGATTTCCTTCCTCTGGATATCCGATCGGATGGATGGCACGGTTTGAGTAAAGAGAGTTTGAACGGCGGGGATGAGGACGGGGGGAATTCGTGCGTTCACGGTGAGTTCCTTTTCAGGACTGGGTCGTTCGGCATCGCCGAAGCCGGAGCCCTGGTAGGCGTGTTTGACGGCAGAGTCGACGCCTGCGAGGAACTTCTCGTAGACGTCTACGCGGACAGGGGATGTTTCAAGAGCTCGGCAGATCTCGACCCAGTACGTTCGAGACTCGGGTTCGAGTGCAGCGATGTTGACGTGCTCGAATCCGCCGCGGATACCACGCAGGCCACGGCAGATAAAGCGCATGTAAGCACGAGACATACTCGACAGAATGAGGAGGAGCGGAAGCGATGTGATGGTTTTCACTATACAGTAACCTGTCAGATGACACGGAAGCATGGCTGCATGGGCCCTTGTGACAGTCTTCTGCACTTACACTTTTGGGTGAAAGCCTCTGTATCATGGAGCACGCTTTCAAAGTCATCGGCAAGATCAAAGATCTCATTGAGGATATAATGGGAGAGGCCTAAAGTCCATTTCGTGTTTCCGAGCAGGGCGTGAAGGATTCCTAGATTCCACAGATATTTGAGCTTTGCTGAGTCCTTCGACGTTAGAAACCGGGTAGCCACTTACCAGGGTCATTTTGTTCTGCTGGAACGTTCTTGGTGTTTTGGAAGTAGGCCGCATACAGCACAGAAGAGTGACGCATCTGCAAAACAGCCCATGCGATGGCGGAAGGCATACTTCGACGTCTGTTCTTGCCTCTGAACCCAAGACTGGCTTGCAGGCTTAGTGCCCGGGGGATATATGCGTGTGTCAATAGCTTATCTTGCTCTACCGTAAAGTTGCAATTGACAGAGAGTGCTCGATAAACTTCGCCTAGAAATGCGGGTTGATTATCTGGACGATTTGGGACAAAAAGGTGGTCAGCACGGGGTCTGTTGCACAAAAATGAAGCAGACAACTCACCCGGAGGTAACTGGCCCAAAACAATCATCATGATGTCGTCCGTGTTGGAATCACTACCAGAGCCCCGACTGAAAGCTAGGGTCAGTGCCGCAATGGCAGCCGAGAATTTGCCTGTTCAAAGTTTGATTAGAAAAGGTCATCTTGTGAACCTATGTCTGGGTCATCGCTTACTTTCGTCGTAAAGTCCACCACTCGACCCGAAATTGTGCTCCATCCACCTCAGTCGCGGCTGGCCCTCACAGTCCAGCACTACGGCAGCGCAGGAGTTGGGAGAGAAGGCGATCGAAAGACCTGTAAAGTTGTCATGGTCAGTCTTCATTCGAGTGCGATGCATAAGGATGCTGGTAGCAAGCGTACCTGGTGTACTTGGAGGGAATCGGAATCCGGCCTGTGCCAGACAGTTTACAGTACTAGGATCTTCTAGACCGCTGAAAACAGCCATGGTTTTGGTTTCATAGGAAGTGATTGTTCCGTCGTCGTGGGTGAATGTCAAAGCTGGTGCTGTGACATGCTCCATCGGGTCGACGGAAATCACGTACTTGTCCAAGTATATATTCTCTAGCCGTCGCATTTCGATTTTCGGCTTGAGTTGAGGCATCAGCAGATGATAGAAGAATTGCCTGTTGGGAGCGACCTTAACATACCCTTACTTGTACGTGAGACTTCTTGGATACGACTTCGTCGAACTTGGGGTGAAAGGACTGCTGCGCGGAGTCCAGCTGCCATCGGACAATCACACTGGCAGGACCCTGCTGGGCTGGAAACTCTGAGGATGTATGCAGAGGCTTGGAGAAAACTCCTAGAATCCACGGACTTGTGGTAGTTGGCCCTGTTGGACTGTCGACTTGTCCTGGAATCACTTCCAGTCGTGTCAGGGTGTATACCGAGTTGGCGAATGGTAACGATTGATCCGTGTGCTGGTTTGGGTCGTTACCGATATCCCAGATACTGCTGGGCATATCAATTTTGTAATGCAGTAGTCGTACAGCTGGCACGGGCCACTTGTTTGGGCTTCTCATCACCATCGGGTCCCATTTGTTGGGATTCCAGGCAATTTCCACCCGATACAGACAGAGCTTCTGACAGACAGAGTACGTCGCCAGCAGAATGGTTCCTATGAGCCAAGTATTTAGCCACACCGGCGAATTCTCGAGAGACAAGCTCAACGATAGTATCACCAGGTCACTCACCTTGCGTGGCGACCATTGTCGCATGGGTCAATAGTCTATCTGAGTGACCTGTGTTCTTCAGTTCCGCGGGAACTTCAGCCCACTTGCTGTCGATGTTTTGATACATCAATCTGATCTGACCGGCTCGGGTGACCGTGATCAACGAGCTTTTTCCCGCCGGATGAGACGGATGAGTCGGCCGCCATCGGAACGGAGAATAAGCCCATCGGTTGTTCAATTTGGCAGCTTGTTGGAACGCATGTACCTAGAAAGTCGGATGGTGTTAATAAGAACTTTGGAGCAAGACAAAATCTGTGACATTCACCCTCACGGAGCGGCTTGCCACGGTGCGGAATTTTGGATTACCTGTCGACCGGGATTGAGCCACATCAATCCGACGATCTGATTGCTGTCGTCTCCAGAGTCGTAGGTTGCCTGTCGCAGGCCTGTGATGTTGTTGAGGGCCATGAAGATAGAATAGATGGAGACTCGACCCATCGAGTCCACGACAGCGAGCTCCGAACCAGCATCACTCCATGACAAATGAAGCAATTGATTGCCACTGTGCGCTTCTGTCACTGGGGCAAGAGGGAATTCATCACTCAACCCCCATGTCCCGTCCGAGGGACTGGATTGGAGATTCCGCACACACACTCGCACACCATCTGCGGAAATGTATGCGATGGCCCCTAACCGGGACCAGGCTATTCTCCTGTGCGCGGCCGTTAGTCCCAACTCGTTTTTTCCAAGTTCTTTGACCCCCTGGACGATGGACGATGATCACTTACTGGCGGCAACCCAGTAATCGCATCTCATCGATGCACTGGGCCAGACCTTTCGTGGAGGGGAGAGCGGCCGGCGGGGGCAGCCCCAGATCCAAGGAATGGGCCTCTCCGAAGAGATCGTCCACATTGATACTTTCATCCATGATCAGGGGCATCAGTGGCGATCGAGGATCATGAGTGCAGTGACAGATGAGTAAAAAATGAGCTTGGCAGGCTCACCCTGCATGGTTCGAATATAAATCGCCGTCGGTCTACCATGCACTCGGACACACGGATTATTAGAGACACGGGATCAATAACCGTCGCCCGGCGGGTTGGTTTAAGGACGCAACCGACAAGCTTTGGTCTGAGAGTCGGACAATTCAGCCCGATTGTTTAGCGGGAAGTATAGACAATGGCCACCAGATGGGGGCGAGATCGATTGAGGTGAGTTCTACAACTGGGGAGAAGTCCAACCACTTACCTCCACACAGAGAGCGATGGAGGGCTTGGTCACAGCTCCCCGGTTGGTTCTCCTCTGGCATTCCCGTGACTCGAGAATGGATCCTGAGACCCGTTGACCGGACCTCAGCTGCAGTGGGCCCGTGACCCGACCCTGGATGATGACTCAGCCGACGTCCGCCCCGGGCCTGGAGCCAGTGTCTGAGTGTAGTTAAGTTACTAGTTACTAGTTGTACTCACTGACTCAGTAGTACTAAGTATGTAGTGTAGCACTGGCGGGCGTTCCTCCTTTGATACGCGACCCATTTGAGATCCACAGCACATCTACAAGTACGGAGTATATGTAATATCCATCGAAGGGAACCTTGGCTTGAGTGCAGTATTCAGACTTCAGTCAGGTGTTGACTCGGCGTTTCATTGACCATGTTGACGACTGTTGTCAACCAATGCCAATGTTGGGATCTGGAGAGCACTGCTACCATCCCAGACCTTAGGTACTTTAGGCAGCAGAAGAAGTTGCTCAACGGCTTCCACTGTCATCGACATGTACGCTGCAGTCTGCACCAGTGCACTTATAGACACGTTTTCCTACCTTCACTACCTTACCTACTAGGTAGTACCTAGTCCTGTTGTACCGAGAGGTATCAGGCTCCGTGGCCATCGCTGCGCGAGACCAACCTATTGCACGTGACCTTTGTTCTCCCCTCGTAGCCCTGCCAACGATCTTTTCGCCAATGATTCATCACCTTTGGGCTCCATATGGAAACTGCCGCCAATCATTGTCTTCTCTCCGGCGGCCCCAGTCCGCCCGTCCGCCCGGGAAAAACAGAGCCGCGCGACGAACACAACAATCCACGCGACCGAAAGCGGTAAGGACAACATCAAATTCAAAGTCGATGGAGTCGGGTCCTCCTTGGGCTGAGAGATCGTGCGGGTCGAGTCAGGGTCGAAATCTATTGCATTCTTGGAGGATTGCAGACTGCAGAGTGCAGAGTCTCAGAGGGTACGACTACGCATCGCGATTGAGGTCTCTGCTGGTACCTACCCGTTGTCCTCGAGCCCCAAGATTCAGATCTAAGCTCTCTGCATTATGCAATATGCAATGTGGGCATTCTGCCGGTTGATGGGAGGCCTCCGAAGACAGCATTGAATTACTACTACAGTCCCCCACTACCTTTTCACTCCATTGCGAGTATATTCCTGTACTTTGCATCAGTGCATGAAACATTGACAATCATGGCCCGATTGTACTACGCGATGCACTTTTAGCCACTGGCGATTCCACTGACCCAGTCTGATCTCTCTGGCACCGTAGCCTCCGAGAGATTTCTCGCCCGTTCCAGCGCGGGTGGATTGTACTGTGTAGTCCAAACGAAGAGCAAATTGATGGTAAGCTAACCATCGACGGATCGCGGGTTTTGTCGTGGACAAACAACGGCACGTCAACCCGCCTTTGAAGGTGTCCATGAATCCCATCCCGTGACGTGCAATCTCCCTTGATCTCAGCAGCGAGCAGCCCGGTTTGGATCTTTTTCGTCATCCCACCCCAACTTCATGATGGTCCATTACGGGCCTCGGGCCTCTGATAGATGAGGAGTCTTCCCGCCGTCGCCATTCCGAAGAGTTGATGCAATCCAATTCCTGCCATTCTCGGCTTCGTGAAGACTGTGGTCTCCCGCAGCACAACAACCCGTCGGCCGTTGGATCGCTCCCGTCTTCTGCTGCTGTCCACCAAATATCAAAATCTGAGTCTCGCTCGGTTCCATCGCCATCGTGAACTCGGCCCTCTTTTTTTTCCCCTCGTAGCCTTCTCCCCTGCGCAACCACCACATTCCACAGCACCGTTTGATCTTCGATTGACTCCGTTCTCCTCCCCCATCAACAACCCACTTTTCAACCACATCTCCTCGTCCTCCCCTCTCTTCTTGCCAAACTTCGTCCACGTAACCCCATCCAAGTAACTCTGCGCACGTGGTCTTCTTCATCTCCTGCCTGCATACCGAAACGCTGAATTCGAAGAATTTGGCACGTCTTCGGTCTTGCCATTTCCACCTCGTCCACAACGCGCTCGTCGTCCCAAGTTGCAATTGTCATCTTTCCCTCCGTCATTGTTTCTCCCTCTCCATCTAGTTGTGCCCCCCTCTCTTTGTGTCTGCAACTGTTGAGTTGCTTTCGGTGCTCGACTCCTCCCACACATCTCCAACTTGAAATACCCGACACACACACGCCCACACACACACACACCTGACCTCATCGTCCTGCTGCACCGACCACCATCTTGTCTCCCTCTTTCTCTCTGTCCGTCTCCCCTCCATCCCTCTTCTTCTCTCTCCCCATCCACCTTCTTCGGCTGAATTGCCATCTGCGGACGCTCCTCTCCAATTCTTGCTTCATCCACCTCCCTTCCAGCCGTCCCCTCTACTGCTTGCGTGTGATCGTCTCATGCGAATCTCGTCCGTTGCTCGGTGTACGATTGCGTGCATTACTTCAACCCCCTTGTTCGTGATTGTATCTGTCACGGTACTCCAGTAGGAGTGTCTCAACCTATCGTCGACTGCACCTGTTCTGTGGCATCCCTGCTGGTCGATTCCCCTCGTCTGGCAGAGTGCAACTGTGTGTTGCGTGTCCTTCAGCCACTTTGCAACTCCATCTCTTTCCTTTTCACCCTTACTGTCGGCTTTCTCTTGCGCGACCGACCTCCCTCCGACTCTCCTCCAAAGTCGGACCTGCACACCACCCTCCACGATGGAAGGTACACCTTACGAATTGTCCGATGACAGCTCGGGCTTAAGCTCGGTGCCTTCATCCGCGCGCGCCTCGCCTGAGCCCGCCGCCCGGTACCTGACGCCATCATCGCAAGAAGGCGATTCGATGCGCCAAGACTGCCCTCCGCCCGCAAAGAAGCGGAAGCGCAACCCCTTGCCCAAAGAGCGTACAACACAATATCTCGACTTCGCCAAATCGTCGTACGAACAGCCAGATCAGGTCAGGTTACTTGTCGACACTCTTCGTCACCAGAAGGACATTATTGTCATCGCTGGCGCCGGTATTTCTACATCTGCAGGCAGTAAGTCCAAGTCTTCCATCCTGTTCATTTCGACTGTTCTCAGTTTTGTGTTCCCTCTTTTTTTGGGGTCCTTTTTCTCGTTCGTGCTGTCTATTTGGTTGGGAGTCTTTGGCTTGCTCCCGACCGGCACTCTGGACCCCCCGACTTCCGCACGTCATCCACCTTCGTACGTCGACAGGGTTCTCGTCGCTAACCACCGTGAATAGTTCCCGATTTTCGTTCACCCGATGGCTTGTTCAAGACCTTGCAGAAGAAGTACAATCTCAAGGCTTCAGGAAAGCTGCTGTTCGATGCGGCAGTCTATCAGGATGAGACCCTGCTCAAACCCTTCCATGAGTTGGTGCAAACCTTGTCGACTGAGGCCGCCAATTGTCAACCCACCAAGTTCCACGAGATGCTGGCCAGTCTCGGCAAGGAAAATCGCTTGAAACGACTGTACACACAAAACATTGACGGCCTGGAAATTTCCATGAAGCCCCTGGAGACCGAGGTTCCATTGAGTGTCAAGGGTCGCTGGCCCGTCACCATTCAGCTCCACGGCAGCATCACCAAGATGGTCTGCCAGAAGTGCCGCCACCTGTCCACCTTGCAGCCAGAGAAGTTCTGTGAGGCGGATCCCCCCGACTGTGATGAGTGCGCCGACAACGACCGTGCTCGGGTGGTAGCCGGCCAACGTAGCCACGGTGTGGGCCGGATGCGGCCGCGCTTCGTCTTGTACAACGAGCACAACCCCGACGAAGAGGCGATCACATCCGTCATGAATGCCGACATCAAATCCCGCCCTCGTGTCCTCGTCGTCGCCGGGACCAGTCTCAAGATCCCGGGTGTGCGTCTTCTCGTCAAGAATCTGTGTAAGGTCATTCGTGGTCGGAAGGATGGCGTCACCATGTTCATCAGCAACGAACCTCCTGTCGGCAAAGAATTCGAGGACTGTTTCGACCTGGTCGTCCAAGGATCAACGGATCAGGTCGCGGATCTGGTCCAGCTGAAGAATTGGCATGACCCGGCACCTTACACTGCCCCTCTTCCGGAGCCTGTCTTTGGTGTGCCCCCGACGGTGACAGGGGAGCCCGCTGTCACCGATGAGGAAGGCAAGATCTCTGTGGTGATCACATCCACCCCGACGAAGAAGCGCCCAGTCAGCGACATCGGGTTGATCACCCCTTCTTCCTCTCACGACGAGGCACCTCAGGCGAAGAAGACCAAGCGCGCTCTCGCCAACCCGGCCACCAGTGGCAGGAGTATCACCGATCTCCTGCACAACGCCGCCACCAAGCCGCGCGCCCCAGCCAAGGCGGCCCGAAAGCCAACGACAGCCAAGTCCACGGTTCCCAAGAAGCGTGGAGGCAAGCCCCCGGCTGCTGTGGCCGCGGCATCCAAGCCCATCTCCTCTTTCGCAACGGTCAGCAAGGCCAACAAGACTGTGGTGGTGGCTGAGAAGAAGGCCGGCCTCAACAAGCAAACGGCCTCGCTGAAGCCCAGTGCAGCTCGAGCGAACGGCTCACTGCTCACCTCTGGGGCTCTCAAGGCTGGCGTTGAGGCCCACGTGATTGAGGAAGTGACCATCGACCGCTCCTGACGGTGGGTGCCTTCGCGAGTACCTGCTTGGGTACTCGTGAGACGGCTTTTACACTTCTCTCGATCCGTCATCGAGCGCATCACGATCAGCGCTCGATGATGTGGTCTTTTGAGAGCTGACCTTGCGTTGGAGGAGATTCCTCCTACCTCTCACTTCTTTGCGCGCCCCTCACTTTCAACTGAGAGTGACGAGCGGTTCGATTTCCTTTACGTTCCTCTCGCTTTCAGCGCGCGCGAAGATACCAACGATAGATCATGAGGCTAGGTGCATGGAATGGGGCGTTGGCGTTCTTCTCTTTGGGTTGGCGATCTTGGTTCTTTTCTGTGCTCTTGTCCATGGGTTCAAAGCCCTGGGCCTTTTGTTTTCCTTTTTTCTTGTTTTAATATATTTTACTTCCACTTCTCATCGCTCACGTGAGCGACTGGTGAGTGAATGTGGCCTTTTGGATTCCGGTGCTCGTACTCCCCTGTAACATCAGTCCTCTGTAAGTCTACCTTTGAAGTCGACCTTGAGTAATGTTTTGTCATCCATCATGGTGATGGGACGCTTGGACTATATAAGACTATATTGTCATATTTTGCACATCCGAGATCTCAAAATGATCCCATCGCCTTGCCTGTTGTCGATTCTTGTTCGGGCGTTTCCTCTTTCAAGCTTGAAGCACCGAACGGTGGGATCCTTCAACTCCCACTCACGAGTCATTTATCAGAAGTCCGGTCTTTCCTGCGAGAGGCTTCCATCTGGCATTGGAAAAAGGCGATACAGAAGCTGCCGATCAGGAGCGTCACTGGGGATGCGCTATGCAAACTAGTAGAGCTCCCAGGGGGGGGGGGGGGGAGTTAGGTGGAACATGAAGAGGTTTGGAATGTGGCGCAGGGAGCAGTCAGACTGAATATATGTCGGCTGTATATACCTACATGTATCCGCCGTGCCAACGACAACCTTTACCTCAGGTCAGGTCAGCCTTACTCCATAGTTCATACCGACCTATAGCAGTCAATTGACTTACCACCACAAGTCACCTGTTACCTTACCTGTGTAACGGACAAAAGACATGGGTCAAAGTACACCCAGAAAATGCTACACGCAGACTCTAGATTCGTGAGCCTGATCATTGGGATTACCGTGTTTCTAGGTACTCATTGAACTATATTATGTACTATGTACTCAACGTAGATGGTGGCTCCTGTCTGACAAGGTCGAGAAGATGGAGAGACCATTGACATGCAGTCGGCTGTTGTTATTTATTATCCGTACAATTCCCATAGTCGGCAGTCTTGTATAAATGGTCTTTCGCAACGACGTCCGAGTCCTCCATAGGCCATCACTCACACCGGGCGTTTCACAGGTCAACTGAAACCAATTGACCCCGAGGAACAGAGAATAGACCTCTATTATACAGAAAGAACAATGAACGGGAGCTTGAGCGTGTTATCCAGAGCTTTGGAGTAGACAATGTCACTTGATTGGAAAGCCTCATTAGCCAAGGTCCAACCCACCCTGCAACTGACTCGCGGGCCCTTCATCATCTGTCTCATCGGCATCGGGATCCATCTGTCTAGACGTCCCATCCAGATCCTCAATGCGATCGAGATCCTCATCCACCCTGTGCTCGTCATCGTCATCATCATCCTCGTCTTCCTCGTCCTCTCCTTCTTCCTCTGCCTCTTCCTCATCCTCATCATTTTCGTCTTCTTCTTCCGCTTCGTTCTCCTCCTCCTCTTCCTCCTCCTCGTCATCCTCCCCTTGCGCTTGGTCGTTCCCTCGAGGTTGTCCAGCTGCTCTGCTCTGTTCCTTGCTTCGTTTTACTCGCTTTGCAGGTTTATCCACCATTTCAACATCTTCGTCCTCGGCCACCCCTCCCGATGTTCGCGCAGCAGCACTGCTAGCGCCGGCGGTTGTGCCGCCATTGGCATCGGTCTTTTTCGCTTTACGCTTGCCGGCTTTGATCTCGGTAAAGGCCTCGAGTTCCTTTTCCAGACGAGGGCGGAAGGCATCGAGTTCGAGTTCAGTGAGGGCATTAAAAACGTCTGCAGGGGCGACGGTGCGCTTTAGAGTTGCGTCATTGGCACTGGAGAGATGAAATAGACAGTTAGAATCCGAGGTCTCGACGGGCTTCTGATCGCGGGTCAAGAGCCACAAGTGACCAGATGTTCAGGTTCGACGGTAGGTGCGCAGTACGCTACCTCACAGCTTACGCGTGGTAATGAACGAGAAAAGAACATACTGTGACGAGAGATAGGATATAAAGACGGTGGCGGCTTTCTGAATCGCCAGAACTGCATCTTTCTGGATTGTCGTATTGGGAGGAAGCACGGATTTCGCAAGACGGATCGTCAGCGAGCGTGGGAGGAGGTAGTCCTGAACCAAAGAAGAGAAAAGGCATTGCTCGAGTCAGCCTACAGGACTCTGAACCAGCAGATTCTGTTTCGCGCATGACACACACTGCCTCGCACGAAGACAGAGGTTACAGGCTGCAATGTGCCCGTATTAAGACGTGCACTCACCTCGACGCTGACGCCTTGCTCCGCCCGGGCCTTGATCTGCTGCTCCGTCGCAGTGATGGGCTTGTCGGCGGTTCCCTGCGCTTGCGGCGATAATTGCGATGCCTCCTCCGTGTCGGCAGGTGTGACAGATGAAGTTGATTTGCGCGGTGGCATACTTGTGGTGCTCTTTGTCGCGGTAGATATTTTCTTTTCGCCCTGCTTGCCGAGGGTAGGCTGGACGGGGTCTTCGTCCTTCTCGTGGAAGTATCTTTGACGCGAGGTGAAAGTACTCGTCACCCTTTGGAGCTGGGGGAAGTCTTGATGCTAAAGGATTTGAGATGTGCTCGTGTCGTTCTGTCTTATACAGAAAGTTCTCGATGCAATTAACGGACTGGACCAAGTCGATCCCGAATGTACAATTCTGTAGCTGCCGGAAGGTGAGATTGAAGTAGGAGTGGCGGGTCTCTGAAAGCGCGAAATCCGCGACGCGAGCTTTAAGTTGGCTCGGGGAGCAGAGTGGAGACCCAGGTACAAGCGTTAGACTCGACGTAGAGATCTACATTTTATGCAGTCAATGTATCTTCATACAAACAAGATTTGAGTCAGCAGTATAGGCACCGAATCGATCGTAGTGTGAGTTGCCTCGATCAGGGTTTGCTTCTCCAGTTGAAGATCGTTTAACATTCTACCTACATCGTCCGTTCTAACAGACAATCTTGACTTTCTACTAGCAGTCTAGGTCGCCAAATACTCGAATGGTCGGACTCGAATGGGAATTTGTCTCGCAACACAGCCAGACCAAGAACAGAGAAAGCCTTAGTCTGACGAGACACAAATAGCTAGACGCAATGCCATATTTGCAATTCGACCCCTAGGGTCATTCCAGCAATGGCAAGAACATGAATTTGGGCTTACTCCCGATAATCACAAGACCCGGTGTTTCTATGCATTTGACTGACGACACATGGACATCAGCTCACGAGAATTCAAGATGGAAAAGAGATATAATGCAAATTTGATTCATCCAGATATAACGCCCATTTTTTGGTATCCAAGAAATCTAACAATGAGAATGAACGAGATAACAACAGAAGCAGTGCATCGAATGTCTTCATCTCGGACCGCAGAATCTCTCACTCTATTCGGCCATCTCCTCGTCCTCGCCCTGTCCGTTACCCCAAAGACCTTCAATCTGGAACTCCTTGGCCCACTCAGTAACAACCTGTACATTGTCCACGGGACCCGCGGTGGGATCCGCAGCCTCGGCCGCTGAGCCAGCCACGGGCAGAACAGGAGCGTTGGCCCAGCCTTGAATACGGCCATCGCGCCAATCGTTGATCACAGTCATAGCCGCACTCTCAACATTAGGGACACCACGCTTACCGAGACGGCCGCGCTTGCGAGCGACTTGGATGAGGAAGTCGGTGGTCTTATCACCGGTGGGGAAAAGGGTGGTGATGCCGTAGACTTCGAGCATCTTGTTGATCAAAGTCTCGGAGGAAGACAGACGCTTGATCAACAGATTGACAGCCGCGACGGGGTCTTCGATCTGCTTGGGGGGATGGCGTTGAGAAGGACGAGGCGGGCCTGCTCGTTGTCCTTGGACTTCTTGGTCTTTCCAGCGGCGCTGGGGAAGACAATACCCGGTGAATCGATCAGCTTGAGCTTGTTGTCAAGCTTGACGCTGCGAAGATTGGTGGTGACACCAGCTTCGGCACCGGTAGGGCAGGCGTTGCTGGATCCCTTGTTGAGACGAGCAGTGAGGGCGTTGATCACAGACGATTTACCGACGTTGGGATAACCAATGACTCCGACGGAGATCGAGCGCTTCAACTGCTTGCTGTGGGCGTAGGACTTGAGGGCGCGGAAGAGGGTCTCGGAGGTGCCCTTGACGGTCAATTGCTTGTGGTCGAAGCTGTGCGCATTGGGGGCGCCGTTGGCGGCCTTGAGGGGGAGAGTGGGGAAATAACGTCGGAGGTGAATCAACCACGCCTTGAGGACCGGTGGGGGCACCAAATCGATCTTGTTCAAGATGAGAATGAGACGCTTCGAGCCGTTGTCGGCGGCCATAATCTCCCGTTCAACCTCCTTTGATCGTGTACCCTCGGGGTCCCGAGCATCGAGCACGTAAAGGACTACGTCAGCCGCATCGGTCACGGTCTTGAAGACCTTGTCGAACTGGCGCCGTGAGCTCTCCTTGGTGGAGTTCAATGATGTGCCTAGCGTGGGAGCATCGGTGAATGTGACGCCGCCCTCTTCATCCTCGTCCATCTCGTCATCATCATCCTCGTCCTCGTCCATCTCATCGTCGTCGCTGTCATTCTCATCGTCATATTCTTGGGCACGAGCGCGAGCGGAAGCGAGGAGCGCTGCCATGGGGTTTGAGTCGCTGCCATCAGCGTCCATATCGTCGTCCAAGAGGTCGTCCTCCATGATATCAACGGCTGCCTGCGTACCCGGCTGGGTCTGCTTGGCCTCGAGTTTACGAGCGCGGGCCTCCTGGCGCAGACGCTCCTGCTCCTCGGTCTTCAGACGCTTCTTCTCCTCGATGTCGTGAAGCATCTTGTCCTTGAAAGGGAACAGGTTGGGGATACCGGGGTCCTTCTTGATTTTTGACCGCCATTCTGGGTTCTGGAAAAAAATGCAGCAGGTTAGACCCTGATCCAGAATGTGAATTGAATAGATGCGTCGAGACTCCTGTCGCTTCTCAAGGAGGAAAAAGCAAGTACCTTCTTTGCAAGCTTCTTCTGCTTTCTTTGCTTCGCAACAGCAGCTTTTTCAATCTTGTGTCTCAGACGAGTGGGCACCCGCTTGGAATTTTTGCCTGTCGCACTCGCAGATGATTAGTTTAAAAAGTCAAGAATGCATTGATGGTGATGATACTGACCGAGTTTCACCATTTTGTCTGTTCACTTGTGTGTAGCAAATGCAGACAATAATAAGTGCGCTTTTACAATATCTCTCAATCTCCGCAAAATCCAGTCGAAAAAGTTAAGCGCCAAGATTTCGATAAGCGGATAATCATATTCCCCGATCTCCGATCCGCGGCCGGCGGGACGATTACGCCAAATGGTAATGCAACCGCTGATTAGTCGATGTACTTGTTTTTACTCTTCGATCTGAACTTTGTCGCGCGTTTTCATCTTTTGCGGTTTATTTTTCGTCTATAGACATAGAACCTCCCTTTTCAGTGTGCAATCAAATCGTCAGATTCGTTTTGAGCCTGGATCGTGCCCCTTGAACCTCACTCACCGAACGTCTACAACACAATCTTCCCCGAAGCACCCCCGCGGAACCCCTCCCCCGCGATGTCTTCCAACGCCAAAGAAGCCTTTTCTGCGCCAGCAGAGGTGCACACATTCGATGGCCTTCTCTCTGATTTTGACGGAACGATCGTCGACTCCACGGATGGTATGGCTAGACTTTGGGACTAAATGACACAATCGATGCTAATGAATACCTTTTGTCAACAGCAATCGTGAAACACTGGCACCAGTGAGTCGATGTTGTAGCCAACACGACAGTCCAGGAATGGGACAATGGCTGACATCGATACAGAATTGGTGCTGAATTGGGTGTGGATCCCAAGACAATCCTCGCTACTTCTCATGGCCGGCGAAGCATCGATGTCATGGGAATCTATGACAAGACCAAAGCCAACTGGGAATGTATGTCGCGGCCCACACGTTCTGCATTGCTCAAGTACAAGTCTGATACTTTGCTCTCTCCCAGATGTCAACTTTGTCGAAGGCCGCATTCCGAAAACGTACGGCTCCGATGCTGTTGAAATCCCGGGTGGTCGAGATCTCATGAACGCTCTCGACAGCTCCTCCGCCAGATGGGGCGTGGTAACCTCAGGCACACGTGCGCTGATTGATGGCTGGCTGGGCGTGCTCAGCCTTACACACCCAAAGCATCTTGTAGTAGCCGAGGATGTTGAGCTAGGAAAGCCAGATCCTCGATGCTACCAGCTCGGCGCGAAAAAGATTGGTCTGGAGGGCTCAACGAATATCGTCGTTTTGGAGGATGCGCCTAGTGGAATCAAGGCGGGCAAGGCTGCCGGATACAAGGTCATTGCACTCGCTACAACACATTCTCTGGATAAGCTGAAAGAGGCTGGAGCAGACTGGATCATTGAAGATCTACGCAGCCTCTCCATCAACAGTGTCGTCGATGGACGAATTGAGCTTGAGATTCGGAATGCGCTGCAGTGAGAATTTCTCCTTGGATTCATGTAACATCACTGATCATTATAAAAGAGTTTCCACAGATAGAATAGCACGTTACAACATGCTGCACTTTTCATCTGGCCATCCTGGAATGAGCAAATGAAGCTGTTGTTGATTGAGATTCTCAGTCCTTGGCCTCGAGATGACAACTGCACTCCCCAGGTCCCGTCTACGTCTAGGTGGCCTGGTCGACCACCTTCAAGTCGGCCAAGCCTCTTCCCACGCCTTGAATTTCCAGTTATGTTTCTAGCGCGGGTCTTCAAAGTCCAGCACAGTCTTATACCACGCCAGCCCCTCACACACCATAGAGCCCATTTAAATTCATATGCCCGCCAATCTGAGTGAAATACCCACGCGTGTCTTATCGATCATACGCAAAATTTCACCCGCGACAAATCGGGCGTTCACATGTGCGCCCCCTCTGCTAGCAGATGTGGAAGTGCAGTCTCGCCAGTGACAATCTCAATCAAATCTTCAACATTCAACAGCCTCTATTTTGGACGTCGATGGAAGGAGACCCAGTAGCTCGGCAGCGGTGCATGCTGTGTGCAATGCGATGTAAGCCGGTGCTGTCGAACAGAAACTGGCCGATGACCTCAGTGAAATTGCAGACTCGGACAACTCTGCATGGTTGTGCAGCAGCCATGTTCCGTTAGGCATTTATCAATTCAAATTCGGAGATAGGGATGCACACAGCTGCTATTGGCCGAGTTTGATTCGCGTGCCCCGAGGATACGGAGACCACAGACGACCAGTCTCTAGGCGTTGCATTTGTCCGCCGCGACAACTCATCCATCTGACGCTATCTCAATGACTCACGCTCACCCCTACTCGCGAGGATGAGAAACTACCGCGGGCTTCACAGTATCTTGCCGTCGATCTATAGAATGATGGGTATGTTGAGCTATACGGGACAAGTATGGGGGCCAACCAGTTTACAAGAGTGCACCTCGTTCGAGATGTCTACGCACCCGAGCCGCCCAAAATCGAGCAAATGAGCAGCTTCCCCTGAGCTCCGTCAAGCTGACCTCTGGCCACGGCGACGCCTCTTCGGGGCATCTCATCCTTTGTCAAACTCTTGACAACCGACCCAACTTCTTAGTCCTGATCTAATCAGGTATCTAAAATTCTACAGCAGAATGTGACTGACAATGGATGTCACGACCGCGGCCTCGGAACTCGAGCACCAGCATGTGCTTAGCTATCGTCAGAGACTCTGACGTTTTACATGACCACGAGCAGAGAGACCAGGCCTCGCTTTCATTGTATGCTCTTTGCATCTTAGCCGGGGATCAAGTGACGCTCCATGGGGGCCGGGAGACATTACTCTGTTACCTGATGAACATGTTGATAATGGACTGGGAACTTGTCCAATAAAATACCTGCCTCGGATTTACGTTGAAACATGCGGATGCAATGCACTTTTGACAATATCGCGGATTGTACGCCTGCGCCTACTACCTACAGAATAAGGCGCTCTCGGACTAAACAAAGATCCTCTATATCTCTCTGGCCAATGGTTCAGGCTTCGATTCGCAAGCTCAGTAAGGGCCGGGCCTCTGTCCATCTAGCCCTTCGCGGCAGTGCATCACAGCAAAGAGACAAAGGGCGCATCAGCAGAGAGAAGACCCTCACCCAGCTCGCTGCCGTGGTCTTGGGAATTGCCCCCGGGCAACTTAAATAGTCCCAGGACATGCAGTCGTACCTGAAGGCCGGACGAGCATGCTGCCTCGGTCATTTTTGGGCACATTGTCTGCTCTGAATACCATTAGCCTCATCGAGGATCGCACCGAGTTGCTCATTGCAACACGAGGCCTGGTATTCATTCCAGATCTTTAGCACGAGCCCCTGCAGCTGAACATCTCCGCGGGCAGTTCATCTACCGCGGGTTGCGGGGTGATTGCTCGTGTAACCAGCGCGAGTGGCGCGATCGCGACTCATTGCAGCTTTGGAAATCCGGCTGCTGAAGAGCTACCGGCACGATTGCACTGTATTTGAACCACCTGCTTCTCTTCCTCCCTTACGACTGAGTGTCGTGCTGGAAGATGGTTCACGTCTAGCAGGGATTTCTATCATCTCGCTGCGTGCCCACTGCGTGCCCGCCGTCCGTCCTAGATCACAAACACATCTATCCTGGACACTTATTAAAAAGCTCAATCATCCGATGGATGGAGTTCTTGCCTCCTCAGTGACTGGGTCGGTTAGGTGAAATGACGGTCTGAATGAGTATTAGACCATACCCCGTGACCTGTGTCCGATGACGTGGATGGCATCGTTACGCCGCAGCGTTGTTGTTGCAGACGTATGTTATCACTTTCCGTGTCACTATTTACGTGAGAAGTTGATCGAGTCGCGGGCAATACGTATAGGTATAATTTGGGTGTTGCTGAAACGCGTCAAGGTTGACCGAGAGAAGAAGATCAGACGCTCGAGAAGACCGAGAGTCACTGTGGCTAATCTACTGGGCAGAATTCAAATGCGCATATTCGACTAGGGGTACCGCTTTTGCTGGACATCAAACCATGAGAATACTTATTACTTTTGCAATAGAATTCAATGGAAAGAGGCCTACTCGCAGGTAGACATCTGCAATACCATGGGAATATGTTCGAGTGTACCGCAATGTTCATAGGTATCCAGAGAGAGAGAGACCGTGCAAGGACCCACGGCAGCACGAGTCATGGTCAAGGCTTTTGCTACCTAATTCCAAGCTAGCATCGTGGACTAGCTACCAGAGAGCACGGCAGCCAGAGTCGAATAAAGTTGAATGATTGATGGGATGCATGCACCGGAAGCTTGTCACATGGAACGTGCTTCAGCGTCTTTTTTTCTGCAGACTCCGGCCCTCTTACTTATCACTGTGCTAGTGAGATTCACATCCTCGCCATGTCTCGTTCCACATTCAATGGGACTGCTCAACTGCCAGGGCGACGATACCTACGGGTTTTGAGCCTAAGCAACCTTGAGGAGTCGCCAGCCAACAGAAGGGGGCAAACTCAAGTTCGATGACTCTTGCTGCGAAGATTCGTGCCTGCTCCTTGTCGAAGAATGGCTCAAGTCCGGACTTGATTGATTGGCTACCTCATCTGAATATCCTGACTGCGCTGAGATACTGGATATTACAGACAATGAGTAAGCAAGCTGGTCTCAATGGACAGGTCAGGCCCGCTTTGGGATTGGTCAGCGCCTCTATCCCTGGAGCCTTCATGATTCCATACCAGCTGAACAGCCGTCATTCAATGGAGTTGTCTACAATAGTCGGCCAGCACGACTTATGGGCCAGCCTCCAGCTTGCATGAGATGAGCTCCGAGTTGCACGTCCGGCAGGGGATGGGGACCAGGGATCTGCAAAGGTTGCGCTCTGGATTCCAGGGTGACCTCCCGGTGATCCGCAGTGCATGAAACCTCTCCTGCTTGGGGGTTTAGCGCTGTGATTGACCAGGGTCGAACCAGAGTGTTGGGTATCTCATCGCAGATCTTCTCCGGCCATTTCATTTAATTTTTCTTTCCCTTGTTTGACCAGGGAACGGTGACCATCACGTCACCCGGTGCATTGGTTATGATCTTCAGGCAGCGAGTATATGCACGTGTCGTGCGTGTCGTGGATTGGATACCCGGGGATGGCGGAACTGCGGGCGATCGCTACCGCTTTGTTGATGATAGGGTTGTAGCCTATGATGTTTAGGCCTCTTATTTTCCTCGGGTATTTCGTTCTGCAGGACCCAAAAAAAAAAAAGAAAAATACGGAACGTACTTACTGTCGTGGATGGGGGAGACCTCGAATCGGAGGTGGATTCGAGATGATCGACGGGATCGGTTGACTATTGATGTTTAGTTCGCCTTGGCGCAGATGCTTACCGCTTTCACGTAATGGTAAAGAATGGGTCTTTCAACTGTCGTGGAGCTCTTCTTCTTCTTGTACGGTACTCAGTACTACGATAGAATTCCCCATGGATGCTGCTGAATGAGGCACTGTCCACTCTGTGACAGTTTCTGCAGAGAATTGGGACTCTGGAGATACGCCGTCCCAAAGCGTAGTCCTGTCAATAGTACGTCTCACAGTGAACCTTTGCTGACGAAACCGCACGGTGGAGACCTGACCGGACAATCATCTTGTGCGGACGTAATGCCCTTGATGATTGACATTTCTCCGCATGGTTGACACTTTTGTCACGTGGCTTTCCGAGTACATCAGTGACTGAGCACAGTCAGCACACTACTCAGTTGTGAACTGTGACCCGAGTGGTGACTCGACTACACGAGTCGGCGACTCGGCGCACCAGATCGACATCCTCCATTTTGGGACTGCCTTGGGAGTTCCGTCATGAGGCAGACCACTCAAGTCAGCAGGTCCAGTCACGTCAGTCAGAGACTTTTTCATGATCTCCACGATGTGACGCGCACGCGGGGATGATGCCCGGGGACCATTGTACTGTATGTCAATCTCTGGGTCAAGTTTCGACACGGAGGAGTCAGGACCGAGCCCAATTTTGCAGGGGTTGATTGATCACCGGATTGGATGAGGAAAGGATGAGTCAAGGAGTTCAAGAGACCCTCACATGGATCATTGTTGAAAACTTGAAACAAAAGTTGAATCTTGATTGCTCGTCACCGAACACTGCGCGCGATCGGATCAGACGTAAAATTGTGACTAATTTGATGTTGCGGGCCTGATGAGGCGACGCTTTTCTTCTAGTTGGTCATGCGCCATGCAAGTCATATACACATGGAATGAGAGTGATGGCAAACGATTCAGCATGGTTGTCGATCGAGAAGTCATGGAGTCATTGAGCCGGAAGTATTGCAGTTGTTATGTCCGGACTGGTATGTCTTCAACGCCGTCAAACGAGTGATCTTCTGAGAGACTGGCTAAGGTCCTGTTGCCTATTTTAGTAGTTATCGTTGGCAGCAGGAGTACAGCACTACAGAGGACAGTCAACAGTGTATTTGGAATCACACACGTTGTGCCTCGGGGACGATCCTGC